GCTAGAATCTCTAAGTTGGACATTTAGCAAATCGCTTTTGAGGACATGTTTCTAAAGGTTGAATCAATTTGTTTTCAAACCTCATCCCTTTCTTGTTATATTTGTTTGCTTGAGGGCAAGCAAAGGTCAAGTTTGGGGGTGTTGATGTACTTGCATTTTACATAGTTTTAGTACTTCTTTTATGCATCTTTTGCATAGTTTCATAGCATCCCAAAGCATCATTTCTTGATGTTTTCCCTTCTTTTGCATACATAGTAGTTTTAGGCTTGCATTTGCATACATGTGCACGTTTGATGTCTTAATCAGGTCATTTGGAGCTAATTGGAACATTGCCTATCACTGGAGACTAGTTGAGGAAGGAAAGACTCTGTCTGCCCCATGTACGGACCCGCACTCGGTCGAGCTAGTGAGATGCGTCCGAAGTATCGTATCAAATGAAGGGTTTCCACTCCGATTCAGTGTCTGACTTCTTCTTGGAAGTTGTGGATAATTGAGTTAGCTTTCGTCTGGAGGTGGTTTCATGTCATTCGGACCAGCGGTTCAGAAGATACGACGATATTGGTTGGACTCGACCCACCAGCTCGACCGGCCAGTTTCCAACTCGATCGAGCTGCTTTCCCAGGAGTCAAAGTCAAACCCGAAAAATGTTGCTTCCCTTTGACTCCCCTTTGACCCTAAACCTAGTTTGCTTTACTATAAATGGCATTGAGCCACGAATTAAACATAGCTTTGGCTCAACTTTTAATTAATCTTGTATTTGCATTTCCCTTTTTACTTTTTAGCCTCTCTTTGTGTTCTTGAGCTCTTGCTCATAGAACCCTAGATCTAGGCTTGTTATTGTGTTTTGCACTTTGCTATTTCAATAAAAGTTGTTTATCTTTATCTCCTCTATCTTTTGATGTCTCCTTTATTGCATTTGGTTGTTTATTTCATCATGTGTAGTGAGTAGTTCTCTTTAGGGTTTAAGATGGGATAGGTTAGAGGTTGTTTATGCTTAATCTCTCTTGCTTTATGTTCTTAACTAGAAATCTCTCTCTTTTGGACAAACCTTAAGGCTACATGACCACTATCCCTGGCTTGTATGTCCATAGGCGATTCTCCACATGGAAGTGATGGAAATCGTTGGAAAAGGTCCACTAAGAGCTCCAATAACTCTTGCTCTCGAAATGGAGTTCATAGGGGTTGGATGGATTAGTTTGAGCAATGATCCTATGGCCTCCAAGGCTTGATTCTCACTGGCTAACCCCCTGTTTCTGAGATCAAGTCTTGGTTGATAGCTTTCACCTTGGGAAAGGGCTAGCTAGGCATTGAGAAGCTCAATATCAAGAGATAGCTTGAGTACAAGTTGTTTAAGAGCAAGACTGATTAAGTATAGCCTCCCTTTAGCTGCAAAACCCTGTCTTTAACCCTAATCTTCGCATTAGCATCTTAAAGTTTGCACCTTTATCGCTTTTCATTCGCTTTCCTCTGTTTTTACACCAACTCGACCCTCAACTCGATCGAGCTCATCAACTCGATCGAGCTCTTGGTCGAGCTGCTTTTAATTTACTGCTTTTGCTTGCATTTCATTTCATATTAGGTTGTTTAGTTGTTACATCCCTCCATTTAATCATTTGGCTTGACTTTCTTGTGTTTGCATATTCTCATAGAGCAACATCTCACCCTTATGGATTGATAACCTCTTATACTTCAATGACTATGATGGTTAAGAGGAATTGATTGATTGTGATTGCACCATACCATCTCATCTCTATTCACCACTGTTGCATTCACCACATCTCATTTCATATCTATCACATCACACACAAATCCTATCATCAGTTGCACAGCCCAAATGGCATCCTTCGATAAGCAAATGTACCATAAGGGCATGTGAAAGTGGTTTTCTCCTGATCATTGGGTGGATCGGGATTTGGAAGAAACCACTGTAACCATCAAGAAAACAATAAAAGGGTGGTTTGCTAATCTTTCTAACATCTGATCAATGAAAGGGAGAGGGAAATGATCCTTTCTAGATGCTGAATTTAACTTCCTATAGTCAATACACATGCGATGCCCCACTATTGTTCTAGTGGGAATCAGCTCCTCTTTGTCATTTTTATGACAGTGATCCCCCCTTTCTTTGGGACGCAATGAACTGGAGATATCCAAGTGCTATCACTGATGGGATAGATTATCCCAGCATCAAGCAACTTGAGTATCTCTTTCTTCACTACTTCCTTTAGATTGGGGTTCAATCTTCTTTGAGGTTCAATGCTAGACTTACTTTCATCCTCTAGATGAATCCTATGGATGCATAGGTCAGGGGAGATCCCCTTGATATCATCTAGAGTGTAACCTATTGCTTTTCTGTACTTCCTCAATTCAACAAGCAAAGCACTCAACTGTTCAGGTTCCAAATCAGAGTTCACAATGACAGGGTAAGTTGAGTTTTCACCCAGAAATGCATACCTGAGGCCCTCAGGCAAAGGTTTGAGGTCGACTTTAGGCGCCTTGAGCTCAGACCAATCTCCTTGAGCTTGCTCCTTGCATTCAGTCCCCAGCTCGATCGAGTTCGTTTGTTCGACGACTCGATCGAGCTCTTGATCGAGCTCACTGCCATGACTTGCAAACTGGCCTGTCCAACCCCTCAATGCTCAGAATGTTGGAACTGGTCTGAAGGTGTCAAGGAGCTTCGTATTCCTCGGTTTCTGAGCTCACATATCCTTCTGAAGAATCCTTGGTCAAAGCAACTTGTAGGGGGTCCTCCAATGATAGCTCTTCTAAAAGCTCATCTGCCAACTGATCCATTTCCTCAACATAAAAGAGTTGACCTTCTATTGTTGGCTTCCTCATTGTATCCTTGATGTCAAACTTCATCTTAGGTCCTTTCCCAAGTTTAGCTCAATTGTGCCTTCACAGACATCTATCATTGCTCTTGCTGTAGCTAGGAATGGCCTTCCTAGTATCAATGGATCTGTTGGTTCCTCATCCATCTCAAGCACAATGAAGTCGGTGGGGATTTCTACATTCCCTATTCTCAAAGGCAGGTCTTCAAGCATTCCAGTTGGTAACCTTATCGATCTATCTGCCAAGACTAGTGAGATTCCGCAGGCTTGATACTTGTGATATCCCAGTCTCTTTGCTACGACAAAGGCATGAGGCTGACAGATGATCCTAGGTCGCAGAGGCTGTTTTTGAAAGATAGAGGTCCCAACATGCAGGCAAAGTGAAACTCCCCGGATCTTCCTTTTTGTCGGAGATGACCTTCCGCTGAATGATTGCACTGCACTCACGAGTCAACACTACCATTCCTTGCGCCTTCCCTGGTTCTTTGCTGAACAGCATCCTTCAGGAATTTTTGATAAGGTGGAATGAGCATCAAGGCGTCGATGAAAGGCAACTTCAGCTCAAGTTGTCTCATTAGTTCATCAAACTTGGCCTTGTGTGCTTCCAACAGTTGTTTCTTGAACCTTCCTGGAAAGGGTAGAGGGGGTTTGTATGGTGGTGGTCCTGATGGAGTGTCTTTCTTCTTTGCAACAGGTTTAGTTGGTTGGCTGGAGCTTGCTTTGTCTGTTTTCTTCTGCTCGATCGAGCTCTGGTTTGTCTTGAGTCTCGGTTTCTCCAGCTCGATCGAGTTCTGGTTCAGGGTTTTGTTCCAGCTCGATCGAGTTCGGTCGAGTATCAGCATACTCGACCAAATCCTCCCCTTCCTCGTCATCGATGTCCACAGCGATTTGGGGTGGGCTACCCTGCTTGGGAATTGTCCCCACTTCTTAGTGTAACTGCTTGGGCATACTCTTGTGGTGAAGAGGATGATGCACTTGAAGACTCAATGATTTGGACTCTTGAAGTCAATGACTCTAGTTTGAGTTTATCTACAACTTGTTGTTCATTTCCAGTGAACCTTTGGCTTGCCCTTGTAAGGAGTTGTTGGAGCATATCCTTCATATCCCAATCTTGGTTGGTGTTGGGTATGAGTCCATTGGTTGAAGCCTTGTGGAACACTTGGGGTGCCCTTGGGGGATCTGTGTAGTATTCTGTATCCCAGGTCCTGTTGAGGACCATAGATGTTTCCTTGTGTTGGATGCTTCTATGTGTTGTCTCCTCCCCTTCCTGTCCTTGACTAGCTGTTTGTTCTGAGACATAGTTGACATGCTTGGCAGGGAATTGGGCTAGGATCAGTTTGTCCAACTTCGAGTTGAGTGCAAGTCTTTTCGCATCTGAGCGTCCAGGACTCGATCGAGTGGTGGTCGAGCTCCAGTTGGTGCGATCATACTCTTCTCCATAGCTTCCATTTGAGAGGCTGTTCTCCACAAGTTGCCAGCCATCATCTACATCCTGGTTGAGGAAGTTCCCATTGCTAGCTGTGTCTAGCATCTCCCTATACCTAGGCAAGCATCCTCTATAAAGAGTGGAGAGTAGATTCATTGTTGAATCCATGGTGTGGGCACTGACTTGTGTAGCCCTTTGAACCTCCCCAAGCCTCTGCGAATGTCTCATTGTTTCGCTGGATGAAGCTGGATATCTCTCCTCTAAGCTTGGCTGTGCGACCGGTGGAGAAAAACTTAGCAAGAAAGGCCTTCTTGCATTCATCCCAAGTGGTGATTGTGCCATGGGGCAAGCTCTTCTCCCATTGGTGAGCTTTGTCAGCTAGAGACATAGGAAAGAGTCTCAGCTTGATGGCATCTTCAGAGACACCATTGATCTTTGTCAAATCACAAAGCCTATCAAACTCATCAAGGTGGTCAATGGGGTCTTCACTTGGCAATCCATGGAACATCTTGTTCTGACAAGGTTGATCATTCCCAGCTTGATCTCAAAGTTGTGGTTCTGCACTGGTGGTGGAACAATCCCTTGTCTCTGTTGGTGGCGGTTTGGAGCATCTCCTTGACCAATCGGTCGAGTTTGCCTAGCTCGACCGAGTCCATTGCCCAAAGGGTTTCCATTCCCCTCTGGTACATCCATTGTATCAGCAACAAGCACCTCAGGTTCCTCTTGTACCCTCTGTGACCTCTGAACCCTCTTTCTACCCGTTGTAAGTCTAGCTCGACCAAGTCTTCAGTAGACCGACTCGATCGAGTTCGCATACACCTGCAAAAAGAGACAAAAACCCAGCAGTACAATAGAACAGGGGTGGTATAGCTTGATCGTCCAAGTGTGTTTGAAACTCAAATGCAACAAAAATAATCCCAAATCGGCAACGGCGCCAAATTGATGATAGGATTTGTGTGTGGATGTGAAATGATATGAAATGAGATGTGGTGGAATGCAACAGTGGTATATGATGAGGTGGTAAGATGCAAACACAAACACAGTCAACAATTCCCTTTAACCATCATAGTCATGTAGTAGCATAAGGGTTATCAATCCAAAATGGGAAATTGTCACTCTATGAGAATATGAAACAACAAGAAGTCAAGCAAGCAGTAAAGATTGTAACACTAACAACCTAAAAAATGAAATGCAGTGCAATAAAAGTAAACAAAGCAGTAAGCAACAGCTCGACCAAGACTCGAGTCGAGTGGAACAGAGTACCAGCTCGATCGAGTTTAGGGTCGAGTTGAGAAAAAGCTAAAGGTGACGACTTTAACAAGCTAATGCGAGAATTAGGGTTCAAGACAGGGTTTTGCAATCAGGGAATCTACACTTAATCAATCTAGCTCTTAAAACTCCTTGTATCAAGGCTTCTCTTGATATTGGGCTTCTCAATGCCTAGCCAACCCTTTCCCAAGGTGGAGGCTATCAACCAAGGAATGATCTCAGAAACAGGGGGTTAGCCAGTGAGAATCAAACCTTGGAGGCCATAGGATCATTGCCCAAACTAATCCATCCAACCCCTTAGACCTCTATTTCTAGAGCAAGAGATATTGGAGCTCTTAGTGGATCTTTTCCAGCGAATTTCCATCACTTCCATGTGGAGAATCGCCTAAGGACTTACAAGCCAGGGGTAGTGGTCATGTAGCCTTAAGATCTATCCAAAAGAGAGAGAATCTAGATTAAGACCATAAGCTAAGAAGGATTAAGCATATGAAACCTCTAATCTATCCCATCTCAAACCCTAATGGGTAACTACTCACTACACATGAATGTAAACACAAGCAAATGCAATAAAAGAGACATCATAAGAAAGAGGAGATGAAATAAACAACTTTTATTGAAATAAGCAAGTGCAAATACAAAGAGATTATCCAGGATCTAGGATTCAAGAAGCAAGAGCTTCAAGAACACAAAGATGGGATTAGAGCTCTAAAAAGTAAAAGACAATAATTAAAAGAAACTAAAACAAAATAATCTAAAGCTTGGTGGTTTTTTCGTGGCTTAGAGCCTTTAAATACAAGAGGATTAGGTTTAGGGTCAAAGGAAAGTCAAGGGGGAAGCAACATTTTTCGGGTTTGACTGTTGACTTCTCAGCTCGATCGAGTTGAAGCTTGGCCGGTCGAGTTGAGGAACTCGACCGGTTGGTCGAGTAGACGGTCGAGCTGGTCTTCAAGATGGCTTCTCCTTCTTCCTTTGCGTATCCAGTTGAGCTGCGTCCATGTGCCAAGTCCCTCCATGCTCCTCATGTCCCATATGCTCCAGAATGCTCCAAAAGACCTATTTCAAAGGACCAAACATGCATATGTATGCAAATGCAACCTAAAACTACATGAATGCATAAGAAGAGAAAAGGAACAAGATATGATGCAAATGGATGCTAAAACTATGCAAAAGATGCATAAAAGATGTGCTAAAACTATGTAAAATGCAAGTACATCAGTAGTATAAGGGGTTATCAATCCAAAAGGGTGAAATGATGCTTTATGAGAATATGCAATCACAAGAAAGTCAAGCAGACAGTAAATAAGATGGTTGGTAACTCTAACAACCTAATGAAATAGAAATGCAATGCTGAATAGTAAAAGAAAGCAGTAAAGCAAGCAGCTCGACCAAGGGCTCGAGTCGAGTGGGAACAGAGTAACCAAGCTCGGTCGAGTTGAAGGTCGAGTTAGCGTAAAAAGCGATAAAGGCAGGAACTTTAAGAAGCTAATGCGAATATTAGGGTCTAAGATGGGGTCTTACAATTAGGGGAAGACTATACTTAATCAATCTTGCTCTCAGCAACTTGTATCAAGGTATCTCTTGATATTGAGCTTCTCAATGCCTAGCTAGCCCTTTCCCAAGGTGAAAGCTATCAATCCAAGGCAGGATCTCAGAAACAGGGGGTTAGCCAGTGAGAGTCAAGCCTTGGAGGCAGTAGGATCATTGCTCAAACTAATCCATCCAACACCTATGAACTCCATTTCGAGAGCAAGGTTTATTGGAGTTCTTAGTGGACCTTTTCAAGCGATTTCCCAATTCTTCCATGTGGAAAATCGCTTATGAACATACAAGCCAGGGGTAGTGGTCATGTAGCCTTAAGGTTTGTCCAAAAGAGAGAGATTTCTAGATTAAGAACATAAGCAAAAGAGATTAAGCATAATGATCCCCTAATCTAGCCCATCTTGGACCCTTAAGTAAACTACTCAGTACACATGAATGTAAACATAATCAAATGCAATGAAGTCGACATTAAATGAAAGAGGAGATGAAACTAAAGAACTTTTATTGAAATAAGCAAGTGAAAATACAAAGAAAATAAACCTAGATCTAAGGTTCAAGGAGCATGAAGCTCAAGAACACAAAGAGAGGTTTAGGGTTGCAAAAAGTAAAAAGTACAATTAAGAAAAGCTAAAACTAAAAAAAGCTAAAGATTGTTGTCTTTTTCGTGGCTAAGAGCCTTTAATACAAGAGAGACTAGTTTAGGGTCAAAGGGAAGTCAAGGGTTTATGGGTTAAGAGACAAAGAGGGTCTCTTTTGTATGGTGGTTTAGTAACAGGGATCTCTCAAGAAAGTGGCTTTGCTTTGGCAGAAGGCTAAGTGTTAGAACCAAAGATGATGCAAGAACAGCAGCTCGAGCCGCCTAATCCTAACTCGATCGAGTTCAACACTTAGAGCTTTTTAGAACAAAATCCTAACTACCCTTTTTGGCATTTCGCCTTTGAAACTGAGGAGCTTTGCTCACTTTTCTTTTAAGAACTTCCTAGGGAGAGGCTTCTTGAGGTAACATCTAGCGGTTTGGGATTTTCTAAACACTTAGGGAACTTTTCTTTCTTTTTGACACTTGAGGCTTTGCCTTCTTTTCTTTACTTAGAACCCTTTTTACTTTCCTTTTTTAACTTCCCAAACCTTTACTAGACCCTTTTTTAACACTGCCAACTCCCTGGACTTAACTAAACTCTTTTTCCTTTGGATTTTCCCAACTTTTACCACTTTTCTGGTTTTGACACCCAACTCGATCGAGCTCGAGTTGGCACCCCCAAACTTAGCCTGAAAACAATCCCAAGAGAACTAGACAACTAGAACTACTGCCCCTGCCGGTTTAAACACAACACCTTATGCTAAGCAAAGCCAAGAAAGGTTCTCACAATCGCACAAGAGATAATATGGGGTTTGAAATGAAAAAGGCTTAGGTTTAAGGTGTGGTAACTGTCTCAAAGATGGAGATCAGCTATCTGGACAAGCAAGAGGGATATGAAAATAGGTAAAGAATGTCCAGATATGTATGTGGTAGCCATGAGTTGAAATCAAATGCAAGCATTGGTAATTAAAGATCAAGTTATGGTTCAATAGATAGGGAAATGCATCAAATCACAGCAATGGTTGAATGAGATGTGCATGCAGTGATATGATCAAGATAAACATGGTTCTTGCTGCTCAATCAATCTCACCCTAATGCACAAAAGAATCTAGAATGGGCACTCAAGAAATCGCAAATGATGAACAAGTTTTCAAGTCAAATCAACAATGCAAATTGAAGATGCAATCCTAAACAATCTAACAAATATGAATGCAAAAAGATGAAAATATTTTTGGATTTTTTGAAAATTTTATGATTTTTTTGGTTTTTCTATGCAAATAAATGAAAAACTAAGAACAAAGAAAACAAGGTTAAATCATCTCTTGAACCCTCCCCCAAACTTAAATCACACAGTCCCTTGTGTGAGAGAAATTCAGTGGAAGATTCAAGAGGCAAAAACCAAGAAAAAAAGAAAAATGCAAAAATATGAAATGGTATTACAAGGGTTGTGTGTTTGATACCTTAGTGCCCAAACTAAAGGACAAGTGCATGTTCTAAAGGACTAGCTCCACATCCTCAAAGATTCCAAGAGCCTTCATTGTATCATCATGTGTGTTGGACCTGGATTTCCCTCCAGAAATCCGGCCCATAAGGCCCATCATCTAAGTCCTAAGATCAAGATAAGTCCACTCAGGCCCAGTAAAGTGACCTCGAGCCCACCAAGTATCCTTGTCCAAATCCAGCTGTTTACTGTCCGAGCTACTTGTGAAGATGAAGTCGAGCTCTAGCTCGACGGAGTCGAGTCCACAAGCTGAGTTTGAACGAGTCAAACGAGAATCTCGCTTCGACTGTTCAGATCCGGAAATAGCGGGATCGGTAGTTGCACGTGGACGAGATACGCGGAGGAGGTTGCGATCTACTTCGGGCTATAAAAAGAGGACGATTCTTGATCACAAGGAAGAGAATGTTCTTTTGGACACAAGTTCTATCTAATTCTCCTTTGATAAATCACTCACAAGTTCTTCTCATCATCTTTTCACAGCAGAAACAGAGTGAAGTTCTTCTTCTTCGTCTTGAGATATTCTCATATCTTTTCTCTTCGATCTTATCCTTGATCTTCGAGATAACCTTAGAAAGCTCTGATCTTTCTAGCCGGAAACCATTCCGGCAGAAGTTCGACATAATCTCTTACCTTCGGATCACTCCGATAACCTGAGATTTATCGTCATCTTCACACCCTTTAACTCTTTTCGTGGTCATTTCTCTTCAGAAAACGACTCGAAATAGAGAACAACTTACAATCGAACTACGTCCAGGCTTGATCCCTAAAACAGGGTACGTAGGCAGCTCGTTACACGAGCGCAGCCACCACCTCATTTCCATCTCTTTTGCTTAGTCGAATCCTAGTGTTTTACATGGTCTTTTAGGCCGGTTTTGTAACCACTTTATTCGATTAGCCTAAGTCCGATTTCGTCAAATATTTGTCTACGAATCATTCGACTTACATCAGAATCTAACCTCTGATTCCACAGGCAATTTCTCCCTACAAAATACACATAAATTTTGAGTGTGGTTTTCCGAACCCACATTTTGGCGCTAGAAGGAGGGGAGACAATAGCTTTCTCTTACACAAGGGTCGAACCTAGACCAGTTGAGAACGAAATGGACTCAGTCCTATCAAATTCTCAGGGAGCTCGCTCCCAATCTCAGATCCCATCGGATCAAATCACTTCGGATGTCAGCAGTGCCAAAACTGCAGACACATCGAAAAACCCGATCACCTCGCCAACTGGCAGCAGCCAAACTGCTAGTAGATCGAGCGTCCTGATCGATCCGGTTATCACCTCCGCGGCAGTGATGTACTTGCATTTTACATAGTTTTAGCACATCTTTTATGCATCTTTTGCATAGTTTTAGCTTCCATTTGCATCATATCTTGTTCCTTTTCTCTTCTTATGCATTCATGTTAGTTTTAGGTTGCATTTGCATACATATGCATGTTTGGTCCTTTGAAATAGGTCTTTTGGAGCATTCTGGAGCATATGGGACATGAGGAGCATGGAGGGACTTGGCACATGGAAGCAGCTCAACTGGATACGCAAAGGAAGAAGGGAGAAGCCATCTTGAAGACCAGCTCGACCCCTACTCGACCAACCGGTCGAGTTCCTCAACTCGACCGGCCAAGCTTCAACTCGATCGAGCTGAGAAGTCAACAGTCAAACCCGAAAAATGTTGCTTCCCCCTTGACTTTCCTTTGACCCTAAACCTAATCCTCTTTGTATTTAAAGGCTAAGCCACGAAAAAACCACCAAGCTTTAGATTATTTTGTTTTAGTTTTTTTAATTTATTGTCTTTTACTTTTAGAGATCTAATCCCATCTTTGTGTTCTTGAAGCTCTTGCTTCTTGAATCCTAGATCCTGGATAATCTCTTTGTATTTGCACTTGCTTATTTCAATAAAAGTTGTTTAATTTCATCTCCTCTTTCTTATGATGTCTCTTTTATTGCATTTGCTTGTGTTTACATTCATGTGTAGTGAGTAGTTACCCATTAGGGTTTGAGATGGGATAGATTAGAGGTTTCATATGCTTAATCCTTCTAGCTTATGGTCTTAATCTAGATTCTCTCTCTTTTGGATAGATCTTAAGGCTACATGACCACTACCCCTGGCTTGTAAGTCCTTAGGCGATTCCCCACACGAAGTGATGGCATTCGCTGGAAAAGATCCACTAAGAGCTCCAATATCTCTTGCTCTAGAAATAGAGGTCTAAGGGGTTGGATGGATTAGTTTGGGCAATGATCCTATAGCCTCCAAGGTTTGATTCTCACTGGCTAACCCCCTGTTTCTGAGATCATTCCTTGGTTGATAGCCTCACCTTGGGAAAGGGTTGGCTAGGCATTGAGAAGCCCAATATCAAGAGAAGCCTTGATACAAGGAGTTTTAAGAGCTAGATTGATTAAGTGTAGATTCCTTTGATTGCAAAACCCTGTCTTGAACCCTAATTCTCTCTTTATCTTGTTAAAGTCGTCACCTTTAGCTTTGTTTGTCTCAACTCGTCCCTAAACTCGATCGAGCTGGTACTTTGTTCTGACTCGACTCGAGTCTTGGTCGAGCTGTTACTTCACTGCTTTGTTTACTTTTATTGCACTGCATTTCATTTATTTAGGTTGTTAGTGTTACTTCAAATCTATTACTGCTTGCTTGACTTCCTGTTGTTTCATATTCTCATAGAGTGACAAGTTTCCCATTTTGGATTGATAACCCTTTGTACTACATCAACTATGATGGTTAAAGGGAATTGTTGACTGTGTTTGTGTTTGCATCTTACCACCTCATCATATACCACTGATTGCATTCCACACATCTCATTTCATATCTTTTCACATCCACACACAAATCCTATCATCAATTTGGCGCCGTTGCCGATTTGGGAATATTTTTGTTGCATTTGAGTTTCAAACACACTTGGACGATCAAGCTATACCACCCCTGTTCTATTGTACTGCTGGGTTTTTGTCTCTTTTTGCAGGTGTATGCGAACTCGATCGAGTCGGTCTACTGAGGACTTGGTCGAGCTAGACTTACAACGGGTAGAAAGAGGGTTCAGAGGTCACAGAGGGTACAAGAGGAACCTGAGGTGCTTGTTGCTGATACAATGGATGTACCAGAGGGGAATGGAAACCCTTTGGGCAATGGACTCGGTCGAGCTAGGCAAACTCGACCGATTGGTCAAGGAGATGCTCCAAACCGCCACCAACAGAGACAAGGGATTGTTCCACCACCAGTGCAGAACCACAACTTTGAGATCAAGCTGGGAATGATCAACCTTGTCCAGAACAAGATGTTCCATGGATTGCCAAGTGAAGACCCCATTGACCACCTTGATGAGTTTGATAGGCTTTGTGATTTGACAAAGATCAATGGTGTCTCTGAAGATGCCATCAAGCTGAGACTCTTTCCTATGTCTCTAGCTGACAAAGCTCACCAATGGGAGAAGAGCTTGCCCCATGGCACAATCACCACTTGGGATGAATGCAAGAAGGCCTTTCTTGCTAAGTTTTTCTCCACCGGTCGCACAGCCAAGCTTAGAGGAGAGATATCCAGCTTCATCCAGCGAAACAATGAGACATTCGCAGAGGCTTGGGAGAGGTTCAAAGGGCTACACAAGTCAGTGCCCACACCATGGATTCAACAATGAATCACTACTCTCCACTCTTTATAGAGGATGCTTGCCTAGGTATAGGGAGATGCTAGACACAGCTAGCAATGGGAACTTCCTCAACCAGGATGTAGATGATGGCTGGCAACTTGTGGAGAACATAGCTAACTCAAATGGAAGCTATGGAGAAGAGTATGATCGCACCAACCGGAGCTCGACCCACCACTCGATCGAGTCAGACGAAAAGTTGAGAAAAGATGTTAAGGCATTGAATGAGAAGTTGGATAAGCTGATCCTAGCTCAGTCCACAATGAAGAAAGTCAACTTTGTGTCTGCTGAGGAGATGGAACCAGTCCAAGAAGGGGAGGATACACAATTTGCTGAGGTGTGCTACATGAGCAATGGGCAAGGAGGTTACAACAAAGGATACTATAATTACAAGTCCAACCCTGCCATGTCATACCGCAACACTGATGTTGCTAACCCTCAGGACCAAGTATATCCTCAACAACAAGCAGCTCGATCGAGTCAGGTGCCACAACATGGGTATGGTCAAAAGAACAATTACCAAGGACCACAAGGCACTTTCCCTGGACAACAAATGAATATCCCACCAGGCTTCCCCACCAACCGCCCCAGCCTGCACCTTCACAAGAGAATGAGCTCAAGGCAATGCTAAAGCAACTACTTCAAGGGCAAGCTGATGGGGTAGTGGACACAAGCAAGAAGCTAGCTGAAATAAACTCTAAGATCGAGAATCTCAACACAAGGGTTTACTCTCTGGAGAATCATGCTTCTTCTGTTGCTGCTGCTACAAAGCAAGGACAACTACCTGGTAAAGCTATTCAGAACCCCAAGGAACAGTGCAAGGTCATCTTCACTCAAGAAGGACTTGTTGAAGAAGAGGATCAAGAAAGGGTCATTGAAGATTTTTGTTTACTGCTGAATGATGAAGAGATTGTTGCTGCTGAGGCTCCTGGAGTCCAGATTGATCAACCAGAAGTGCAGGCACCTACTGTGGCCATTCACACTTCACCAGTTGAGCTCGCACAACAAGCTCGATCGAGCTCGATCGAGTCCTCTAGCTCGATCGAGTCCCAACCTGTTTTGCTTGATCCTTACCAACCGGTTGCCGCTTCCTCGTCTCGCCTACTTAGTCAAGGTCACAAGGAAGTGATTCACAAGTTCAGAAGAGATCTCAGTGGGATTGGAATTGAGTTGCCTCCTATGGATAGCATGAGTGAGGCATTTGATCAAATGCAAATGGTCAAGGATGTTCTAGCCAACAGTGATAAAGTTTCAGAGGTCCTACAAGAGTCTACTCATCAGTTCAACCTGCTTACTTCACCCACCTTCCTACCAAAGGTCAAGGATCAAGGGAAATTCACTCTCCCTTGCACACTTGGGCATCTTGAGATTGACAATGCCTTAGTGGATTCTGGAGCAAGCATCAATCTGATCTCTCTCTCCATGGCAGAGAAGCTAGGCATTGCTGGAGCCTTGCAGCGCCCTACTACTTCAATCATGTTTGGAGATGCAACTTCTAAGTCTCCTCTTGGAGTGTTCAAGAACTATCACTTGAAAATTGGAGAATGCATCATCCAAACTGATCTCACTGTGATGGAAATGGAAGAAGAGAAGGATTTACCTCTGTTATTGGGAACCCCTTTCCTTAGTACAGTTGGCGCTTCAATAGACTTTCACAAGCAAGAAGTGATCCTTCACAAGGTGAATAGTTTGGTGTCATATCGCTTGCAGCCTAGAGGTTCAGACTTTTGTGCCACAATTGACAGTACCACTCTCAGTTCTAAGAGTCATGGAGCTACAAAGGTTGTGAAGGAAAGGGTTGACAAAGAACCAAGAGTTGGGAAGGATAAGGATGAGAGAGGACCAAGGATTGAGAAGCCACGTCTTGAGAGGGCTAGAGTTGAGAAACCACGTTCTGATAGACCACGAGCTGATAGACTTGTTCAAGCCCCTTGTGTGCTTGATGAAGAGAGCCTTCAAGCTTTGTTTGATGAGCCACTAGGAAGGGCTCTAAAAGAAGGGGAGGATGTAGCCTCTAAGGCAAGACCAGGGATAAAAGAAAGATCCACCAGCTCAGGCCCCTTCATCAAGCCATCTCAGCTCACAATGACTTTGTTCCCCACCAAGTTTGAAAATGGGAAGATTGAGTACAAGATAAGGTACAAGGGGAGATCAAGGCCATTCTCTAGAGCCAAGGCCTTGGTGACTTCAGAACAGTCCAGGGACCCAACCAAGCTAAAGGAGCTTCTGTCTCAAGTCCTCACTATCACCCTTGATGGTGGGACTAGCTCAACCAATGCCTAAAAGGTAAAGGTCAAGCTATGGGACCTTAAACAAGCTCACTTGGGAGGAAGTCCCATGTTTATCCTTGTACATATTCTATTTATGCAATTTCTATCTATTTTATGTTTTAACCTTTCAATAAGTTAAGTTTAGGTGACAAAGGAGCCAGCTCGACCGATAGCTCGATCGAGCTAGAAACCAGGGCAACTCGATCGAGTTCCACAACTCGACCGAGGTAAGTTTTTGAATTTCAAATTCATAACCGTTTTCTTGGTCAAGGGAGTGGGTCCCACAAGCTGATTTTGGTCCCCCACTACCCTAATTGATCAGAAATCCCTAGCTTTTGTCCCCTCTTTATTTCATCTTTTAATCTCAACCACACATCTCAAACACCCTCTTCCCCATAACTCGATCGAATCCACTCTCCCACACTCTAAAATTTCTGAAATCATCCTCTCTCTCTTCACCACAAGAAAAATCGAATTTCAATCTCTCTCTCTTAAGTTTTTGCGATTTCCTTGTTCTTCATCTTGTTTTGCTTGGGTTTTGTTTACTGCTCTTAATTCATCATTCAACAAGGTATGAACCCTAAACCCTTGATTCCTCCATCTCGATTTCCATATTGCTTGTTTCTCTTTGATTTTTGATTGCATGTGCCCCTTTGGGATTGTTCTTGAGTAATTGCTTTCATATCATTCTCCTGCTCATATTTGTTTATGTGAATTTGCCTCACCTCACCTCTGTTTTTCATTAAGAACTTGTTGCATGTGCTTGAAAAATTGAATTTGAGTTTGGTATTGGTTAAGATGCTTAGTGCTTCACTAGAATTGCTCATTGTTCCATTTACTAGTTGTTCTTGGTTCAATTTGATTGATTAGCATCCTTTCCAGCTCTTAATACTTGAATTAGGTTCGGTTATACTCTGTTTTCACCTAGCTCGATCGAGTTTGTCACTCGAGTTTTTTGACTCGATCGAGCTGAGTGTCGAGTTGACCAAACCGATCATTACAACTCTAATTCTTTGTAATCTTTGATGCATTTCAGGTACTTTAGTGAAGAAACAGTGTAACAGAGATGACAAACAGTGAGGGAAGTCGTGCTTCACAAAGGAGAATGGTTGAGGGTGAATCAAGCAATGCAAGGGAAAGAAGGCTTAAGATGCAAGCCGATTTGGAGAGGATGATCAAAGAGGATGGAAGAGTCTGATGCAGAGGAGTATATGTACTCTGAGGAAGAATCTGAGAGCGAAGATTGAGGGAGGAGAGGAGGACCAAGAAGAGGAATGACCCCATTAGTAGTGAGAGTGAGCAAGGGGAGTTTGAGATTGGAGTGAACCTTGTTCAAGAGGAGGGAAATGGTTCTCCAAGAAGAAGGAAGTGATGAGACTGAGAGTGAAGAGGAAGGAGAAGAGGTGAATCAGTTGGTTGAGAGAGTGAGCAAGAGAGTAACCAAGATGAACCTATGGAGGAGGTTGAGCCACAAGAGGAGGAGGAAGAACTCCCTATGTACCAAGAGCATTACAATGCCCTCTTCTCCATGGACTTCATGGATACCAAGTACCCACATGTTGACACAATGAAGGCCCTTGGAATCTTTGAAGATGTGGAGCTAGTTCTCAAGAACATGCACTTGGCCAAGCTCTTCTCTTATCACATGGAATCCTACAAGGAGCTCACTTGCGAGTTCTTAGCTTCAATGAGGTACCACATGTATGAGAGGAAGATAGAGCTGATTTGGACCAAGGATTGGGATGGATCACGTTCTTGGCTAAGGGAGAGAAGAGAATGGTGACCTTTAGGCAGCTGGAAATCTTGTTTGGGTTCAACTATGGAGAGGGTACCAAGTGGAACTTCAAGGAAAAGGAACTCCAAAGGGTTTGGGCTACAATCGCTGATGGAGTGTACTCTTCCTCAAGGTCCAAGGCAGCTCAGATCAGGAGCCCAGTCTTGAGGTATGTGCACAAGGCACTTGCCAACACCTTCTTTGCAAGGAAGGCGACCGGGACCATCAACGAGGGGGAACTCAAGTTTCTTGACATGGGAATCAAGCCCATTCTCTCACGCACAAGCGATGGCAAGAGGATAAGGGGAGATAGATCTGACACAGGAAACTTGATGCCTTTCCTTGACCATCTCCTCACCTACAAGATCACAGCCTACAACACTAGACATCAACGAGGGAGGCGCCTAAGTGTTGGAGGGCTCATCACTCCTATCTTGTGTGCTGCTGGAGTGAACCCAACTGATAGGAGAGCCACTGAACCAGGTTGGATGGACATCAAGTTTTGCAAGACCAACCTTCTCATTGAGCACAAGGAGTTGGATGGGAGGTTCCAATTCAAGTTCACACATCCATTGGTTGGACCCTCCAAGTTTCTCCTGCCCAACCCAGAGCTCACCACAGTAGTAAGGGGTGAGAACATTGACTTCAGACCCCCTGTGTACACATTAGTTGGGCATGAGGATGATTTGCGAGAAGAGGAGCCTGAGCTCGATCGAGCTGAGTCTCGAGCTGAGGATCGAGCTGAAGATCAGTCCAGGAGAGTGCGGATTTGGGTGAGCCTGAGTGCTATTATTTTGAGGAGTATGAGGCTCCAAGGATGAACCCCTCTGTTGTGGCTGCCCACAAGAGGATTGGACTTCTCCAAAAGTTCAACAAATGGCAAGGGAAGGCCATTGAAAGATGCAAAAGTCCATGGACAAGATGGTGAGCAAGATCAAAAGTTTGGAGAAGAAGGTTTCTGGTTCTTCAAGCAAGAAGAAGAAGGCTCCCATGAGTTCCACATTCCTTAGGAGTAGATCCTTCTCACCACTCCAAGGAGGCTCCCTGCCCAAGAGCCTCACAGAGCCTCTTCTTTCGAGCCAAGAGAGGAGAAGACAACACGCAGAGAAGGAGGAAGACTCAAGGCCAGACGCTCCACTCGACCACCGGACTCGATCGAGTCCAAACAGAGGAAACTCAACTCGATCGAGCTGAGGTATCCAAACACCAACCCTTGTATATACCATTTCATATTTTCTTGCATTTGTTCTTGTTTTTCTTGGTTTTGCCCTCTTGAATCTTTCACTAAATTTTTCTCACACAAGGGACTGTGTGATTTAAGTTTGGGGGAGGGTTCAAGAGATGATTTAACCTTGTTTTCTTTGTTCTTAGTTTTTCATCTTTTGCATAGAAAAACCAAAAAAATCATAAAATTTTCAAAAAATCCAAAAATATTTTCATCTTTTTGCATTCATATTTGTTAGACTTGTTTAGGATTGCATTTTTCACTTGCATTGTTGATTTGACTTTGAAAACTTGTCCATCTTTTGCGATTTCTTGAGTGCCCTGTTTTTAGATTCTTTTGTGCATTAGGGTGAGATTGATTGAGCAGCAAGAACCATGTTTATCTTGATCATATCACTGCATGCACATCTCATTCAACCATTGCTGTGATTTGATGCATTTCCCTATCTATTTGAACCATAACTTGATCTTTAATTACCAATGCTTGCATTTGATTTCAACTCATGGCTACCACATACATATCTGGACATTCTTTACCATTTTCATATCCCTTTTGCTTGTCCAGATAGCTGATCTCTATCTTTGAGACAGTTACCACACCTTAAACCTAAGCCTTTTCATTTCAAACCCCATTATTATCTCTTGTGCGAATGTGAGAACCTTTCTTGGCTTTGCTTAGCATAAGGTGTTGTGTTTAAACCGGCAGGGGCAGTAGTTCTAGTTGTCTAGTTCTCTTGGGATTGTTTTCAGGCTAAGTTTGGGGGTGCCAACTCGAGCTCGATCGAGTTGGGTGTAAAAACCAGAAAAGTGGTAAAAGTTGGGAAAAACCCAAAGGAAAAAGAGTTTAGTTAAGTCCAGGGAGTTGGCAGTGTTAAAAAGGGTCTAGTAAAGGTTTGGGAAGTTAAAAAAGGAAGTAAAAAGGGTTCTAAGTAGAATGAAAAGAAGGCAAAGCCTCAAGTGTCAAAAAGAAAGAAAAGTTCCCTAAGTGTTTAGAAAATCCCAAACCGCTAGATGTTACCTCAAGAAGCCTCTCCCTAGGAAGTTCTTAAAAGAAAAGTGAGCAAAGCTCCTCAGTTTCAAAGGCGAAATGCCAAAAAGGGTAGTTAGGATTTTGTTCTAAAAAGCTCTAAGTGTTGAACTCGATCGAGTTAGGATTAGACGGCTCGAGCTGCTGTTCTTGCATCATCTTTGGTTCTAACACTTAGCCTTCTGCCAAAGCAAAGCCACTTTCTTGAGAGATCCCTGTTACTAAACCACCATACAAAAGAGACCCTCTTTGTCTCTTAACCCATAAACCCTTGAAACCAAATGAGTTGATTGATCTTGCATGTTTTTGGTTCACTGTTTTTGCTTAATGAATGTTAAAGGGATTTGCTGATTTGAATGCATTGTTTGAGTGACTGTGAAGTGGGATTGATGTTGATAAGCATGGTTAAATCTTAATGAATATCTCTCACCTTGTTGCATTCTAGAATCTCTAAGTTGGACATTTAGCAAATCGCTTTTGAGGACATGTTTTTAAGTGTTGAATCAGCTTTTTCAAACCTCATCTCTTTCTTGTTCTATTTGTTTGCTTGAGGGCAAGCAAAGTTCAAGTTTGGGGGTGTTGATGTACTTGCATTTTACATAGTTTTAGCACATCTTTTATGCATCTTTTGCATAGTTTTAGCATCCATTTGCATCATATCTTGTTCCTTTTCTCTTCTTATGCATTCATGTTAGTTTTAGGTTGCATTTGCATACATATGCATGTTTGGTCCTTTGAAATAGGTCTTTTGGAGCATTCTGGAGCATATGGGACATGAGGAGCATGGAGGGACTTGGCACATGGACGCAGCTCAACTGGATACGCAAAGGAAGAAGGGAGAAGCCATCTTGAAGACCAGCTCGACCCCTACTCGACCAACCGGTCGAGTTCCTCAACTCGACCGGCCAAGCTTCAACTCGATCGAGCTGAGAAGTCAACAGTCAAACCCGAAAAATGTTGCTTCCCCCTTGACTTTCCTTTGACCCTAAACCTAATCCTCTTTGTATTTAAAGGCTAAAAGCCACGAAAAAACCACCAAGCTTTAGATTTCTTTTGAATCCTAGAATCTTGGATAATCTCTTTTGTATTTGCACTTGCTTATTTCAATAAAAGTTGTTTATTTCATCTCCTCTTTCTTATGATGTCTCTTTTATTGCATTTGCTTGTGTTTACATTCATGTGTAGTGAGTAGTTACCCATTAGGGTTTGAGATGGGATAGATTAGAGGTTTCATATGCTTAATCCTTCTAGCTTATGGTCTTAATCTAGATTCTCTCTCTTTTGGATAGATCTTAAGGCTACATGACCACTACCCCTGGCTTGTAAGTCCTTAGGCGATTCCCCACACGAAAGTGATGGCATTCGCTGGAAAAGATCCACTAAGAGCTCCAATATCTCTTGCTCTAGAAATAGAGGTCTAAGGGGTTGGATGGATTAGTTTGGGCAATGATCCTATGGCCTCCAAGGTTTGATTCTCACTGGCTAACCCCCTGTTTCTGAGATCATTCCTTGGTTGATAGCCTTCACCTTGGGAAAGGGTTGGCTAGGCATTGAGAAGCCCAATATCAAGAGAAGCCTTGATACAAGGAGTTTTAAGAGCTAGATTGATTAAGTGTAGATTCCTTGATTGCAAAACCCTGTCTTGAACCCTAATTCTCGCTTATCTTGTTAAAGTCGTCACCTTTAGCTTTGTTTGTCTCAACTCGTCCCTAAACTCGATCGAGCTGGTACTTTGTTCTGACTCGACTCGAGTCTTGGTCGAGCTGTACTTCACTGCTTTGTTTACTTTTATTGCATTGCATTTCATTTATTTAGGTTGTTAGTGTTACTTCAAATCTATTACTGCTTGCTTGACTTTCTTGTTGTTTCATATTCTCATAGAGTGACAAGTTTCCCATTTTGGATTGATAACCCTTTGTACTACATCAACTATCATGGTTAAAGGGAATTGTTGACTGTGTTTGTGTTTGCATCTTACCACCTCATCATATACCACTGATTGCATTCCACACATCTCATTTCATATCTTTTCACATCCACACACAAATCCTATCATCAGGCAGCGAACTCGAATGTTCCAACCCGCGTGAAACCATCGGTGATCAACCTCGTCACTCCAGTGACAGCCGAGAACTCGATTCTACCGAATCAGATCTCGCACGCAATTGAGAGACCTCATTTGCGAGTTCGGGTAAAATCTAAAAGATTTCCCGATTACCTCGACACCGATCAGTCGGAAATCTCCGACGCAAACTGTGTCAACATCGTTTGCTTGGCTCGACCGAATCCGGACGACCAAGCCCGAATCAAGCGAATGCTCACCGACCTGATTAACAGTCAATACGACCAAAAAATCAGGTTGGAAAAATATGAACGAAGTCTTGCTGAGCTACGGACGATTATAAGTCCTCCTCCGGGAACTAAGCTCGACTCTTCACCAATCTACGAACCTAACAGCTCGTGAAACGGGATGAGGCGCCACCGCATGCTCCTGTCATCCAGACTCTCATCCCACCGATGAGGTCGTTAAACAGCTCGTCGAAACGGGATGAGGCGCCACTGCGCGCTCATGTCTTCCAGACTCTCGTTCCACCGATGAGCTCGCCAATGAGCATCTTGAACATTCCAGATTCAAGCAAATCGGAGATAGGATCTCAGCCAACAGAGCGACTTCCATCTCCACCTCCAAAGCTATCACGTATCGAGCCAACTATATTTAGATGGCCCGAAACTATGGCTTCCAACTCAAGCTTGCAGGCGATGTCTCAGCTTAAAAATCAGTCCGATGAAATTTTGAGCTCGCAGCTCCCTGCAACAGCTCGAACTGTTGTGAACGGAAACTATCAACAGTTTGCCGCAACAAATGATCTAGTCGATCGAGCTCAATTTCATAGAGCAAACGATCCGACAGATCTAGCTCGATTGACAAAAGCAAACAGCTCGTCAAATCAAGCTCTATCCCATCCAATTTCAACTAACCGGATTCTGTCGATCCGCGAAACCTTTTGGACCGGAATCTTTCGAAAGGTTCCAGGTCCAAACAAACCTCGCATTCTGGCAAGCGAACTCAACGTTTAACCAAACAATGAGTTTGATTCCAGATATCGACAAAGTAATCAGGGAGACACAACAAACTCCCTTCTCATCCAGGATCGCTAACACCTGTCTGCGCGATACTTACAAGCTACGTATCCCAAAATACTCTGGTAACAGCGATCCACGAGCTTATATTCGAGCTCTTTATCTCGAAATACTTCGAGCTCAATTTTCTCCCGAAGAGATAGAAGCAGCTTGCTGCCAACTCTTTGTTGAAAACCTAGACCAGCTAAAAAATGGTTTGAAACGCTGGATGAAAAATCAATAGATAATTTCGACCAGCTGATTTCGGCATTCGTAAACCAATATTCGATCTTCATCGAATCAGAAGTTTCGGAGCCGATCTCTGGAAGCTTTCTCAAGCTCCAAACGAATCACTTCGATCTTATGTCAATAGATTCAAAAAAATCATTGCTAAGATCGAAAACCCTAACGAGGCAGTAGCTCTACTAGCCTTCCAAAACAACCTGTGGTACAAATCAAAATTCAGAGAAGAACTAATCGTTCGACCTCCTGTATCACTCGACGATGCACTTCGCTGCGCGTCAACCTTTGCAACTTTTGAAGAGGAGATCAATCTCCTCCTAGAAAGACATCGCAAAGAAGGATTACCGCAACACTCTCTTTCATTCGCGAACTCAATTCTCAAACCGAACTCGAGTTCCGATTTAGAGAAGTTCTGCGAACATCACCAAATCTACGACCATTCCACCAACGAATGCCGAGCTAGAGCTAAGGAAATAGCTAAAAATCAGAGAGCTGAAGCAAAGATAGAAAATCCAATCAGCCCTCATCTAATGATAACGACAAAGCACCCCGAAAAAGGGAACGCGAGCTCGGAATCATCTCCCAAGAATCATCTCTTTCACATAAGAAGCAATTCGACTCGACCCGGTGTTCAGAGAGCTCAGCTCACGCCGCAGCTCAATGACCCTCGCGGTCACCCGCCCGCCCGCACCAAAAAGATAGCGAGCTCTAGCTTATGCAGAGCTCACAATCTCGCGGGGGAGTTGAGCGTCTTATTAGACAGCTAACGAAAACCTCAACCCGAGTTTAAGAACTTTGCGAACTCATGCTTACGCTGATTTCACAAGTTTTCGGGGGAGTGGAGCCACCCACCCTCAAATGAATTAAATTCATTCGCGGAGGCTCGAACAAGTGCTAAGACTCGAACAACTCGATCAAAGCATACAACAAAAGGTCAAATCTTCTAGATGAGCTCTTCCTCTAGAAAGATTCGACCTAAAAACCAAACTCTTGAAAACCAATAGGTTCCACAAGAAAAAGCCCACGATGATTAACTCGTAATAAAGCTCGAAAAAGCAAGCTCAAGTTAATACGTCATGGCAAAGAGAGTTCGGTGATAAGGAAACAGGAACCAACTTGGAATGACCTAATCCCATCACCAAAGTAGTTCGGCAAAACGTCAACAAACTCTCATCCCCCCTTGAACTACGTTTAGGCTTGATCCCTATTCAGGGTACGTAGGCAGCTCCACCCAAGAGCGCAGCCACCATTATCTAAATCTTTAGATTACGAGAAGTCTATCTACGCCCAATGGGAATAACTTGACCTCACCAAGCATATTTGTCCAAGCAGATACGCTACCCCAACTACTTGTAAAGACGAGGTCGAGTAATACCTCGACGGAATCAAGTCTTCAAGCCGAGCTGTACGCGTTGGGCGGTAATATTACTTAGACCGACGGAATCCGGTAATGTCCGGACCGTACAGATTAGGTGGTAATATCGCTCAGACCGATGATTTCCGGAATTATCTGGATCTCACGAGTCGGGTGACGATATCGCTCAGACCAACCAGACCATGAAATATCTGGTCTGACGTATCTGACGATAATGTTGCTTATACCGGTGAGCCCTGGAAACAGTTGGGGAGGAGGACTGACCTCGACTCCGCCAAGCATATCTGTCCAAGCAGATATGCTACCTTAGCTACTTGTTAACACGAGGTCGAGTAATACCTCGACGGAATCAAGTCTTCAAGCCGAGCTGTACGCGTTGGGCGGTGATATTACTTAGACCGACGGAATCTGGTAATGTCCGGGCCGTACAAGTTAGGTGGTAATATCGCTCAGACCGATGAGTTCCGGAATTATCTGGATCTCACGAGTCGGGTGACGATATCGCTCGGGCCAAAGAGACCATGAAATATCTGGTCTGACGTGTCTGACGGTAATGTTGCTTATATCGATGAGCCCTGGAAACAGTTGGGGAGGAGGACGAGAACGACCTCAGAGGCTATGAAAAAAGCACGACTCTAATCCTAAAGATCATCTAGAACCTATTATCGGTCTAGAACCTGAACTACGTTAGGCTTGATCCCTATTCTTGGTACGTAGGCAGCTCGAACTACGAGCGCAGCCACCATCAACTATCAAGATCCTAAGACTAAGAAAAGTCCGTCCAGGCTCAGTAAGACTGACCTTGACCCCATCAAATATACTTATCCGAGTACATACTACATCCGGGCTACTTGTAAAGACAAGGTCGAGTAATACCTCGACGGAATCAAATCTTCAAGACCGGGCTGTACGTGTTTGGCGATAATACTACTGAGATCGATGAGCTCCGGTAATGTCCGAGCTGTACGAGTCAGGCGGTAATATCGCTTAGACCAATGTGACCATGAAATAGCTGGTCTGGTTGAGTCGGGTGATCATATTGCAGACCGATAAGACTATGAAATAGCTGGACTTTGTGTGTGATGTGATAATGTTGCTTATACCGATGAGCCCCGGAAACAGCCAGAATGGCAGTTTGAACATGGACGAGATACGCGAAGGAGGTCGAGATCGACTTCAGAAGCTAGGAAGAGAGATCGATTCTAATCCTAGAGATCACCTAGAACCTATCATCGGTCTAGGACTAAAAATAAATCTTTGGGCTCAACAACCCAAAGCAGCTAAACATTCGAATCACTCCTAAGAACATCAAATACTTAGCAAAATGCCAGTCATACCAGACTGAAGATCTGAAAGGTAATCAGCTCGAGTACGAGCAGTTCTCGAAGATTAAGACCAAGTGCTGATCATGTAGATCAAACTACGAAATCACACAATTGGCAAAAGCCAGTCAAATCCGACTGAAGATCTGAAAGGAGTTTAGCTCGATTTGAGGCAATCCTTGAAGATTAAGTCCAAACATCGATTGTGTAGTTAATATACTCAAATCAGATGATTGGCAAAAGCCAGTCAAATCCGACTGAAGATCTGAAAGGAGTTTAGCTCGATTTGAGGCAATCCTTGAAGATTAAGTTCAAACAACAATTGTGTAGTTAATCTACTCAAATCAGATGATTGGCAAAAGCCAGTCGAATCCGACTGAAGATCTTAAAGGGAATCAGCTCGATCCCAAGCAGCTCTCAAAACTCGGCCCAATTGCTGATCATGTGGATTAATCTACAAAATCACGCAATCGGCAAAGACCTGGTAACCGACTAAAAGTCTGAAAAGAAATCAGCTCGACTTAAAGCAATCTTTAAAGATAAAGCTCGAGTGCTGATTGTGTAGATTAACCTACTGAATTCAGACGATCATCTAAAATCGGTCGCTTTCAACCAGCAAAAACCAATAAAAGGATAGTTGAACCCGAAACAACCTTCCAAGATGAAGCCCAACAAGTTTATACATTTCTCAGAAGAAATCAACTGAGCTTCGTCTGACTCGACCAGTTAGCTAACACGCTAGAACAATGGAGCTAACAGTCAATTGATCTAGAAAACAAAGATAAACTCAAGACATCGAAACGTCTAGAAAAATTATCAAATATCAAGCTCATCCCGAGCAAACAAGTTTGAACATAAAAGGATAAAAGCCTTCCCAGGAACCAAATCCAAACGCAAAGCATGAAAACCTTGCCGAGCTAACTTGTTCGAAACTTAAACGAAAAAGAGCTCATCCTTAGCAAGCCAAAATTTAAGCAAATCGCTTTGACGAGCTACTCTATTTCTCGAATATTTGAGCTCAGTATCGAACTCATCTACTACGTGTTTCATCTTATCAAGCTTCATGTAATCTCTGCTCACAATGAGCAGAGAGCTTCATGTTAACCTTCAAAGATTGATAAGAGGGACATAAAATATTAAGTCCAAGATATCAAATCATTGGCAAAAAATTAGAAAAGGTAAAACCATACCTTCTCATCTGCCGCCATCGCTGCCGCATACAGCTCTCTCTCGAGCGTCATATCCAAAACTGGAGATTGATTTGCAGCAGGCCCGCATTGGCGCAATATGAACGTTCAAGGATTATCCAAAACTGGCACATCCTTCGAACAATCTATTACTAAAAGGGATGACGGACTCGCCGTCGAGTTAACTCGCTTTTTCAAGGAGCTCGACAAATTCGGAGTCCGATTATCACCTCTTGCTCATTTCGAGCTCCATCCTCGTTGTTCGCTATTCAAACTCGTCGAGATAGTTTGTCTCAAATGAGTCACTTGGGTATTATCCCCAGTAGCAGCATGAGGAACCCGACCTACTACTTCATCACGAAGAGTAGATTCGACCGCAACATGGACAATCTCCACAACTCCATTAGCTCTAGATTGGATTGCTTGCTCACAACGAGCGGCAGCCGACTTTGCAGATCGTTCACAACGTTAACTCGTGAGAAATATTCTCTCTTCCAAGAGGTGGAATATTCGAAGTCGGGCTCTAATCTGTAACAGATGGAACGCGGCGAAAAACAGTAACAAACAAAATTTTGTTGCTAAAAACTGGATGAAAGCCTTCACATGTATTAAGTCCGAAACAGAACATATGACTCGCCCAAGTCATTACAGCGAAAAACTTTCTCTATCGCAGCATCAAGCTCGATTCAAAGTTCGCTCGGGACATATACCATCCTGTCAAGCTCGATTCTAAATAGATTCTTACTTGATCTTATATGATCCCAAGAAATCAACTAAGTCTCACCTAGTCTGATTTGAATGGCAGTCAAGCACTCAGCCAAATTCTCGAGCTAAAACTCGAGAACATCTTCAAGATCGAGCTAGATTCTCAATAGATTCTAACCCGACCTTAAAAATATCTTCAAAGATATTGACTAAGTCTTTGTTCAGCTTAGCTCAATGATAAGCTCGAACGTTTGGTCAAAATACCATTCGAACCAAAGACTAGATTTTATTTAGCTCGACCTAAATAAAACAAATACTTAGTCGAAATCATGCCAAGTTTGACTCGAAATTTCAAAAAGAAATCAGTTAAACTTGAAGCAACTTTCCAGAAAGAATTGGCAAAGTCTTTTCTGCTAGATTTCGGTCAACCGAAAATCTTATGCGAGAAATAGTCAAACAAACCGACTAGAATTCATTTAGTCGTATCGTTTTTCGAGTTCGAGTTCGGAAAAACAATCCGACTTGGAGTGACCAAGTTCGATTAAAGAATTTAATCAACAACTGGTCGAACTCGAAAAACAATCGATTAACTCAAAAAGAGCTGCGCAATGTTTGAGTTAGTTAAACCAAAAGCCTTCTCGAGAAACAATCTGAAAGAGTTGATAATCGCAAATCTTCTCCTAAGGTTTTCTTTACTCTCGAAAAGCTCGACTCTTAAGATCATAATAGCTCTTCGATCTGTTTTCGATCTTGATTGTCGATCTAAAGAATAAGTTATTACCTTGTCTTTCAAGGTGAAACTATCTTTCAACGGCAAGATCTTAAGATCTTTCGCCTTCCCGTTTGCAAACCGTCAATTTCCAATGACTATTTAAAGTCATGATTTAGTTCGACGGGACTGCGGGACAATTTTAAAACAACCTACCGCTCATTAAGTTCGATTATAATCACTTAATGAGCTGGGGGGCTATTGTTGGACCTGGATTTCCCTCCAGAAATCCGGCCCATAAGGCCCATCATCTAAGTCCTAAGATCAAGATAAGTCCACTCAGGCCCAGTAAAGTGACCTCGAGCCCACCAAGTATCCTTGTCCAAATCCAGCTGTTTACTGTCCGAGCTACTTGTGAAGACGAAGTCGAGCTCTAGCTCGACGGAGTCGAGTCCGCAAGCTGAGTTTGAACGAGTCAAACGAGAATCTCGCTTCGACTGTTCAGATCCGGAAATAGCGGGATCGGTAGTTGCACGTGGACGAGATACGCGGAGGAGGTTGCGATCTACTTCGGGCTATAAAAAGAGGACGATTCTTGATCACAAGGCAGAGAATGTTCTTTTGGACACAAGTTCTATGAGACAAGATTTCCTTTGATAAAAAAATCACTGCACAAGTTCTTCTCATATCTTTTCACAGCAGAAACAGAGTGAAGTTCTTCTTCTTCGTCTTGAGATATTCTCATATCTTTTCTCTTCGATCTTATCCTTGATCTTCGAGATAATCCCAGAAAGCCTGATCTTTCTAGCCGGAAATCACTTCCGGCAGAAGTTCGACATAATCTCTTACCTTCGGATCACTCCGATAACCTGAGATTTATCGTCATCTTCACACCCCTTTAACTCTTTTCGTGGTCATTTCTCTTCAGAAAACGACTCGAAATAGAGAACAACTTAACATCGAACTACGTCCAGGCTTGATCCCTAAAACAGGGTACGTAGGCAGCTCGTTACACGAGCGCAGCCACCACCTCATTTCCATCTCTTTTGCTTAGTCGAATCCTAGTGTTTTACATGGTCTTTTAGGCCGGTTTTGTAACCACTTTATTCGATTAGCCTAAGTCCGATTTCGTCAAATATTTGTCTACGAATCATTCGACTTACATCAGAATCTAACCTCTGATTCCACAGGCAATTTCTCCCTACAAAATACACATAAATTTTGAGTGTGGTTTTCCGAACCCACAGTGTGGGTACTTTGTTTCCACAAAGTCCATGGAGAAGAGAGCATTGTAGTGCTCTTGGTACATGGGGAGTTCATCCTCCTCTTCTTGTGGCTCAGCCTCCTCCATGGGCTCATCTTGGTTACTCTCATGCCCACTTTCATCAACCTCTTGATTGACCTCCTCTCCTTCTTCTTCACTTTCAGACTCATCACTCTCTTCTCTTCCAATGTTTACCCCAATCTCAAAATCTCCTTGCTCGCTCTCACTACTAATGGGGTCATTCCTCTTCTTAGTCCTCCTCTCTTCCCTCAGTCTCTCGCTCTCAGATTCCAATTCAGAGTAAACATATCCCTCTGCATCAGAAACTTCAATCCTTTGATTCATCCCTTCCAAATCGGCTTGCAACTTTAGCCTCCTTTCCACTGCATTGCTTGATTCACCCTCAACCATTCTCCTTTGCGAAGCACGGCTTCCCTCACTGTTTGTCATCCTTGTTATGTTGGTTTTTTTCAACTAAGGTTCCTTGCTTGGATGATGATTGAACTAGAACAGTGATGCGGAGTCAGGTTTTACCAAACTCCTAGACCTCTGCAAGTGCACAGATCGCGGAAGTATGGGTATCGAACACAAGGACTGGCTATTGAGTACACTTTGAAACTATGGATTTTGGATCAAGCTAAAACAAAAGTATGATTGAGGTTGTAATGGTGAACCGAACTAGCAAGTATAACGAGGTTGTAAACAATAAAGGAAAAGCGCTAGGTCATAGGGGCTATCGCAGAGAAGCAAGCAATGATCAATGAAACAATGATAGATTAATTGATTAGGGATATTGGGATATTAAGAACCATCTAGAACACAGATCACGAATATAAAACCATTCCACTTTCGAGGCTCCGGCTCCTTTGCTAATCTACCTAGTCGCTAAACTTTTGGTATGTCCCTAGGTGATTAGATCAAGCATTAGAATGAATAGGTTCTGATACAGTTCACTAGATATAGATAGATCAACTTTCGCAGTCTAAGAAACCTAGCTTGTCAAAGAATATGTCCGGCGAATGATACAGCACTGTCGAGGCTCAAATCAACCTAAGATCGGATTACTAGATGCGCGGTAAAGCAATCAGCATTAGTTAAGTGCACAAGACGAGACAAAGACTCTAATATAATCCCTAGCTAATCATTGAAATCAAAGATCATGCAAGCAACTCATTGAATAGTAACCCTAGCAACCTAACTAGTGGATTACTCAGACATGATCAAAGCAAACACACATAGAGATGAAGAAAACATGATTGCAATAAAACTTAGAGTAGGAAATCGAAATACAGGGCGGCTCTCTTTCACAAGAGGCTAAAAATCCATATATATAGTGCTAGGTCTTTCTAGAGGCGGCTTAGGGTTAAGCCGGGCTTGAAAAATAAATTTGGGCTTCAAAACGGGCTTCGGGTCGACCGCGGCGTTGGGACGGTCGGTCGGGACGATCGGCCGGACATCGGGTCGTGGCCGAGTCGGAACGGTCGGGGTCGGACGGATTCACGGTCGGTCGGCGTGGTCGGCGGATGAGTTTGGCCGATGAAATCTCTCGGCCGGACGCGAGGCGTTACTCCCCGGGTCGGACGGAGCGTTCGTGCGCGGTACGTGCGCGAGTTGTGGCGTGGCCGGTTGTGGCGTGGCCGACCGCGGGCTTGAGTTTCCCGGGTCGTGATGCGTGATCGGCCGAGTGGTTTTGGACTTTGGCCGAGACTTCAGACGGACGGACGAGTTTTGGCCGAGCGCGGAACATCGTTCCTCGGCCAGCCGGACTGCGCGGTTGGGCGCTGTTTCTCGATAGAGCCGTCTGGACAGTCTCCACTCTTTTGGCTATAACTCCTTTTCTACTCATCCAAATGGCCATTCCATTGCGTTGGAAAGTTAACTCAATCAGAGCACGCAGGGAACTGGTCTTGATGAAATCCATTGAGTAGATCTTTTTCTGGGCCCTCTTAAAGTTGGTGCTTGTGCATGGAGCTGCTTGAAGTGCAAATCCTATGGTTTTGCTCCAAAATGCATCATTTCACCTGTTTAGACTCTAGACACTATAAACACAGTAAAACTACCTTTTTAGATAGAAAACCTGCCAAAAACCATTAGAAAACAATGCTAAAACAGTATAAAAAGTGGGTAAATTAGAGGTATATCAACTCCCCCAGACTTAGATCTTTGCTTGTCCTCAAGCAAAAAGAATCTAAATCCGTGAAAGAGGTTTGAAAACGTGGAAGCTCCCTTGCTCTTTTGAATATCCTGTGAAAGGTTCCTTTCCTGTATTCCACTATGAACATAGACAACATAAGGTTAGCTTCACATACACCCTGCAAGTTTAGCGAACAATACCAACCCAACTAGTCTCATCCAGCAATCCAAACTCTCTATTGCTAACCTCTTGCATAAATTTAAAGCGTGAATTCTTTATCAAGGGGACATCGATCAATTGAACTTGTTCTTACCCACTTGATCCTCTCCAAGATTGCCTCTTTCAAGTGCAATGAGTTCTTTTCCTCTCTCTTTCTCACATCAGAACTTTGAAAGGTCAATTTCTCCCTACTTTTCTAGGGTATCATTTTATTTTTTCTATTGACCCTTCTTTCAACCACAGGATAAGTCTTTAGCTTGTTCCTTGTTTGACTAAGGTATTCCATAAGACATGAAGGTACAGACATATGCATTCCTCATGCTTACTTGTTGTCCTTGTGCTCTTTGAGCTTTTTCTCATATCACATTACTTACCATTTGGGATGGGAGAGAGAGGAGAACTCTTACAAGACGAGACAAAGACTCTAATATAATCCCTAGCTATTCATTGAAATCAAAGATCATGCAAGCAACTCATTGAATAGTAACCCTAGCAACCTAACTAGTGGATTACTCAGACATGATCAAAGCAAACACACATAAAGATGAAGAAAACATGATTGCAATAAAACTTAGAGTAGGAAATCGAAATACAGGGCGGCTCTCTTTCACAAGAGGCTAAAAATCCATATATATAGTGCTAGGTCTTTCTAGAGGCGGCTTAGGGTTAAGCCGGGCTTGAAAACATAAATTTGGGCTTCAAACGGGCTTCGGGTCGACCGCGGCATTGGGACGGTCGGTCGGGACGATCGGCCGGACAGTTGGGTCGTGGCCGAGTCGGAACGGTCGGGGTCGGACGGATTCACGGTCGGTCGGCGTGGTCGGGCGGATAGATGTTTGGCCGATGAAATCTCTCGGCCGGACGCGAGGCGTTACTCCCCGGGTCGGACGGAGCGTTCGTGCGCGGTACGTGAAGCGAGTTGCGCGGCCGCGAGGCATTACTTCCCGGCTCGCGCGCTTTGGTCGTGCGCGGTTGTGGCGTGGCCGGTTGTGGCGTGGCCGACCGCGGGCTTGAGTTTCCCGGGTCGTGATGCGTGATCGGCCGAGTGGTTTTGGACTTGGCCGAGACTTCAGACGGACGGACGCAGTTTTGGCCGAGCGCGGAACATGCGTTCCTCGGCCAGCCGGACTGCGCGGTTGGGACGCTGTTCTCTCGATAGAGCCGTCTGGACAGTCTCCACTCTTTTGGCTATAACTCCTTTTCTACTCATCCAAATGAAGCCATTCCAATTGCGTTGGAAAGTTAACTCAATCAGAGCACGCAGGGAACTGGTCTTGATGAAATCCATTGAGTAGATCTTTTTCTGGGCCCTCTTAAAGTTGGTGCTTGTGCATGGAGCTGCTTGAAGTGCAAATCCTATGGTTTTGCTCCAAAATGCATCATTTCACCTGTTTAGACTCTAGACACTATAAACATAGTAAAACTACCTTTTTAGATAGAAAACCTGCCAAAAACCATTAGAAAACAATGCTAAAACAGTATAAAAAGTGGGTAAATTAGAGGTATATCAAACAGTAGCTAGAAACTAAAGCAATTCAAGAAATTGAACAAGGAGGAATCGCAAAACCTTAAAGGAGGATGAGAGATTTTCGGATTTCCTTAGGAACAAGAGAGAGAGGTGAATGATTTTCAGAAAAGTTTGAGTGTGGGAAAGAGAGAGGGGTTGGGCGATCGAGTTATGGGGAAGAGGGAGTGTTTTAGATGTGTGGTGAGGATTAAAAGAGGGTTTAATGAGGGGACAAAAGCTAGGGGTTTTTCTGATCGATTTAGGAAAGTGGGGGACCAAAATTTACATGTGGGACCCACCCCCTTGACCAAGGAAACGGTGAGAAATTTGAAATTTAAAAAATTTACCTTGGTCGCGTTGTGGAACTCGATCAAGTTACCTTTGTTTCTAGCTCGATCGAGCTGTCGGTCGAGCTGGCTTTTTGTCACCTAAACTTAATCCTCCTGAAACGTTAAGGCACAAAATACTAGAAAGAAATTGCAATAAAGAATATGTACAAGGATAGTCATGGGACTTCCTCCCAAGTGAGCTTGTTTAAGGTCCCATAGCTTGACCTTTACCTCTTAGGCATTGGTTGAGCTAGTCCCACCATCAAGGGTGATAGTGAGGACTTGGGATAGGAGCTCCTTTAGCTTGGTTGGATCCCTGGACTGCTCTGAAGTGACCAAGGCTTTGGCTCTAGAGAATGGTCTTGATCTCCCCTTGTACCTTATCTTGTACTCAATCTTTCCATTTTCAAACTTGGTGGGGAACAAGGTCATAGTGAGCTGAGATGGCTTGGCTGAGGAAACCTGAGCTGGTGGGTCCTTTCTTTTTTTCCCACAAGTGCCTTGAGGCTGCATCCTCCCCTTCTTTTTGAGCCCTTCCTAGTGGCTCATCAAACAAAGCTTGGAGGCTTTCCTCATCAAGGACAAAAGGTGCTTGAACAAGCGCCTATCAGCTCTTGGTTTATCAGATCGTGGTCTCTCAACTCTTAGCCTCTCAAGGCGTGGTTTCTCAATCCTTGGTCCCTTATCAACTCTTTGATCTTTCTCCACCTTATCTTTCTCAACCTTATCTCTCACAACTCTTGGCTCTTTGTCAACCTTTTCCTTCACAACCTTTGCAACTTCAGGAGCTTTGAAACTGGGAGGAGTGCTTTCAATGTGGCACAAAAGTCTGACCTCTAGGCTGCAAGCGATATGACACCAAACTATTCACCTTGTGAAGAATCACTTCTTGTTTGTGAAAGTCTATTGAAGCGCCAACTGTGCTAAGGAATGGGGTTCCCAATAGCAGAGGTAGATCCTTTCTTCTTCCATCTCCATGACAGTGAGGTCAGTTTGGATGATGCATTCTCCTATTTTCAAGTGATAGTTCTTGAACACACCAAGAGGAGACTTGAAGTTGCATCTCCAAACATGATTGAAGTAGTAGGGCGCTGCAATGCTCCAGCAATGCCAAGCTTCTCTGCCATTGTGAGGGAGATCAGGTTGATGCTTGCACCAGAATCCACCAAGGCATTGTCAAGCTCAATATGCCCAAGTGTGCAAGGGAGAGTGAACTTCCCTTGATCCTTCACCTTTGGTAAGAAAGTAGGTGAGGTAAGCAGGTTGATTTGGTGAGTAGACATCTCCAGAACCTCTGAAACCTTATCAATGTTAGCCATAACATCTTAATCATCTTCATTTGCTCAAATGCCTCACTCATGCTTTCCATAGAAGGCAACTCAATTCCAATCTCACTAAGATCTCTTCTGAACTTGTGAATCACTTCCTATGGCCTTGACTGAGTAGGCGAGATGAGGATGGTTAACTGGCTGGTAAGGATCAAGCAAAATCGGTTTGAGACTGATGTCTTCTGACTCGATCGAGCTAGGTCGACTCGATCGAGCTGCCGATCGAGCTTGTTGTGCGAGCTCAACTGGTGAAGTGTGAATGGCTATGGGAGTAGCTGCACTTCAGGTTGATCAATTCTGGACTCCAGGAGCCTCAGCAGCAACAATCTCGTCATCATTCAGCAGCAAACAAAACTCTTCCATGACTCTCTCTTGATCCTCTTCTTCATCAAGCCCTTCTTGAGTGAAGATGACCTTGCACTGTTCCTTGGGGTTCTGAATAGCTTTACCAGGTAGTTGTCCTTGCTTTGTAGCAGCAGCAACAGAAGAAGCATGATTCTCCAGAGAGTACACTCTTGTGTTGAGATTCTCAATCTTGGAGTTGATTTCAGCCAACTTCTTGCTTGTGTCCACAACACCATCAGCTTGACCTTGACCTTGAAGCAACTGTTTCAGCATAGCCTTGAGCTCATGCTCAGGTGTAGGCGCAGGCTGGGGTGGTTGGTGGGGAAAGCCAGGTGGTATGTGCATTTGCTGACCAGGAAAAGTCCCTTGAGGGCCTTGGTAGTTGTTTTTAGGACCATACCCATGTTGTGGAGCTTGACTCGATCGAGCTTGCTGTTGTTGAGGGTAAACCTGGTCCTTGAGGGTTGGCAACATCAGTGTTTCTGTAAGATATGGCTGAGTTGGTGATGATAGGATTTTGTGTGTGTGATGTGATGATATGGTATGAAATGTAAATGAGGTGGAATGCAACAGTGGTATATGAAGATGAGATGGTATGATGCAAAACACAATCACAATCAATCAATTCCCCTTAACCATCATAGTCATTGAAGTATAAGGGGTATCAATCCATAATGGGTGAAATTTTACTCTATGAGATATGCAATCACAAGGAAGTCAAGCAGACAGTAAATGAGATGATAGTAACTCTAACAACCTAATGAAACAGAAATGCAAAGCATAAAGTAAAGAAAGCAGTAAAGCAAGCAGCTCGACCAAGGACTCGAGTCGAGTGGGAACAGAGTAACCAAGCTCGATCGAGTTGAGGGTCGAGTTAGAGTAAAAGCGATAAAGGCAGGAACTTTAACAAGCTAATGCGAATATTAGGGTCTAAGACAGGGTCTTACAATCAGAGGAAGCTATACTTAATCAATCTTGCTCTCAAACAACTTGTATCAAGGTATCTCTTGATATTGAGCTTCTCAATGCCTAGCTAACCCTTTCCCAAGGTGAAAGCTATCAACCAAGCATGATCTCAGAAACAGGGGGTTAGCCAGTGAGAATCAAGCCTTGGAGGCCATAGGATCATTGCTCAAACTAATCCATCCAACCCCTATGAACTCCATTTCGAGAGCAAGAGTTATTGGAGCTCTTAGTGGACCTTTTCCAAGCGATTTCCATCACTTCCATGTGGAGAATCGCCTATGGACATACAAGCCAGGGGTAGTGGTCATGTAGCCTTAAGGTTTGTCCAAAAGAGAGAGATTTCTAGATTAAGAACATAAGCAAGAAGGATTAAGCATAAGATCCCCTAATCTAGCCCATCTTTGACCCTAAAGGAAACTACTCACTACACATGAATGTAAACACAATCAAATGCAATGAAATACATAATATGAAAGAGGGAAAAAATAAACAACTTTTATTGAAATAAGCAAGTGCAAATACAAAAGATATCCAGATCTAAGGTTCAAGAGCAAGAGCTCAAGAACACAAAGAGAGGCTAGGTTTTGCAAAAAGTAAAATACAATTAAAGAAAAGCTAAAACAAAAATAAGCTAAAGATTGTTTCTTTTTCGTGGCTTAGAGCCTTTAAATACAAGAGGATTAGGTTTAGGGTCAAAGGAAAGTCAAGGGGGAAGCAACATTTTTCGGGTTTGACTGTTGACTTCTCAGCTCGATCGAGTTGAAGCTTGGCCGGTCGAGTTGAGGAACTCGACCGGATGGTCGAGTAGGTGGTCGAGCTGGTCTTCAAGATGACTTCCTCCTTCTTCCTTTGTGTTCAAGAGCAAGAGATCAAGAACACAAAGAGAGGATTAGGGTTGCAAAAAGTAAAATACAATTAAGAAAAGCTAAAACAAAAATAATCTAAAGCTTGGTTTTTTTTCGTGGCTAGAGCCTTTAAATACAAGAGAGATTAGGTTTAGGGTCAAAGGAAAGTCAAGGGGGAAGCAACATTTTTCGGGTTTGACTGTTGACTTCTCAGCTCGATCGAGTTGAAGCTTGGCCGGTCGAGTTGAGGAACTCGACCGGTTGGTCGAGTAGGTGGTCGAGCTGGTCTTCAAGATGGCTTCCTCCTTCTTCCTTTGCGTATCCAGTTGAGCTGCGTCCATGCCAAGTCCTTCCATGCTCCTCACGTCCCATATGCTCCAGAATGCTCCAAAAGACCTATTTCAAAGGACCAAACATGCATATGTATGCAAATGCAACCTAAAACTACTATGAATGCATAAGAAGAGAAAAGGAACAAGATATGATGCTAATGGATGCTAAAACTATGCAAAAGATGCATAAAAGATGTACTAAAACTATGCAAAATGCAAGTACATCAACACCCCCAAACTTGAACTTTGCTTGCCCTCAAGCAAACAAATAGAACAAGAAAGAGATGAGGTTTGAAAACAATTGATTCAACACTTAAAAACATGTCCTCAAAAGCGATTTGCTAAATGTCCAACTTAGAGATTCTAGAATGCAACAAGGTGAGAGATATTCATTAAGATTTAACCATGCTTATCAACATCAATCCCACTTCACAGTCACTCAAACAATGCATTCAAATCAGCAAATCCCTTTAACATTCATTAAGCAAAAACAGTGAACCAAAAACATGCAAGATCAATCAACTCATTTGGTTTCAAGGGTTTATGGGTTAAGAGACAAAGAGGGTCTCTTTTGTATGGTGGTTTAGTAACAGGGATCTCTCAAGAAAGTGGCTTTGCTTTGGCAGAAGGCTAAGTGTTAGAACCAAAGATGATGCAAGAACAGCAGCTCGAGCCGCCTAATCCTAACTCGATCGAGTTCAACACTTAGAGCTTTTTAGAACAAAATCCTAACTACCCTTTTTGGCATTTCGCCTTTGAAACTGAGGAGCTTTGCTCACTTTTCTTTTAAGAACATCCTAGGGAGAGGCTTCTTGAGGTAACATCTAGCGGTTTGGGATTTTCTAAACACTTAGGGAACTTTTCTTTCTTTTTGACACTTGAGGCTTTGCCTTCTTTTCTTTCTACTTAGAACCCTTTTTACTTTCTTTTTTAACTTCCCAAACCTTTACTAGACCCTTTTTAACACTGCCAACTCCCTGGACTTAACTAAACTCTTTTTCCTTTGGTTTTTCCCAACTTTTACCACTTTTCTGGTTTTTACACCCAACTCGATCGAGCTCGAGTTGGCACCCCCAAACTTAGCCTGAAAACAATCCCAAGAGAACTAGACAACTAGAACTACTGCCCCTGCCGGTTTAAACACAACACCTTATGCTAAGCAAAGCCAAGAAAGGTTCTCACAATTCGCACAAGAGATAAATGGGGTTTGAAATGAAAAGGCTTAGGTTTAAGGTGTGGTAACTGTCTCAAAGATGGAGATCAGCTATCTGGACAAGCAAGAGGGATATGAAATAGGTAAAGAATGTCCAGATATGTATGTGGTAGCCATGAGTTGAAATCAAATGCAAGCATTGGTAATTAAAGATCAAGTTATGGTTCAAATAGATAGGGAAATGCATCAAATCACAGCAATGGTTGAATGAGATGTGCATGCAGTGATATGATCAAGATAAACATGGTTCTTGCTGCTCAATCAATCTCACCCTAATGCACAAAAGAATCTAAAAACAGGGCACTCAAGAAATCGCAAATGATGAACAAGTTTTCAAAGTCAAATCAACAATGCAAGTGAATGATGCAATCCTAAACAATCTAACAAATATGAATGCAAAAAGATGAAAATATTTTTGGATTTTTTGAAAATTTTATGATTTTTTTGGTTTTTCTATGCAAAATAAATGAAAAACTAAGAACAAAGAAAACAAGGTTAAATCATCTCTTGAACCCTCCCCCAAACTTAAATCACACAGTCCCTTGTGTGAGAAGAAATTTAGTGAAAGATTCAAGAGGGCAAAACCAAGAAAAAAAAACAAATGCAAGAAAATATGAAATGGTATATACAAGGGTTGGTGTTTGGATACCTCAGTGCCCCCCAAAGAACTGGGAGGCAAGGTCGTGGTCTGGAGAGGGAGACGGCCATCAGGAGCACTCCACTCGATCCTGTAGCTCGATCGAGCTTGCTCTTGGCTCGATCGAGTTGTGCCTCGAGTTGTTGCTCCTTCTTCCTAAAACCTTCCTGCAAGACTTAGCAAGAAAAACATAAAAGATAAAAGCGATATATATATAAGATAGACATGGGAATTCCTCCCAAGTGAGCTTGTTTTAGGTCTCATAGCTTGACCTTAAACCTTTTAGGCAGGGGTTGGATCTTGAAGAGGAGTGATGATCTCCTCTGTGGGGGTCATTCCTAGGTAGGGCTTGCATCTATGCCCATTCACTGTGAATTCCTTCCCCTCTTGGTTGAGCAGAGTGAGGGATCCATAGGGTAGAACTTCATGATCTTGAATGGCCCCGACCACTTTGACCTCAACTTCCCGGGAAACAACCTCAACTTGGAGTTAAACAAGAGCACACTGTCCCCAACCTTGAAGTCTTTAAGGCGAATCAGTTTGTCGTGGGCTGCCTTGGTTCTCATCTTATAAATCATGGAGTTCTCATAGGCATTCATTCTGATTTCCTCCAACTCAAACAAGTTCATTACTCTCCTTTCTTGTGCTGCCTTTATGTCAAAGTTCAGCATCTTACTGCCCATAAAGCCTTATACTCGACCTTCCACAGGCAAGTGGCAAGCCTTTCCATATAAAAGTTGAAAGGAGACCTTCCAATGGGGGTTTTGTAAGCTGTCCTATAAGCCCAAAGAGCTTCATCAAGTCTTGTCGACTAATCTTTTCTATTAAAACTCACTTGAGTCTGCCTATTGGAGACCTCAACTTGTCCACTGGTTTGAGGATGGTAAGGTGTAGCTGATGATAGGATTTGTTGATTGTGAGATGCAAAACACAATCGCAATCAACAATTCCCCTTAACCATCATAGTCATCATAGTATAAGGGGTATCAATCCATATGGGTGAAATTGTCACTCTATAAGAATATGAAATAACAAGGAAGTCAAGCAGACAATAAATGATATGGTGGTAACTCTAACAACCTAATGAAACAAAATACAAAGCGGTAAGGTAAAGAAAGTAGCTCGACCAAGGGCTCGAGTCGAGTGGGAACAGAGTAACCAAGCTCGATCTTATGGGTCGAGTTGAAGTAAAAACGATAAAGGCAGGAACTGTAACAAGCTAATGCGGATATTAGGGTCTAAGACAGGGTCTTACAATCAGAGGAAAGCTATACTTAATCAATCTTGCTCTCAAACAACTTGTATCAAGGTATCTCTTGATATTGAGTTTCTCAACGCCTAGCTAACCCTTTCCCAGGGTGAAAGGTATCAACCAAGACTTGATCTCAGAAACAGGGGGTTAGCCAGTGAGAATCAAGCCTTGGAGGCCATAGGATGATTGCTCAAACTAACTCCATTTCGAGAGCAAGAGTTATTGGAGCTCTTAGTGGACCTTTTCCAACGATTTCCATCACTTCCATGTGGAGAATCGCCTAATGACATACAAGCCAGGGGTAGTTGTAACACCCCGACTCGATCTAAACACATAGACAAAGCCGGTGAGCATCACAATTTGCCGAGATTTGCTGGATAGGCCATCCCGTGCAAAGAACACATCACAGCCCAGGTCAGTCCGTCCCGCGAGCTCGACCCTCTCAGCGATGATGTACTTGCATTTTACATAGTTTTAGCACATCTTTTATGCATCTTTTGCATAGTTTTAGCTTCCATTTGCATCATATCTTGTTCCTTTTCTCTTCTTATGCATTCATGTTAGTTTTAGGTTGCATTTGCATACATATGCATGTTTGGTCCTTTGAAATAGGTCTTTTGGAGCATTCTGGAGCATATGGGACATGAGGAGCATGGAGGGACTTGGCACATGGAAGCAGCTCAACTGGATACGCAAAGGAAGAAGGGAGAAGCCATCTTGAAGACCAGCTCGACCAACCGGTCGAGTTCCTCAACTCGACCGGCCAAGCTTCAACTCGATCGAGCTGAGAAGTCAACAGTCAAACCCGAAAAATGTTGCTTCCCCCTTGACTTTCCTTTGACCCTAAACCTAATCCTCTTGTATTTAAAGGCTCTAAGCCACGAAAAAACCACCAAGCTTTAGATTATTTTGTTTTAGTTTCTTTTAATTTATTGTCTTTTACTTTTTAGAGATCTAATCCCATCTTTGTGTTCTTGAAGCTCTTGCTTCTTGAATCCTAGATCCTGGATAATCTCTCTTTGTATTTGCACTTGCTTATTTCAATAAAAGTTGTTTAATTTCATCTCCTCTTTCTTATGATGTCTCTTTTATTGCATTTGCTTGTGTTTACATTCATGTGTAGTGAGTAGTTACCCATTAGGGTTTGAGATGGGATAGATTAGAGGTTTCATATGCTTAATCCTTCTAGCTTATGGTCTTAATCTAGATTCTCTCTCTTTTGGATAGATCTTAAGGCTACATGACCACTACCCCTGGCTTGTAAGTCCTTAGGCGACTCCCCACACGAAAGTGATGGCATTCGCTGGAAAAGATCCACTAAGAGCTCCAATATCTCTTGCTCTAGACAATAGAGGTCTAAGGGGTTGGATGGATTAGTTTGGGCAATGATCCTATAGCCTCCAAGGTTTGATTCTCACTGGCTAACCCCCTGTTTCTGAGATCATTCCTTGGTTGATAGCCTCCACCTTGGGAAAGGGTTGGCTAGGCATTGAGAAGCCCAATATCAAGAGAAGCCTTGATACAAGGAGTTTTAAGAGCTAGATTGATTAAGTGTAGATTCCTTTGATTGCAAAACCCTGTCTTGAACCCTAATTCTCTCTTTATCTTGTTAAAGTCGTCACCTTTAGCTTTGTTTGTCTCAACTCGTCCCTAAACTCGATCGAGCTGGTACTTTGTTCTACTCGACTCGAGTCTTGGTCGAGCTGTACTTCACTGCTTTGTTTACTTTTATTGCACTGCTTTTCATTTTTTTAGGTTGTTAGTGTTACTTCAAATCTATAACTGCTTGCTTGACTTCTGGTTGTTTCATATTCTCATAGAGTGACAAGTTTCCCATTTTGGATTGATAACCTCTTATACTTCAATGACTATGATGGTTAAGAGGAATTGATTGATTGTGATTGCACCATTTCATCTTTATTCACCCTGTTTGCATTCCACCTCATTTCATTCATTCATCATCACACACAAAATCCTATCATCAATTTGGCGCCGTTGCCGATTTGGGAATATTTTTGTTGCATTTGAGTTTCAAACACACTTGGACGATCAAGCTATACCACCCCTGTTCTATTGTACTGCTGGGTTTTTGTCTCTTTTTGCAGGTGTATGCGAACTCGATCGAGTCGGTCTACAGAAGACTTGGTCGAGCTAGACTTACAACGGGTAGAAAGAGGGTTCAGAGGTCACAGAGGGTACAAGAGGAACCTGAGGTGCTTGTTGCTGATACAATGGATGTACCAGAGGGGAATGGAAACCCTTTGGGAATGGACTCGGTCGAGCTAGGCAAACTCGACCGATTGGTCAAGGAGATGCTCCAAACCGCCACCAACAGAGACAAGGGATTGTTCCACCACCAGTGCAGAACCACAACTTTGAGATCAAGCTGGGAATGATCAACCTTGTCCAGAACAAGATGTTCCATGGATTGCCAAGTGAAGACCCCATTGACCACCTTGATGAGTTTGATAGGCTTTGTGATTTGACAAAGATCAATGGTGTCTCTGAAGATGCCATCAAGCTGAGACTCTTTCCTATGTCTCTAGCTGACAAAGCTCACCAATGGGAGAAGAGCTTGCCCCATGGCACAATCACCACTTGGGATGAATGCAAGAAGGCCTTTCTTGCTAAGTTTTTCTCCACCGGTCGCACAGCCAAGCTTAGAGGAGAGATATCCAGCTTCATCCAGCGAAACAATGAGACATTCGCAGAGGCTTGGGAGAGGTTCAAAGGGTACACAAGTCAGTGCCCACACCATGGATTCAACAATGAATCACTACTCTCCACTCTTTATAGAGGATGCTTGCCTAGGTATAGGGAGATGCTAGACACAGCTAGCAATGGGAACTTCCTCAACCAGGATGTAGATGATGGCTGGCAACTTGTGGAGAACATAGCTAACTCAAATGGAAGCTATGGAGAAGAGTATGATCGCACCAACCGGAGCTCGACCCACCACTCGATCGAGTCAGACGAAAAGTTGAGAAAAGATGTTAAGGCATTGAATGAGAAGTTGGATAAGCTGATCCTAGCTCAGTCCACAATGAAGAAAGTCAACTTTGTGTCTGCTGAGGAGATGGAACCAGTCCAAGAAGGGGAGGATACACAATTTGCTGAGGTGTGCTACATGAGCAATGGGCAAGGAGGTTACAACAAAGGATACTATAACTACAAGTCCAACCCTGCCATGTCATACCGCAACACTGATGTTGCTAACCCTCAGGACCAAGTATATCCTCAACAACAAGCAGCTCGATCGAGTCAAGGTGCCACAACATGGGTATGGTCAAAAGAACAATTACCAAGGACCACAAGGCACTTTCCCTGGACAACAAATGAATATCCCACCAGGCTTCCCCACCAACCGCCCCAGCCTGCACCTTCACAAGAGAATGAGCTCAAGGCAATGCTAAAGCAACTACTTCAAGGGCAAGCTGATGGGGTAGTGGACACAAGCAAGAAGCTAGCTGAAATAAACTCTAAGATCGAGAACCTCAACACAAGGGTTTACTCTCTGGAGAATCATGCTTCTTCTGTTGCTGCTGCTACAAAGCAAGGACAACTACCTGGTAAAGCTATTCAGAACCCCAAGGAACAGTGCAAGGTCATCTTCACTCAAGAAGGACTTGTTGAAGAAGAGGATCAAGAAAGGGTCATTGAAGATTTTTGTTTACTGCTGAATGATGAAGAGATTGTTGCTGCTGAGGCTCCTGGAGTCCAGATTGATCAACCAGAAGTGCAGGCACCTACTGTGGCCATTCACACTTCACCAGTTGAGCTCGCACGACAAGCTCGATCGGCAGCTCGATCGAGTCCAACTCTAGCTCGATCGAGTCCGACCTCTTCTGTCCCAAACCTTTTTGCTTGATCCTTACCAACCGGTTGCCGCTTCCTCGTCTCGCCTACTTAGTCAAGGTCACAAGGAAGTGATTCACAAGTTCAGAAGAGATCTCAGTGGGATTGGAATTGAGTTGCCTCTATGGATAGCATGAGTGAGGCATTTGATCAAATGCAAATGGTCAAGGATGTTCTAGCCAACAGTGATAAAGTTTCAGAGGTCCTACAAGAGTCTACTCATCAGTTCAACCTGCTTACTTCACCCACCTTCCTACCAAAGGTCAAGGATCAAGGGAAATTCACTCTCCCTTGCACACTTGGGCATCTTGAGATTGACAATGCCTTAGTGGATTCTGGAGCAAGCATCAATCTGATCTCTCTCTCCATGGCAGAGAAGCTAGGCATTGCTGGAGCCTTGCAGCGCCCTACTACTTCAATCATGTTTGGAGATGCAACTTCTAAGTCTCCTCTTGGAGTGTTCAAGAACTATCACTTGAAAATTGGAGAATGCATCATCCAAACTGATCTCACTGTGATGGAAATGGAAGAAGAGAAGGATTTGCCTTTGTTATTGGGAACACCTTGGATTTGCTTGGAAATGGCTTGGATTTGCCTTTGTTATTGGGAACACCTTGGAAATGGCTTGGATTTTCCTTTGTTTGATGAGCCACTAGGAAGGGCTCTAAAAGAAGGGGAGGATGCAGCCTCTAAGGCAAGACCAGGAGAAAAGAAAGGATCCACCAGCTCAGGCCCCTTCATCAAGCCATCTCAGCTCACAATGACTTTGTTCCCCACCAAGTTTGAAAATGGGAAGATTGAGTACAAGATAAGGTACAAGGGGAGATCAAGGCCATTCTCTAGAGCCAAGCCTTGGTGACTTCAGAACAGTCCAGGGACCCAACCAAGCTAAAGGAGCTTCTGTCTCAAGTCCTCACTATCACCCTTGATGGTGGGACTAGCTCAACCAATGCCTAAGAAGGTAAAGGTCAAGCTATGGGACCTTAAACAAGCTCACTTGGGAGGAAGTCCCATGTTTATCCTTGTACATATTCTATTTATGCAATTTCTATCTATATTTTGTGTTTTAACCTTTGAATAAGTTAAGTTTAGGTGTCAAGGAGCCAGCTCGACCGACAGCTCGATCGAGCTAGAAACAGGGCAACTCGATCGAGTTCCTCAACTCGACCGAGGTAAGTTTTTGAATTTCAAATTCATAACCGTTTTCTTGGTCAAGGGAGTGGGTCCCACAAGCTGATTTTGGTCCCCCACTACCCTAATTGATCAGAAAATCCCTAGCTTTTGTCCCCTCTTTATTTCATCTTTTAATCTCAACCACACATCTCAAACAACTCTCTTCCCCATAACTCGATCGAATCCCACTCTCCCTCCCTAAATTTTCTGAAAACCATCTCTCTCTCTTCACCACAAGAAAAATCGAATTTCCTCTTTCTCTCTAAGTTTTTGCGATTTCTATTGTTCTCTTCTTGTTTTGCTTAGTTCTAGCTACTGTGTCTTCAATCATCATTCCAAGCAAGGTATGAACCCTAAACCCTTGAATCCTTCATCTCGATTCCTCCATTGCTTGTTTCCTCTTTGATTTTTGATTGCATGTGTCCCTTGTGGACTTGTTCTTGAGTAATTGCTTTCCTCTATGCTTCATATTTGTATAATCTTGTGAATTTGCCTCACCTCACCTCTGTTTTCATTAGAACTTGTTGCATGTGCTTGAATTTGAATTTGAGTTTGGTATGGTTAAAATGCTAAGCTTCACTAGAATTGCTTTTGTTCCATTTACTTGATGTTCTTGGTTCAATTTGATTGATTAGCATCCTTTCCAGCTCTTATTGTTTGATTAGGTTCGGTTATACTCTGTTTTCACTTGACTCGATCGAGTTTGTCACTCGAGTTTTTTGACTCGATCGAGCTGAGTGTCGAGTTGGCCGAACCAACGATTACAACTCTAATTCTTGAGTTTTTGATGCATTTCAGGAACCCAACTTCAAGAAGCAACCGTTTAAGATGTTGAGAGGTGAAGGAAGCAAGCAGCATTCACAAAGAGGAAGATAACAAGAGGAGCAAGGAGGATACTCAAGACACTGACCAAGGAGGATGAGGAAGAGATTGAGAGGGTGAGGGAAGAGAGAGAACCAAGAGAAGGAATGATCCCATCAGCAGTGAGAGCGAAGGGAGAGTTTGAAATTGGGTGAACATTCCACAAGAGGGTGATGACTCCCAAGAGGAAGGAGAAGAGGTCAATCAAGAGATTGAGGAGAGTGAGCATGAGAGCAATGAGAATGTGCCCATGGAAGAGGAGGAGTCAGAGGAAGAAGAGAGATGATGCTCTCTTCTCCATGGACTTTGTGGAGACCAAGTACCCACATGATGACACAATGAGGCTCTTGGGATCTTTGAGGATGTGGAGTTGGTCCTCAAGAACATGCGCTTGGCCAAGTTCTTCTCTTACCGCATGGAGTCTACAAGGAGCTCACTTGTGAGTTCTTGGCATCAATGAGGTCCACAAGTACAAGAGCTCGATCGAGCTGAGTTGGACCAAGGTTGGGGATGGATCACGTTCTTGGCAAGGGAGAAAGAGAGGTGACCTTTAGGCAGTTGGAGATCTTTTGGGTTCACTATGGAGAGGGAACCATTGGGATATCAAGGAAGAAGAGCTCCAAAGGTTTGGGCTACAATCGCTGATGGAGTATACTCTTCCTCAAGGTCCAAGGCAGCTCAGATCAGGAGCCCAGTGTTGAGATATGTGCACAAGGCTCTGCCAACACCTTCTTTGCAAGGAAAGCACTGGGACAATCAATGAGGAGAAGTGAAGCTCCTTGACATGGGAATCAAGCCCATCATCTCACGCACAAGGATGGGAAGAAATCAGGGGAGATAGAATCCATGCAGGGAACTCATGCCTCTCCTTGACCAGCTCTCTCCTACAAGACAACGCCTACACACTCGGCAAAGGGAAGGAAGCTTAGTGTTGGAGGGTCATCACACCTATCCTCTGTGCAGCTGGAGTCCATTTGGACAAGAGAAGGTCTACTCCAGCAGGTTGGATGGACATCAAGTTTTGCAAGACCAACCTCTCATTGAGCACAAGGAGTTGGATGGGAGGTTCCAATTCAAGTTCACTCATCCATTGGCTGGCCCTCCAAGCTTCCTGCCCAACCCTGAGCTCACCACGGTCTAGGAGGTACAACATTGACTTCAGACCCCCTGTGTACACATTAGTTGGGCATGAAGAGGATTTGCGAGAAGAGGAGCCTGAAGCTCGATCGAGCTGAGGATCGAGCTGAGGACAACGCTCAGTGAATGCGGATTTGGGTGAGCCTGAGTGCTATTACTTTGAGGAGTATGAGGCTCCAAGGATGAACCCCTCTGTTGTGGCTGCCCACAAGAGGATTGGACTTCTCCAAAGGTTCAACAAGTGGCAAGGGAAAGCCATGGAAAGATGCAAAAGTCCATGGACAAGATGGTGAGCAAGATCAAGAGTTTGGAGAAGAAAGGTTTCTGGTTCTTCAAGCAAGAAGAAGAAGTCCAAGGCTCCCACATTCCCTAGGAGTAGATCACTCCTCACCACTCCAAGGAGGCTCCCTGCCCAAGAGCCTCACAGAGCCTCTCATTTCGAGCCAAGGGAAGGAGAAGACAACTCGCAGAGAAGGAGGAAGAGTTCCAAAGATCGACGCTCCAACTCGATCGAGTCCAAACAGAGGAAACTCAACTCGATCGAGCTGAGGGTCGAGTTGACCTGGAGGAGCCCCTGTTTGAGAACCCTGGATTCGAGTACGATCAACGCAGTACCAGGACTTCTCTCAGACCTCTGGACTCCCTACAACCGCTTCGAGCAAGCCAGCTCCACCAAGGCCAAGGGAGCCACACACATTTCAAGATGAAGAAGAGGAGGAAGAGGAGCAAGCTCGATCGAGTGAGCCAACCCAGTCGAGTGGAGTGCTCCTGATGGCCGTCTACCATCTCCAGACCACGACCTAGCCTCCCAGTTCTTTGGGGGGCACTGAGGTATCCAAACACCAACCCTTGTATATACCATTTCATATTTTCTTGCATTTGTTCTTGTTTTTCTTGGTTTTGCCCTCTTGAATCTTTCACTAAATTTTTCTCACACAAGGGACTGTGTGATTTAAGTTTGGGGGAGGGTTCAAGAGATGATTTAACCTTGTTTTCTTTGTTCTTAGTTTTTCATTTATCTTTTGCATAGAAAAACCAAAAAAATCATAAAATTTTCAAAAAATCCAAAAATATTTTCATCTTTTTGCATTCATATTTGTTAGACTTGTTTAGGATTGCATTTTTCACTTGCATTGTTGATTTGACTTTGAAAACTTGTCCATCTTTTGCGATTTCTTGAGTGCCCTGTTTTTAGATTCTTTTGTGCATTAGGGTGAGATTGATTGAGCAGCAAGAACCATGTTTATCTTGATCATATCACTGCATGCACATCTCATTCAACCATTGCTGTGATTTGATGCATTTCCCTATCTATTTGAACCATAACTTGATCTTTAATTACCAATGCTTGCATTTGATTTCAACTCATGGCTACCACATACATATCTGGACATTCTTTACCTATTTTCATATCCCTTTTGCTTGTCCAGATAGCTGATCTCTATCTTTGAGACAGTTACCACACCTTAAACCTAAGCCTTTTCATTTCAAACCCCATATTATCTCTTGTGCGAATGTGAGAACCTTTCTTGGCTTTGCTTAGCATAAGGTGTTGTGTTTAAACCGGCAGGGGCAGTAGTTCTAGTTGTCTAGTTCTCTTGGGATTGTTTTCAGGCTAAGTTTGGGGGTGCCAACTCGAGCTCGATCGAGTTGGGTGTAAAAACCAGAAAAGTGGTAAAAGTTGGGAAAAACCCAAAGGAAAAAGAGTTTAGTCCAGGGAGTTGGCAGTGTTAAAAAGGGTCTAGTAAAGGTTTGGGAAGTTAAAAAAGGAAAGTAAAAAGGGTTCTAAGTAGAATGAAAAGAAGGCAAAGCCTCAAGTGTCAAAAAGGAAAGAAAAGTTCCCTAAGTGTTTAGAAAATCCCAAACCGCTAGATGTTACCTCAAGAAGCCTCTCCCTAGGAAGTTCTTAAAAGAAAAGTGAGCAAAGCTCCTCAGTTTCAAAGGCGAAATGCCAAAAAGGGTAGTTAGGATTTTGTTCTAAAAAGCTCTAAGTGTTGAACTCGATCGAGTTAGGATTAGGCGGCTCGAGCTGCTGTTCTTGCATCATCTTTGGTTCTAACACTTAGCCTTCTGCCAAAGCAAAGCCACTTTCTTGAGAGATCCCTGTTACTAAACCACCATACAAAAGAGACCCTCTTTGTCTCTTAACCCATAAACCCTTGAAACCAAATGAGTTGATTGATCTTGCATGTTTTTGGTTCACTGTTTTTGCTTAATGAATGTTAAAGGGATTTGCTGATTTGAATGCATTGTTTGAGTGACTGTGAAGTGGGATTGATGTTGATAAGCATGGTTAAATCTTAATGAATATCTCTCACCTTGTTGCATTCTAGAATCTCTAAGTTGGACATTTAGCAAATCGCTTTTGAGGACATGTTTTTAAGTGTTGAATCAGCTATTTTCAAACCTCATCTCTTTCTTGTTCTATTTGTTTGCTTGAGGGCAAGCAAAGTTCAAGTTTGGGGGTGTTGATGTACTTGCATTTTACATAGTTTTAGCACATCTTTTATGCATCTTTTGCATAGTTTTAGCTTCCATTTGCATCATATCTTGTTCCTTTTCTCTTCTTATGCATTCATGTTAGTTTTAGGTTGCATTTGCATACATATGCATGTTTGGTCCTTTGAAATAGGTCTTTTGGAGCATTCTGGAGCATATGGGACATGAGGAGCATGGAGGGACTTGGCACATGGAAGCAGCTCAACTGGATACGCAAAGGAAGAAGGGAGAAGCCATCTTGAAGACCAGCTCGACCGTCTACTCGACCAACCGGTCGAGTTCCTCAACTCGACCGGCCAAGCTTCAACTCGATCGAGCTGAGAAGTCAAAGTCAAACCCGAAAAATGTTGCTTCCCCCTTGACTTTCCTTTGACCCTAAACCTAATCCTCTTGTATTTAAAGGCTCTAAGCCACGAAAAAACCACCAAGCTTTAGATTATTTTGTTTTAGTTTCTTTTAATTTATTGTCTTTTACTTTTTAGAGATCTAATCCCATCTTTGTGTTCTTGAAGCTCTTGCTTCTTGAATCCTAGATCCTGGATAATCTCTCTTTGTATTTGCACTTGCTTATTTCAATAAAAGTTGTTTAATTTCATCTCCTCTTTCTTATGATGTCTCTTTTATTGCATTTGCTTGTGTTTACATTCATGTGTAGTGAGTAGTTACCCATTGGGGTTTGAGATGGGATAGATTAGAGGTTTCATATGCTTAATCCTTCTAGCTTATGGTCTTAATCTAGATTCTCTCTCTTTTGGATAGATCTTAAGGCTACATGACCACTACCCCTGGCTTGTAAGTCCTTAGGCGACTCCCCACACGAAAGTGATGGCATTCGCTGGAAAAGATCCACTAAGAGCTCCAATATCTCTTGCTCTAGACAATAGAGGTCTAAGGGGTTGGATGGATTAGTTTGGGCAATGATCCTATAGCCTCCAAGGTTTGATTCTCACTGGCTAACCCCCTGTTTCTGAGATCATTCCTTGGTTGATAGCCTCCACCTTGGGAAAGGGTTGGCTAGGCATTGAGAAGCCCAATATCAAGAGAAGCCTTGATACAAGGAGTTTTAAGAGCTAGATTGATTAAGTGTAGATTCCTTTGATTGCAAAACCCTGTCTTGAACCCTAATTCTCTCTTTATCTTGTTAAAGTCGTCACCTTTAGCTTTGTTTGTCTCAACTCGTCCCTAAACTCGATCGAGCTGGTACTTTGTCTGACTCGACTCGAGCTCTTGGTCGAGCTGTACTTCACTGCTTTGTTTACTTTTATTGCACTGCTTTTCATTTTTTTAGGTTGTTAGTGTTACTTCAAATCTATAACTGCTTGCTTGACTTCCTGGTTGTTTCATATTCTCAAAGAGTGACAAGTTTCCCATTTTGGATTGATAACCTCTTATACTTCAATGACTATGATGGTTAAGAGGAATTGATTGATTGTGATTGCACCATTTCATCTTTATTCACCCCTGTTTGCATTCCACCTCATTTCATCTTCATTCATATCATATCACATCCACGTAAAATCCTATCATCAAGCCACGGCCTAAGGCTTTTCAACCCGTACCAAAGCCGAGAGTTGTGTTAGCCCGGACAAAGCTAATATCAGATGAAACCAGTTGATATAGAAAATAAACTTTATTAATCTATATATGGTTTCTCAAAACATCAGAAATACATTACATTCGAGCCTAATGCCCAGAACCCACACTACATAAATTCAAAAGCGTTTATTTTACAAAGGCAAGACAAACTACGCTGGCGGCCTAACGTCCTTGCTCCAACTACTGGTTTCCTGCAAAAGAGAGTGGGGGGGTGAGCGCTAATCGCTCAGTGAGTTGTAGCTCCCACTAACAAGCAATAATAATCCCACCCAAAAACCCAAAATAACACACAACAAGCAATGTTGCTATAACCCCTAGACTGACCGCACAACAATCAAATAAGAACATGCACGATCAATCAGAGATTATAAAGAACAACAATCAATCAATGGTTAACAAGCTATAAATAAACTTAACATCACACTAAACCACTTCCTCTTCCGCGCGTTCGGTACTTCCCGTGAACACCTATCTCACAGCCACACAGGCACGCGAGATAGACATCACTACCCGAGTTCCATCTCCCAGACAGTCACATCCCGTTGGATCGCCGTTTCCACGGTTCACAACCCAACGAGTTCTGTCTCCCAGATGGTCACATCCCGGGCTGTCTATTCCATACTCGGCTATAGGTAGCAACCCCGTCTCTCCGAGTATTCTCATTAGTCAATACATTGACTACATGAGGTGGAATAGTACTCGGCCATAGGCTGCTATCCCGTTTCTCCGAGTCTTCCCACCTAGCCAGTCCATTTGCTAGGAAGGTGTACAAAAGAAGACCGAACCGCCAACATCAACCTCAAACAAGTAACCATGAAACCTCACATGCAATATGATAACAATAAACAATATCTAACAAACAAGCATCATAACAAAGAACCACACAACCAAATCAATCAATCAAACAATTAAACAATCTAGCAATCAACCAATCACACAATCTAGTGTTCCCTAACAAGCAAACAAACATCACCACAACTCACAATCAAACTATCAATCAAGCACGCAATCTAGCATTCCCTAGCAAGCAATCAAACATCACCACAACTCACAATCAAACTATCAATCAAGCACGCAATCTAGCATTCCCTAGCAAGCAATCAAACATCACTACAACTCACAAACAAACTATCAATCAAGCACGCAATCTAGCATTCCCTAGGAAGCAATCAAACATCACCACAACTCACAGTGCTTTCGGCTGAACGGTTTCTAGCCTAGGTTTACTACTCCGGGTTTACCGCTGAACCGCCGGCTTGCCCTAAGCTTCTGCCCGAACGTTCCCGCTCTTCTTCTTCTTCTTCTTCTCTTTCTTCTTCTTCTCCTCCTCCTCCTCTTTCTTCTTCTTCTGGGCGTCCTCCCTCTCACTCTATTTCTCTCTCTACTTTCTCTCTCTTTCTTTCTGATTTTGGTGTGGTTTGGAAATGAGGCCAAGGGTCCTATTTATAGGCTGGGAAGTGAAGCATGTGAGTGATCTCCTCCACCAGAATGGCGCCACCTCTTCCCCTTTGTGGACCAATGGTGTTGAGGCACGCCTACAGCAGCTCCATCCATCATTATCCACTCAGCTTGAATGGCACCTTTCCATTGGTCCATTTTCCAAGCTGCTGGGTAGCTGAACCTGATTGGTTCATTCAAGATGAGCATCACTTCCTTGATCCTATCTTCCTGGAATGAGTGGCTCCATCCGATTGGCTCCTTCCTTAAGCTGCTGGGTGCTTAGACATGATTCGTCCAACACATTTTCGTCCATTATGAGCAGCTAAGTGCTCACACTTGATTAATACAGCACAATTTCGTCCTATGTAGCAGTTGGTATCGCCTCCTTACTGGTTTAGACTATTCTTATCATCTCCAAGTAGCTGGTGTTGTCATCCCATTGCTTGATCCGCCTCTTTCCTTTCGAGGAGGGTTTCATGCGTTTCCTCTTCCAGAGGGTTTCGTCCCCGTCGTGCTTGAGAATTAAAATTTCCTATTTTAATCCTTTCATCATTTCCATGCTTTTGAGCTTTCACTTACCTCCTCGTAAATGTCCGGAAATTCTTTATCCCGGCCATACCGTTCTTGAAGCAGCTTTATCTTCTCTTCATCTTCATAGTTGATCATCCCATCCGGACCAATTGGGAATGGGATTGTGCGACAAAAATTCCGCTCTGATGCGGGATATTACAGTAGTGGTCATGTAGCCTTAAGATTTGTCCAAAAGAGAGAGATTTCTAGATTAAGAACATAAGCAAGAAGGATTAAGCATAAAGATCCCCTAATCTAGCCCATCTTTGACCCTAAAGGAAACTACTCACTACACATGAATGTAAAACAATCAAATGCAATGAAATCGACATATATGAAAGAGGAGATAAAGATAAAAAACTTTTATTGAAATAAGCAAGTGCAAATACAGAAAGATAGAGCCAAGATCTAGGATTCAAGAGCAAGAGCTCAAGAACACAAAGAGTGGCTAGGGTTTTGCAAAAAGTAAAGACAATAATTAAAAGAAAACTAAAACAAAAATAAGCTAAAGATTGTTTGTTTTTTCGTGGCTTTTAGCCTTTAAATACAAGAGGGTTTAGGTTTAGGGTCAAAGGAAAGTCAAGGGGGAAGCAACATTTTTCGGGTTTGACTGTTGACTTCTCAGCTCGATCGAGTTGAAGCTTGGCCGGTCGAGTTGAGGAACTCGACCGGATGGTCGAGCTGGTCTTCAAGATGACTTCCTCCTTCTTCCTTTGCGTATCCAGTTGAGCTGCGTCCATGCACCAAGTCCTTCCTTTCTCCTTTCATCCCATATGCTCCAAAAGACCTATTTCAAAGGACCAAACATGCATATGTATGCAAATGCAACCTAAAACTACTATGAATGCACAAGAAGGGAAAAGGAACAAGATATGATGCTAATGGACACTAAATCCATGCAAAAGATGCATGAAAGATGTACTAAAACATGCAAAATGCAAGTACATCAGTAGCCACCTTGTGCTTGACTCCATAATTCTTCATCAACTTTTCGAACACCTTGTTGATGAAATGGGAACCTCCATCCGAAATAACAACCCTTCGGATGCCATATCTTGTAAAGATGATGGTTCTGAAAAGTTTGATAACAACTTTGGCATCACAGGCTGGGCAAGGAATGGCTTCAATCCATTTGGACACATTGTCCACAACAACCAAAATGTAGTTGTGCCCGTTTGAGGAAGGCTTGAAAGGTCCCATGAAGTATATTCCCCATACATCAAAGATCTCAACCTCTAGAATTGGGTTTAGTGGCATTTCATCCCTCTTGGTGATTCCTCCTTTCCTTTGGCATGGATCACACTTGGCAATGAAGCTTGCTGCATCTTTGAACAATGTAGGCCACCATAACCCAGATTGCAAAACCTTATTTGCGGTTTTGAATGTGGCAAAGTGACGTCCATAAGCAGACCCATGGCAATTCTCTAGAACTCCTTGGACATCTTCTTCGGCTATGCATCTCCTGTAAATGCTATATGGTCCTCTCTTGTACAAGTAAGGCTCATCCCAATAGTAGTGCCTAGCGTCCTTGAAGAACTTCTTCCTCTTGTAAGCATCAAAACTACTAGGAACTTCTCCAGCCACCATAAAGTTCAAGTTTGGGGGTGTTGATGGTACTGTTGATGTACTTGCATTTTACATAGTTTTAGCACATCTTTTATGCATCTTTTGCATAGTTTTAGCTTCCATTTGCATCATATCTTGTTCCTTTTCTCTTCTTATGCATTCATGTTAGTTTTAGGTTGCATTTGCATACATATGCATGTTTGGTCCTTTGAAATAGGTCTTTTGGAGCATTCTGGAGCATATGGGACATAGGAGCATGGAGGGACTTGGCACATGGAAGCAGCTCAACTGGACACGCAAAGGAAGAAGGGAGAAGCCATCTTGAAGACCAGCTCGACCGTCCACTCGACCAACCGGTCGAGTTCCTCAACTCGACCGGCCAAGCTTCAACTCGATCGAGCTGGGGAGTCAAAGTCAAACCCGAAAAATGTTGCTTCCCCCTTGACTTTCCTTTGACCCTAAACCTAATCCTCTTGTATTTAAAGGCTCTAAGCCACGAAAAAACCACCAAGCTTTAGATTATCTTTTTTTAGCTTTCTTTAATTTATTGTCTTTACTTTTTAGCAACCCTAATCCCATCTTTGTGTTCTTGAAGCTCTTGCTTCTTGAATCTTAGATCCTGGATTATTTGCTTTGTATTTGCACTTGCTTATTTCAATAAAAGTTGTTTAATTTCATCTCCTCTTTCTTATGATGTCTATTTCATTGCATTTGCTTGTGTTTACATTCATGTGTAGTGAGTAGTTACCCATTAGGGTTTGAGATGGGATAGATTAGAGGTTTCATATGCTTAATCCTTCTAGCTTATGGTCTTAATCTAGATTCTCTCTCTTTTGGATAGATCTTAAGGCTACATGACCACTACCCCTGGCTTGTAAGTCCTTAGGCGACCCCACACGGAAGTGATGGCATTCGCTGGAAAAGATCCACTAAGAGCTCCAATATCTCTTGCTCTAGACAATAGAGGTCTAAGGGGTTGGATGGATTAGTTTGGGCAATGATCCTATAGCCTCCAAGGTTTGATTCTCACTGGCTAACCCCCTGTTTCTGAGATCATTCCTTGGTTGATAGCCTCCACCTTGGGAAAGGGTTGGCTAGGCATTGAGAAGCCCAATATCAAGAGAAGCCTTGATACAAGGAGTTTTAAGAGCTAGATTGATTAAGTGTAGATTCCTTTGATTGCAAAACCCTGTCTTGAACCCTAATTCTCTCTTTATCTTGTTAAAGTCGTCACCTTTACTGTCTTTTTCCTAACTCGACCCTAAACTCGATCGAGCTGGTACTCTGTCCCAACTCGACTCGAGTCCTTGGTCGAGCTACTTGTTTACTGCTTTGTTTACTTTTATTGCACTGCATTTTCATTTCTTAGGTTGTTAGTGTTACTTCAAACCTATAACTGCTTGCTTGACTTTCTGGTTGTTTCATATTCTCTGGTTGTTACACATGCGATGCCCCACTATTGTTCTAGTGGGAATCAGCTCCTCTTTGTCATTTTTATGACAGTGATCCCCCCTTTCTTTGGGACGCAATGAACTGGAGATATCCAAGTGCTATCACTGATGGGATAGATTATCCCAGCATCAAGCAACTTGAGTATCTCTTTCTTCACTACTTCCTTTAGATTGGGGTTCAATCTCCTTTGAGGTTCAATGCTAGACTTACTTTCATCCTCTAGATGAATCCTATGGATGCATAGGTCAGGGGAGATTCCCTTGATATCATCTAGAGTGTAACCTATTGCTTTTCTGTACTTTCTCAATTCAACAAGCAAAGCACTCAACTGTTCAGGTTCCAAATCAGAGTTCACAATGACAGGGTAAGTTGAGTTTTCACCCAGAAATGCATACCTGAGGCCCTCAGGCAAAGGTTTGAGGTCGACTTAGGTGCCTTGAGTTCAGACCAATCTCCTTGAGCTTGTTCCTTGCATTCAGTCCCCAGCTCGATCGAGTTCGTTTGTTCGAGGCCCGACTCGATCGAGCTCTTGATCGAGCTCACTGCCATGACTTCGCAATTGGCCTGTCCAATCCCTCAATGCTCAGAATGCTTGGAACTGGTCTGAAGGTGTCAAGGAGCTTCGAATATTCCTCGGTTTCTGAGCTCACATATCCTTCTGAAGAATCCTTGGTCAAAGCAACTTGTAGGGGGTCCTCCAAGATAGCTCTTCTAAAAGCTCATCTGCCAACTGATCCATTTCTTCAACATAAAAGAGTTGACCTTCTATTGTTGGCTTCCTCATTGTATCCTTGATGTCAAACTTCATCTTTAGGTCCTTTCCCAAGTTTAGCTCAATTGTGCCTTCACAGACATCTATCATTGCTCTTGCTGTAGCTAGGAATGGCCTTCCTAGTATCAATGGATCTGTTGGTTCCTCATCCATTTCAAGCACAATGAAGTCGGTGGGGATTTCTACATTCCCTATTCTCAAAGGCAGGTCTTCAAGCATTCCAGTTGGTAACCTTATCGATCTATCTGCCAAAACCAGTGAGATTCCGCAGGCTTGATACTTGTGATATCCCAGTCTCTTTGCTACGACAAAGGCATGAGGCTGACTGATGATCCTAGGTCGCAGAGGCTGTTTTTGAAAGATAGAGGTCCCAACATGCAGGCAAAGTGAAACTCCCCGGATCTTCCTTTTTGTCGGAGATGACCTTCCGCTGAATGATTGCACTGCACTCACGAGTCAACACTACCATTCCTTGCACCTCCTGGTTCTTTGCTGAACAGCATCCTTCAGGAATTTTTGGTAAGGTGGAATGAGCATCAAGGCATCGATGAAAGGCAACTTCAGCTCAAGTTCTCATTAGTTCATCAAACTTGGCCTTGTGTTTCCAACAGTTGTTTCTTGAACCTTCCTGGAAAGGGTAGAGGGGGTTTGTATGGTGGTGGTCCTGATGGAGTGTCTTTCTTCTTTCCAACAGGTTTAGTTGGTTGGCTAGCTTGCTTTGTCCGTTCGCTTCTCGGCTCGATCGAGCTCTGGTTTGTCTTGCTGAGTCTCGGTTTCTTCAGCTCGATCGAGCTCTGGTTCAGGTTTTGTTCCAGCTCGATCGAGTTCGGTGCTGGGATGTCAGCATACTCGACCAAATCCTCCCCTTCCTCGTCATCGATGTCCACAGCGATTTGGGGTGGGCTACTCCTCTAGGAAATTTCGCCCACTTCTCAGTGTAACTGCTTGGGCATACTCTTGAGGTGAAGAGGATGATGCACTTAGAAGACTCAATGATTTGGACTCTTGAAGTCAATGACTCAAGTTTGGAGTTTATTTCAACCAACTTGTGGTTCATTTCCAGTGAACCTTTGGCTTGCCCTTGTAAGAGTTGTTGGAGCATTTCCTTCATATCCCAATCTTGACTTGGTTGGGTATGATTAGGCCTTTGGGTGAAGCCTGGTGGGACACTGGGTGTTGTTGCGGCAGGTGTTTGGATAGCTGGAGTATGTCGCTTGTTTCCATAGCCAACTTATATCCTTGCTGAGGATTCCTAAAGCCTCCTTGTCTATTTTGAATATAGCAAACCTCATGTTGGGTCTCCTCCCCTTCCTGATCTTTAACTAAGCTTTTCCAGAGACATAATTGACATGCTTAGCAGGGAATTGGGCTAGGATCAGTTTGTCCAACTTCGAATTGAGTGCAAGCATGTCTTTTCTCATCTGTGCTTCCAGCTCGATCGAGTGCGCGGTCGAGCTCCAGTCTGTACTCTCATAATGATCTCCATAGCACCCAGTTGATATGGCCATGTTCTCCACAAGCTGTCAGCCATCTTCCACATCCTGATTAAGGAAGTTCCCATTCTACCATGGACACTTTCTGACGAAGCAGCTGGACTTGCAGCTCTAGCTGCGGGTCGCACAACTCTGGCTGGTCTCACAACCTTAGCTTTCACAACCTTAGCTTTCTTTGGCGGCATCCTGAATACAGAAGAACAAGCAATCAGTCACTTTCACAAACCAACACCTAACACAAGAGCAATACAGAGATTCAGTCAACTTGGTGATGTCAAACATTTTTTCTTATTAAAATTCCCCATTTCGAAAAATCCGAAGATATTAAATACGAGGTGGTAAGCCCGCGGCATGCGCGGGCATGAGTTGTTTTGAAAATAAAAACATCTATAAAAAAAAAAATCATACTTCAAATATTACAATAATTTTTCTAAAACACTGAAATAAAAAGAAAACTATCAAAATATGGTTATTAATATAATTTAAATATTCAAACCATATCAAACGTTTTAGAAAACTTCTTTATATCATTTGATCTTTATATTATTAGTTTAAAACTTATTTAGGTGATGGTCACGCACCTTGTCCGGGTATAATATTTTTTAAAAACATTAATAATTAAATATAAGTAGTAAATTTATGACTGTATTCATCATTTTTATTTTCGCCAATTTCTTATTCTTGTAATTTTGATATGTCTTATTTTTGTCTTCTCTTTCTCATTTTTCAACATAATCCTCTTCATTTGTTTATAGAGACACAAAAGATTTCCCACTTCTTGTTTCTTCTTCCTCTTATTCTTCTCCAATTATCCCATCTTTTTTTTTTCTTTCAGTTTTGTGCTCATTCTTATCATCTTTTTCTTCTTCTTCCAATTTTTTCTCTTCAATATTTTCTTGTGTCTTCATATCCTCCAACTCACTATTCAACATTTTCTTTCTAATTTTTTATACATTATTTTCCGGTTTTTCTTCTTCCCCTCATTCCCCCCTCTCTCTACATGTATCATCTTCATTTTCTCTAACATCATATTTTATAGTTTTTATTTATCTCTGCTTTGTCTTTTTTCTCTTCACATTCTATTTTTTTTCTTCATTGATTTCTTTTTTCTCATGTTCGAGTTGTCTTCTTCTTCTCCAAATTTCTCATTTTCTTTTTCACCGTCTTATTTTTTTTTACTCATGATTTAATTCGTTCTTTTTAACGTCTTGTATTTCACTTATCAATTCATTTGATAGTTTAGATTTTCAAAGATTTGAAAAACAGTTTTATCTTTATATAGTCGAGATCTTTTTAAAATCTGTTGCTTTTGTTATCTTTCGATTCTGGATTTACTTTAATTATTTTAGTTTTTTTTCTATTTGCAAATGTAAATTAAGAAAGGTAGATATAGATTTATAATCATTGATTCTTAATTTTGAAATTCTTCCATAATAATTTAAATTTTTAAAAATGCACCAAAAACTAAACCCTAAATCCATTAATATAAACCCTACACCCTAAACCCAAACCCCACAGTGTAACCCCACCTCCCCCTAAACAACCCTACACCCTAAACCCAAAGCCCACAGTGTAACACCACCCTCCCCCCTCCCCTTAAACAACCCTACACCGTAAACCCAAACCGCACATTATAACCCCACCAAACCGCACACCCGAACCCCACATTTTACAAATTAGTTCTAGACCTTTTCTTTTAATTTTATTTATTTCTTAAAAATAGTTTCTTTTTGTTTTTAATCGGTAATGTAGTGTATTAAATTTTCTTAAAATGCACCAAAAGCTAAACTTTACGCCATCAATATAAACTGTACATCGTAAACCCAACCCATTTTTATCTTCTTCTTTTACTTTGTCTTTTACTTCTTTCATATTGTTTCCTTCATTTTCTACTTTTTGTTTTCTTATTCTTTTCAAACATTATAATCTCTTTTTATTTCCTCTCTCTTTATCGTCATCTTTTTATTTCATGGTTTTTATTCGTTTTCTTCCTTTTATTTACAATTTGTTTTTTCAATTGGCTTTGTGTTATTATTCTTCGTTTTTATCTTTTGATTTTTCCAACTTCTTTATTTTTCACATATTCTTCAATTATTTTCTTCCTTTGTTATGTTTCTTTCGTTTTTTTCGTCTTCGTCTTCCAATTTTGTCTTTTCTTTATTTTAGTTTAGGTTTTCTTCTTATTTCATCATGTATTCTTCATCATTTTTGTCTTCTCTGACATATCTTATTCTAGTTTTTATTTATCTATTTTTGTCTTTTTTTCTCTTCACATTCCATTTTCTCTTCTTTGATTTCTTTTTCCTCGTGTTCGAGTTTTCTTATTCTTTTCAAAGTTTTCCATATTCTTCTCCACCGCCTTCTTTTCTTTTACTCTCTTGTTTTTCATTTTTGTCTACTTCTTGTATTTCGCTTATCAATTCATTTGATAGTTTATATTTTCAAGGATTCATGTCATAGTATTTTATCTTTATATAGTCGAAATCTTTAAAAAAAAATATTTGTTTTGTTATCTTTTGATTTTGTTTTTGTTTTAATTTTTTTGGTTTTTTTTATTTATTTATGTATTTTAGAATGACAATATAAATTTATAATTAACCATTTTTAATTTTGATATACTTCTATATTAATTCTTTTTTTTTTTAAATGCACCAAAAACTAAACCCTACACCCATCAATTTGAACCCTAAACCCGATCCCCACATTATAAATTGGTTATAGACTTTTTTTTAGTGTTATTTTTAAAGGAAGATTTTTTTGTTTTTAATTGGTAATGTAGTGTATTCAAAAAAAAATTAAAACTCACGAAAAACTAAACCTTACACTTTTTCTTCGTAAATGTGGGACCATCTTTAACACAATACACACAAAACCCTGACATCACCCTAGGTTTAGACAAAAATTAGAGTTTATAAACCTATACACAATACCACAAATTACAACCGTACATCCTAAACCCCAACCCCTTTTTCTCTTCTTATTCTTTTACTTTGTCTCCTACTTCTTTCAGATTTTTTTCCCCTTCATTTTCTACCGTTTTATTTTTTTATTCTTATCCAACTTTCTAATCTTTTTTTCTTCATCGTCATCATTTTATTTTCTGATTTGTATTTGTTTTATTCATTTACATCTACTCTTGTACATCTGAAATACCATGCTACAACATTTTTCTTTCCATAAACATTCTTGGTAGCTTCTGTTTCTGCATTGCTCTTAGAGCAAGTGAACACGGAGAACCAAATCCATTTTCTTTTACCTTCTGTATCGGTCATAACCAGGACTCTTTTGTCTACCAATCTGGACTCCCACGTCGTTCATGATTAAGGTGATGGACTCCTGCATTGTTCATAAGATGTTGGACACCTGTAGGGATGTATCTGTCGTATTGAGGGATTCGAGGACGACCAGGGCTAAGAGATCTCCCTGGACTACCACCATTGTCTCTTTCATCATCCTTTACCACATACTCAATGAAAACAACCATGTCCAATATTTTGCTGCCGACACAAAAGAGATTACCAATTGTGGAAACGCTTGGGAAAAACTTATCTGTTTTTTTTATCTTTCCATTGTGAGTAGTTTTGCGGGAGCATTTTCTTGTGTTGGAAATTGAAGAAAGGAGAAGTTGCGTCTGATACAGGTTGATGAATGATGATGACCTTACCGTTGGGGTTAGTTTCTCTAAGTTTGATGCAATAAACTTGGTTTCCAAGATCCTTCATCTCGAGGCCAGCTTTATTGAAACCATTAAAGAATAAAGACTAATCGTCTTTCCCGACTCTTTGTCTCCAACTCACTCATTAAGAACACCGACCGAAGCAGATTCATGTCTACTCGTAATGGTGAAAAGATTAATGTGAGACAAAAGTAAATGAAGGAGTTAAGGGATATGATACTGACTATTTAGTTTGCACTCTGTTAGAGTATAGCATTGGTGTCTATTCATTTGTAGTTTTTGAGAAGATAAGTGAGAGACATTATCAAGTTCGGGTACTGTTTCACACCCCAAAAATAGAAGGAAACAAAATGGAATGGGAGACTAATTAATTAAAATCATGAAAAACATGTATAGTTATCTGATAGAGAAAAGGGTATTACGTAGAAGGATATCACCGGCTATGATCAAATCCCATATCTGCTTCAGAGACCGGAAATGCATCTCCCCCATATACCTGTCATAGTAGAAAATCATGTGAAAAAGAGCTAAAGCAATCAACCAGAAACACAATTTCCTACACTATAATGTGACTGGTAAGACAACTTACGATTGATAAGTATGCGTTAAAGATAGGTTTAAATTGTTCGCATTATAGTTATGAGCAGTATTGTCATCAATCTCCTGATTATCGAAGACTGAAGTAGTTATACCGAGATTAAACTCTTTCTTAAGAAATATAGCTAGAGAACATGTGCCTCTGCCAATTTCACGAAAAAGAAGAAGAAAATTGATTCGTGTCAAGAAGAGTGGCATATAAGCAGCTGTAACTAAGACTCAAAGAAAAAAGTTTATGGAGAATACACAAAAGAAAATTAGTTAGCTAAGCGTGATACACTTAATTATACACAAATTTTCCTCTAAATTGAAAGCTAAATACCTGAAGCTTCCTAGCTGGGTGACAAATTAACATACTTGAAGTGTTTCAGATTAATAGGATGGATAACTCCAGATAGCTAATCAAGTGACTGTGTTCTCATGTATTTCTTTTTTCCATCTACAAAGTAAGTTAGCATATATCATTGTTAGCACATTGTCCATACTATTTCCTCAAAAGAAAACCATATAAGAATACAACAAACCTTTCACCATGGATGGCGGAACAGAGGTAGGAGCATATTTCTCGATATTTAGAGTGATGTCACAAGGATGGATACGCTTTTTTCAGTGTTCCCTTATGAAAACCAGGCCATAAGAATTGTAGAAGAAAGTAAAACATACAATATTGGCAGTCAAATTGAAGCCTATCCAAACCTAAAATGCAAGTTTTTAATGGTAGATACATGCAGAATATAAACTATAACAACCTTTGAAATATCCTCGACTTCTGAATAGCCCAGGAGGTTTAACTTTAAGATTCACAACCTAAAAGAGAAAAAGTTATGACACAAATAAAAGACTATTCATTGCAACTTTTAAAGGAAAAAAAAAATGTTTTACACAAAATCACTTTACGGGAATACAAAATTAGCCAAGTGAAGAAGAGATCACCATTACATGAAGTCATAGTTGTTGATAAACTGCCATCGCTGAAACTATCAGCCAGGCAACATGACTCAACAACAGAGGAAAATTGTATCTCAATCGGATATCCAAACGAAAAATCCATATGTATTCCCATTAATTCTTTGCCAAAATAGCTAGGAAAACTCTTTTGATTCCCTTCTCTACTTCTGTGATATATTGGAGACTACAATGGAATCACACCAAGACATCTTATTGAAGCCTCAAAATAATGTGTTACTACAAATCTACACAACACAGCAAGATTGAATGGTTAGTTGCGGAAACACTAAACTCTAAACCTTAAATATCCATCCTTTTGAAATCTCGTCAAGAAGAATAGTACCAATCATAATCACTAATACAAAAACTGAAGCTGAAGAAACTGATCCTCATCAATAAATCAATACTCAAACACAAAGCTTCGTGCTTAATCATTAAGCCGATCATAGCGTTTACTACCGAAAAGAAATATATAGCTTGCCTCGTTATGGCTTTGGAGCCATTGGAGCGTGTTGGCGAAGAAAAAGAATAGAATGATCGATTTTGTATATCAGCTAGGGGTTTATATTTATATATATATATAGAGAGATTTAAGTTTATGTTTTAGGTTCTTTCTAATTTTATATTTTTTTTTAAATATTTATTTAAGTGATAAATATAAATCGAGGAAAAAAATGATAATTATCAATATGTAATAAGGAAATAATGAACTTTTATATTAAAAAAACGAAATTGTGAAATAATTAAAAAAAGGAAATTCAGAAGATTTAATAATAGATTTTCATTAAGGGTATCTCGGTAATTCCGGGGCTGAGAGTTAACGTGGTGGCTCCATTCGAAATTCTGACTTCGCAAATAATAGTATGATTCCGAAAATTCTTAAGTAAATCCGAAAATAATTTTTGAAATTTCAACAACTTAAAAAAAATAACCGGTTTTGAAAACATTTCCTTTTCTCAATCCGCCTCCCGGGTCAGAACCGGTTTGGCAAAACCTGGCTCTGATACCAATTGTGACACCCGCCTCTTGCTTAACCAAGAAGGCATGTCCAAGTATATTAACTTTCACCACAAGAAACCACTTGCTAGTTCAATACTACTTTATTCCCAAGAATCGTATTCAAAATGTCTTACAAAACCATTATTGAACTTAAATATCAAATCCGAATTTAAATAACAAAGTCTTTAAATAAATAATAATAATAATAAAATAAAATCTGTGTCTTCCCCAAAACCATCACCAAGCCAAGACACTACTCTTGTTTGCCTCCGCGCTCACCTGAGATAAAAAAAGAGGGTTGAGTAATTTGAATTACCCAGTGAGTGTAGGTCCAACGGGACCCACGATATACCTCTAGTATATTTATAACCACTATAGACGAAAGTCTAGAGCTAATACACGCAATACACACAAGTCCGAAGACACTCATACAACAAGAAATGACTCCTCATCCTACTGGTGCATCATCGTCCAATACCGGCGCACACCCCGTGGCATATAGCGGCACAACACGCTGTCTGTCTCTCTTTCAAGGCGCCTGCCTCTCTTTCAAGACACATGGCTCGTCAAGCCACCGACGATGGACTATGGAACTCCCCATATCCAGCACACAGACACATTACCGTGTCACACACAACACACAGGCAAAACCGCCTTAAGCCTAAAAGCTTAACCTAAACCCGCACAACTGATTTCCCGCACAGAATGCAAACACCCGCAAACACTTTCATAAAATCACACAACCATTTTCCATTTAGCAATCTATATTACTAGGTTCATCAATCACATTATCAATATTATATAATTAATACTATAATAATATAGCACACAAATACGTGTATTTATATAGCTACACGCAGGTATACACGCATTAACAATAGACTACTCAATCTATAATAATTATAAATATAGAAGAAAATATATCACGACGCCAATCCTCACCTTTGATTTTCGGGTTGAAACGGATTTAGAAATGACCACGACGGACGAATGCAACTCACGGCAATGGACGATCAACTCTATTCAACGGTTACTTGTTCCTGAAGTAACAAAAGTCAACAACATAGACCCATGCAACAACGTCCACCACATCACGTATTCCACGTGATCACATGTTAACCAATTTACATGAACATGGTCATAAGCTCTCGGGAAAAAGAAGACATGATGATCGAGCATGATTCACTCACTTTGACGATGACGTAACACTGGATATCAACACCAACAGCAACTCGTGGAGAGAGAGGAACCTTGGAGCTTAAGGAACAACAACAATGGAGATTATCAACTCTCGGCAAAAATGGTGCGTGAAGAAGACGATGCAGAAATAGACTCGGATCTTACCGAAACAACACAATCACTGATGAGAAGGGTCTGGAGCAGCAGATCGGCGACGGTGGTGACTTGTGGCGGCGGAGTCGAGAAGACGTTGCGATGGAGTCGGTTCTCGGCGGCTTCTTCTCACGGGAACAACGATGGGATCACGGTCCGGTGCGGAAACACGTGCAAGTGCGGTGAGATCGGAAGTAGCAGCAACGGCGGCGGAGCTCTCCCGGTTCCGGCAGCAGTTCGGCGTCGGAAGTGAAGATCGTGCCTCCTCGTTTTCTGTGCGGCGCTTTTTATCGAGGAGGGGAGAAGAAGGAGCAGCTAGGGTTGGACTTTCATCGGCCTTGTCCAGTATTTGGGCCTCCTCCCATTCTATTGGACTCGGGATGTCACACATAGGAAAGAGTCTCAGCTTGATGGCATTGATGGCGGGTTTAGATTGCCTCAAATTTTCACAATTTATAAACCCAACTAATGAGCTGCAAGTGCACAGCCGTGTTGTAGTCGGGGTCGAACACGAGGAGGAAGTGTTCTCGCTTAACACCTTGTGAGATTGGTTTGTAGCTAGCTCGCAATATGAGGTGGTTTTGGACCTAGAATGAGAAAACAAAACAAAAGAAATGTGAGTGAGTTTGTAAACAATTTAAAACAAGAGTTAGGCAAAGGACAATCATATGGAGCAATGATGAAAAGATAGTTGCATGGGATGTGTGTAGAGCCGTCTTGAACATGAATCACTAGTGTATGGTTTTCCACTGTCGTGGCTCCAACCACTATGTTTGAAACAACCTAATATACTCAGCTTTCGTTGGCTATTAGAATTGCAAACATGCATTAAAGGTTCAAGATTCAATTGTTCACAATAAACCATAACTCAGCTTTCGTTGGCTATGATCTATTGCTCACCAAATACTAGTTTTGAGATCTAGATTCAGCACTGTCGTGGTTCTATTTCTCTAAGATCAGATTACTAGATGTACGGTAGAGTAATCATGCATTAAGCTCAAGTAAAGGTGAAGATCCATAAGATAAATCCCAATAAGTTGCAACACAATCAAATCATCACGGCCACCATAGATCTCCTCGGCCTAACTAAGAGATCTACTCGGCCATGATGCAAACAAGCAAGCAAAGCATGATTGTAAACATTATGCAAGTATTAAAAGAGATAAAGGGATGAAGAAAGCTTCTCTATTGATGAACAAAGTCGGATTCTCCCTTGAAAACTCTTAAGATCAAGTTTATAGAAATGGAAACAATGAAAAAGAAAGAACAAGAGTTGAGCGGCGCCTCCTTCTTCTTGGACGATCTCCTAGGGCTTCTCTTCTCTCTCTCTCTTCTCACACGTAACTCTTTGTAATTTTCGGACTCTCGACTCTCTTCTTCAGCGGCTAAAAACATGTATATATGGGCGAAGTCGCGTAGGGTTTTCTTCATGCCGGAAAAGGAAAGTTTCCATGCGCCGAGCCTTCTTCTCCACGTCGTGTATGGGCCGACATTGTACCAAGGAAAGCTCCAAACATTAGCCAGGCCTCTTCTCTATTCGATCAAGGCCTTTGGCGCTGCTGCTCGGGCCATTAGACACTCCAAATCCTCCATGGGCTTCGTTTACTCGCTTACCGGACATGTCTCGGTAGAAAATAAGTCTAGGCCTCATAGTTGATCCAAATGGCTTCATTCCACTTCGACGTGATGCATGACTCAAGTATCTATCTTTCCATATCAAGATCGTAACTTTTGGACGTCGGGAACTCCTCCGCGCGCGGCCAAACTTCCGAAGCTTCGTTCTGCGCGCTAGCGAGAACTAACACTTGGAGATAAAATGATCTTCTTGACTTGGAAACTTGCATGGATCTTGATTTAGGGCTCTTTTACTCCTTTTTGCATCCTTTTTGATTATTTCACCTACAAAGACTTCAAATCCCACAAATACAAGAAAACTACCTCTAAAGGCAAAGAATCTTGCAAAAACCGTTTGAAAACATAGTAAATTATATAGTAAAATCATGTAAAATATGGTGATATCAACTCCCCCAGACTTAGCCTTTTGCTTGTCCCCAAGCAAACTAAGCAGGAAAAGAGGTTTGAAAACGTGAGAACTCTCAAATCTTTTGGAAATCCAAATTGACTTATGCTTTAGTAATCCACATGAAACAGCATTGGCAAGTTTTGAATTAAGAACAAAGTACATACCATGAGTTTTGCGATTTTCCCAAAGCGGTCCACCTCTCCTTGGACAATCCAATTCGCCACCCTTGACTCCTTTCATTTCTAAAGGTGTGGTCTCAACTAGGGAGTATCGATCAGCCGGCTTTAGATTCTTTCTCATCCCCTTGTTTGGCACTTGTCTTTTTACTCCATGTTTCTCCTCTCTCTCTTCTCACTTCTTTGAGTTGATTCATCCCTTTTTTAGGGTAGCGAAGTATTTTTTTATTCAACTCCTTCTCTTTATTATAGAGGTTTTGCTTGGATCTTCCACAGACGCGAGTATTGATGGTGTTTGCCACCGAATCCCCGGTTGCTTGGATTCATAGGCCTTCCATAGACGCGAGTATTGATGGTGTTTGCCACCGAATCCCCGGTTACTTGGACCTTACGCTTTTTCTTTAAATTTGAAGGGGAGAGAGAGGGAAGCACGAACTCACTAAGACTTTTTCATTTGATGGAGAGGATGAGGAATCATGCCATTTGTATGCCAAGCCCCTAGCTGAGAAGATTAAGTTCATTAAGGGCGGAGTCAAAGATGGATCCTTCTCAAGTCTTTAGAGATGTAGGCGTTTTTGGTAGATCGATCAACTCATAGTGCACCTGTGGTAAGATGTATTGCCAAGAACTGCTCAATGGTCACTTAAACATTAGTACAACCATGGTTAGATCCAAGATAAGGTCATGATTCTCGACAAAAATTTTGACTCAATAAAAACGACTCGATAAAAGGGAAAAATGCAAATGAAAATGCCAAAATGAACAAACATTGTTAGTAATCCCCCCAGACTTAACTTGCACCGTCCCGGTGAAATCAAATCGGATTAAGAGAGGCATAACATGAAGTTCAAATGAAAAATTGAAAAGAAAAAGGTTTAGGATGATGTTACCAAATGTCGACCAATTTATAATGAAGATCAGTTCTGGTTTGGGTCATTCTACACTTCTTTAGGCAATATTGGTCGGTGAGTTTTTAATTTCAGGCCTTGGTTTCCGCCGGTTTGTGTTTTGGCCGAGATTGGTATATTCGGTCGGCCAAAATGTGGTGCTGTGAACTACAGAACAAACCGTCAAAAATTTCATGACCTATATTGAAATTTCATCGACCAACCTGGTATTTTAGAGCCTCTGGTGAAGTTTGGGAGCATTTGTACGAGCGGATTGAGACTTCCTTCACAAAATGGTCAAGTCGGCTCCGGGAAGGAGTTTCCTTGGCCATGTGAAGTTTGGCTCGTTCCTTTTCGTTTCTTCCTGCATAAAAGTGTTAGTTAAGCTCAAAGAAGAGTTTTCCAACCGGTTGGCGCGCCTATGCCGTGATTTGGTTTTGTCGGCCATATTGCTTGCGCGCCATCGGCCAGAATGAGCTCCGTCGTCTATCTCATGATCCGTGATGATTTCTCCGTCCTATCTTTTGGATTTGCCGACCAAAATGTGATTTTATGGTCGCCTGTGAAGTTTGGTGGACTTTGGTCACGCCGTTTAGGAGTTGGCCGTAGTTGGCTTCCTTGTGCGCGGTATGGCCGAGAGAAATGTCCTGGATTGAATTTCTTCAAATCCACTCGGGCCAATTGAGATTTTCTTCGATCGAATTGTTTTAATAACCCTCCTGTGTCATTCCCAAGTGGTGGCCGCCTTGTTTCGTGTGATGGCCTATGTATCTCCTTTTAACCTCCCTTTGGCCGCCATATGCATGTTGGTTTTGAGGTGGTTGATAGGTTTGCTTTATTTCTCCTTCCTGTCAAATGGTTAACTCCTTGCAAAACACTTGAAATCATGATTAGATGGTTTCTCAGATTGTGATCCTCAAGTGACCAACTTGAAGTTCACAATCCAAGAGATTAAAGCACAAACTATAAATTCTTATTTGGTCTTGGTTAATGATCCAAATTTCAAACTATAGTTCAATCTCTTGTAATTTCAGTGAGCAAATGAGTTTTGACAAGTGATTATGTATTCTTTCCAATCATCAAAAGTAAATCAAGTTAAACCATGAAATATATTTGATAAAGTGCAATGGTTTAAACGATTTTTCAAGTGAAGATCAAGAGTGATTAGAAATGAATACTAGGTGAGAGTTTACTTACCTTTTGGAAGAGAAACGCCTTGTACAAGGGTGGGCTCATTGGGTGGGACACTTCCATTGTTTGGTCTCCTTTGGGTCTTCATCCTAAGAAAATATTTTTGTATTTTTGTTTGATTTTTGAAAAACTCCTGCAAAATAGAAATAATAGTTAAAAACCATATGGGTTGCCTCCCATAAAGCGCTTTTGTTTTAAGTCATTTAGCTTGACTCCTTTTCTTTCTTTCAATCGTGGTGAAGAGTGGCTGAAGGGCAAAGGATCCCTTTAGCTTCTCCATTCTCCGGTGTAGTGGATTCTTGTGGTGGTGTTGTCGCGCCATAGTCATCTCTCACATCATCTTTGAAAACCAATGCCTTGGGGAAAAGCTTCATAGTTCTCTCAAGCTTCTCTTCAATGGATTGGTCACCTTTAAGCTCCGAATCTTTTGGTGTAAAGATTCTTATCTTGTGAAAGAGATTAGGTGCACCATTAGTCTCCTCTTCAGCTCCATATCGTCAAAGGTTGGAAGTGAGATGGAGTTGATTCCTTAAAGACATTTTCATGCCTCGGCTCCAATGTTTTCTTCTTCTCCTTTGGTTTTGGGTAGCGCTCACTCTCTCTTCTTTCTCCATGCATCACGGCTTCTTTCTTAGGCGTGAGAGTGGCTTCTTCTGGTGGTAGCTTGGTCGCACTTGGCACTGACCTGAAATTTACACTTGGGAAAAAGATATCTTGCCGGATGTGGCCAAAAGATAGATGATTCCCAAAGTAGTTTAGGACCGCTCCAGCTGTAGCAAGGAATGGGGTTCCAAGAATCAGTTGATTCCTCTTTGAGCCTTCCCAAATCATGACTTGAAAGTCAGTTGGGACCGATCGACCCCCTATTTCCATCATGACATCTTCAAGCATTCCATAGGTTCCATGCACGATAGATCCGCGAACTCGACTCTTATCTTGGGGCTCTTGAATTCCTTGAATCCCAAATCTTTTGCAAGTGCAAGAGACATTAGATTAACATTAGCACCAGTATCACATAGGCAATCGTGGAGTTGAATGCCATTGATACTTGAAGTTATCACAAACTTCCCCGGATCTTCTTGTTTTTGTAGTGGCTTGCCTTCAAGTCTTCTCTTGTAAGCTCTTCTTGATTCCCAACTGTATCTCTCCGGTTTGTGCCTCTCCTTAGGCTCATTTTCTTCTTCTTCCCCTTGAGATAGTGTAGGAACAATAGTGCCATCTATAGATGAGACAACACTACAAAATTTTTGAGTGTTTACCTCATTTTGTTTCTTGGCCGCCTCGGCTGTTTGAGCGATTTGCACCTCAAGCTTTTGAACGTGAGTAGAGAGAGACCCAAACTTGCTGCTTAGATCACCAAACATGTGATCAAGCTTCTCATATAGGTTCTTGGTGATCAATCTCTGCTCCTCCATGTATTTCTTCAACGCCACGTCAACCTTCTCTCCGGTTTGGGTTGGATTTGTTTCTTGAGAAAAAGTGAATGGTTGCTTCACTTGGTACATCCCTCTTGGATAGACTTGTTGTGGCTTGGATTGGTATTGGCCTCCTTGATACGCTCCTTGATTGGGGTAGACTTGGTCATTTGGATTCTCCACATTGTTGCTCCGGTATGATAGGTTTGGATGCGCGCGAAATGGTGGATTGAATCCTCTATTCCCATAGTTTCCTCCAATGTAGTTGACTTCCTCTAGATTCTCTTCAGTGCCATCTCTCATGAAATCCATAAGAGTGTCTTCATTTGTGGCTAGGGCATCTTCAATGGCGTGAACTCCTTGCCGGCTTTTAAGTAGTTGTGAAACCATGTTCCTTAGCTCCGAGATTTGAGCTGATTCTGATGAGCTCGTGGTCTTCACGCTTCTATTGTAGTCAGGGCATGCATTGGCATCACTAGCAGCGAGATTCTCAATCAAAAGCTTTGCCTCCGGCACCGACTTGGTCATGAAATTACCATTGCTCGCGGTATCGAGAGAAAGCTTGTATTTATGATCAATCCCATTGTAAAAGATGTTCCAAAGGTTACCTTCTGAAAAGCCATGGTTAGGGCAGCTTCTTGTGTACTCCTTGAATCTCTCCAAAGCTTCATAGAATGACTCCATTGAATCTTGCTTGAAACCAGAAATCTTGCTCCTTATAGAGTTGGATCTTTGCTTAGTGTAGAATTGGTTCAAGAAAGCTCCCTTGTATTCATTCCATGTTGTAATGGACTGAGGTGGTAAAGATTTTACCCATCTTAGCGCCTTGTCACTTAGAGAAAAAGTGAATAGCTTGCACTTGAAGTAATCCGGCGATACTCCATTAACACGAGTTGTGCTACATATCTCCTCAAAGGTGTCGACGTGATCAAGAGGATGCTCAGTGGGCAAACCATGGAATTGGTTTTGCTTCACCAAGGCAATGATCTGCGGTTTGATCTCAAAATCGTTCCTTGGAGGTAGAGGCGGTCGGATTGGATTCCGATCCATAAAGAAGGCATCGGACGAATCAAAGTCTCCCATAGTTTGGTGCCTTGGATGCTGCGCGTTTGGCACTCTCCTTGGAGGTGCGTGAGGTTGGTCTTGAGGCATCCCTTGGTTGTCACCGTGACGATGATGTCCATTTGCAAACGCCGGTGGTGGTCGCGGCGGGTTAAGAGGTGGCTGTAGCGGCTCAGCTGCATCGGGCGCGTTCGGATTGGGTGGAGGAACGTCTCTGGCCGGTGCTGGCTGGTCAGCTCTAGCTTCTGCTGGATTAGGAGGATCATTGGCTCTCCTCTCTTGGTCGGGCGGGTTGTGTGGCCTATTTGGCGCGCCTTCTCCGCCTGGATTCATTCTTTCTCTCCTTAGTCGCCTAAGTGTGCGCTCAAGTTGGTCAATGTCAAGATCTTCTTCAATGGTTGTATTTGGATTGGACCTTCTTGTCATGCACCTTAGAAACACACAAAGAGAGAGTTAAGTAAAATTTTTATGGATTTTTAAGATTTTATGAAAAACAAAAACAAAGAAAAGTGAAAGATGAGATGAGCTAGTCTTGAAACAATCAAGAGGTGTGAAGGAAAAGCAACTCCTCCCCGGCAACGGCGCCAGAAAGCTTGATGGCGGGTTTAGATTGCCTCAAATTTTCACAATTTATAAACCCAACTAATGAGCTGCAAGTGCACAGCCGTGTTGTAGTCGGGGTCGAACACGAGGAGGAAGTGTTCTCGCTTAACACCTTGTGAGATTGGTTTGTAGCTAGCTCGCAATATGAGGTGGTTTTGGACCTAGAATGAGAAAACAAAACAAAAGAAATGTGAGTGAGTTTGTAAACAATTTAAAACAAGAGTTAGGCAAAGGACAATCATATGGAGCAATGATGAAAAGATAGTTGCATGGGATGTGTGTAGAGCCGTCTTGAACATGAATCACTAGTGTATGGTCTTTCCACTGTCGTGGCTCCAACCACTATGTTTAAAACAACCTAATATACTCAGCTTTCGTTGGCTATTAGAATTGCAAACATGCATTACAAGGTTCAAGATTCAATTGTTCACAATAAACCATAACTCAGCTTTCGTTGGCTATGATCTATTGCTCACCAAATACTAGTTTTGAGATCTAGATTCAGCACTGTCGTGGTTCTATTTCTCTAAGATCAGATTACTAGATGTACGGTAGAGTAATCATGCATTAAGCTCAAGTAAAGGTGAAGATCCATAAGATAAATCCCAATAAGTTGCAACACAATCAAATCATCACGGCCACCATAGATCTCCTCGGCCTAACTAAGAGATCTACTCGGCCATGATGCAAACAAGCAAGCAAAGCATGATTGTAAACATTATGCAAGTATTAAAAGAGATAAAGGGATGAAGAAAGCTTCTCTATTGATGAACAAAGTCGGATTCTCCCTTGAAAACTCTTAAGATCAAGTTTATAGAAATGGAAACAATGAAAAAGAAAGAACAAGAGTTGAGCGGCGCCTCCTTCTTCTTGGACGATCTCCTAGGGCTTCTCTTCTCTTCTCTCTCTTCTCACACGTAACTCTTTGTAATTTTCGGACTGGACTCTCGGATCTCTCTTCTTCAGCGGCTAAAAACATGTATATATGGGCGAAGTCGCGTAGGGTTTTCTTCATGCCGGAAAAGGAAAGTTTCCCATGCGCCGAGCCTTCTTCTCCACGTCGTGTATGGGCCGACATTGTACCAAGGAAAGCTCCAAACATTAGCCAGGCCTCTTCTCTATTCGATCAAGGCCTTTGGCGCTGCTGCTCGGGCCATTAGACACTCCAAATCCTCCATGGGCTTCGTTTACTCGCTTACCGGACATGTCTCGGTAGAAAATAAGTCTAGGCCTCATAGTTGATCCAAATGGCTTCATTCCACTTCGACGTGATGCATGACTCAAGTATCTATCTTTCCATATCAAGATCGTAACTTTTGGACGTCGGGAACTCCTCCGCGCGCGGCCAAACTTCCGAAGCTTCGTTCTGCGCGCTAGCGAGAACTAACACTTGGAGATAAAATGATCTTCTTGACTTGGAAACTTGCATGGATCTTGATTTAGGGCTCTTTTACTCCTTTTTGCATCCTTTTTGATTATTTCACCTACAAAGACTTCAAATCCCACAAATACAAGAAAACTACCTCTAAAGGCAAAGAATCTTGCAAAAACCGTTTGAAAACATAGGTAAATATATAGTAAAATCATGTAAAATATGGTGATATCATGGATCAGCTCGTTTTCAACCCTCATCCCTTCTTGTTCTATTTGTTTGCTTGAGGGCAAGCAAAGTTCAAGTTTGGGGGTGTTGATGTACTTGCATTTTACATAGTTTTAGCACATCTTTTATGCATCTTTTGCATAGTTTTAGCTTCCATTTGCATCATATCTTGTTCCTTTTCTCTTCTTATGCATTCATGTTAGTTTTAGGTTGCATTTGCATACATATGCATGTTTGGTCCTTTGAAATAGGTCTTTTGGAGCATTCTGGAGCATATGGGACAAGGAGCATGGAGGGACTTGGCACATGGAAGCAGCTCAACTGGACACGCAAAGGAAGAAGGGAGAAGCCATCTTGAAGACCAGCTCGACCGTCTACTCGACCAACCGGTCGAGTTCCTCAACTCGACCGGCCAAGCTTCAACTCGATCGAGCTGAGAAGTCAACAGTCAAACCCGAAAAATGTTGCTTCCCCCTTGACTTTCCTTTGACCCTAAACCTAATCCTCTTGTATTTAAAGGCTCTAAGCCACGAAAAAACCACCAAGCTTTAGATTATTTTGTTTTAGTTTCTTTTAATTTATTGTACTTTTACTTTTTAGAGATCTAATCCATCTTTGTGTTCTTGAAGCTCTTGCTTCTTGAATCCTAGATCCTGGATAATCTCTCTTGTATTTGCACTTGCTTATTTCAATAAAAGTTGTTTATTTCATCTCCTCTTTCTTATGATGTCTCTTTTATTGCATTTGCTTGTGTTTACATTCATGTGTAGTGAGTAGTTACCCATTGGGGTTTGAGATGGGATAGATTAGAGGTTTCATATGCTTAATCCTTCTAGCTTATGGTCTTAATCTAGATTCTCTCTCTTTTGGATAGATCTTAAGGCTACATGACCACTACCCCTGGCTTGTAAGTCCTTAGGCGACTCCCCACACGAAAGTGATGGCATTCGCTGGAAAAGATCCACTAAGAGCTCCAATATCTCTTGCTCTAGACAATAGAGGTCTAAGGGGTTGGATGGATTAGTTTGGGCAATGATCCTATAGCCTCCAAGGTTTGATTCTCACTGGCTAACCCCCTGTTTCTGAGATCATTCCTTGGTTGATAGCCTTCACCTTGGGAAAGGGTTGGCTAGGCATTGAGAAGCCCAATATCAAGAGAAGCCTTGATACAAGGAGTTTTAAGAGCTAGATTGATTAAGTGTAGATTCCTTTGATTGCAAAACCCTGTCTTGAACCCTAATTCTCTCTTAGCTTGTTAAAGTCGTCACCTTTAGCTTTGTTTGTCTCAACTCGTCCCTAAACTCGATCGAGCTGGTACTTTGCTCTGACTCGACTCGAGCTCTTGGTCGAGCTGATACTTCACTGCTTTCTTTACTTTTATTGCACTGCTTTTCATTTCATTTAGGTTGTTAGTGTTACTTCAAATCTATAACTGCTTGCTTGACTTCCTGGTTGTTTCATATTCTCATAGAGTGACAAGTTTCCCATTTTGGATTGATAACCCTTTGTACTACATCAACTATCATGGTTAAAGGGAATTGTTGACTGTGTTTGTGTTTGCATCTTACCACCTCATCATATACCACTGATTGCATTCCACATCTCATTTCATATCTTTTCACATCCACACACAAATCCTATCATCACCTTCGTGGTAAAACCCAGCAACAATTGCTTCAAATACGCAAGATATCAACTCCCCCGGACTTAGTCTTTTGCTTGCCCTCAAGCAAACATAAATTCCAAGAATAGGGAAGAAGTTTGAAAACGCGGGAACTCACAAATCATCAGCAACCATACCCCGAGGAACATCAGCAGACCTCAAAGGACAAGGTTCGTCAGTGCATAATCACTGTAGTCCCCTTGTGGTCTCGCATTCCTGGTCCCTTGATGAACCTCCATCCTGCAGAAACTCAAGCTACACATTGGTTAACTCTCTACATTCATTAAGATTTGGCGTGGACCTCTCATCAAGAACATCATACAGGGTCGACGGTGTTGGTTATCAAAAGGCCTGTTTTTGGTGAGGTTAAAGTGTTTAAGGGTTACCAGATACGCCGGAGGATGCATGATATCGCGCAAAACAGCAAGAGAGAATGGTTCTGTTGATAGCCACATTTCCCAACCACTTCACTCTTCAACTCCTTGTATGTTGGATTTATCCAGAACAGCTCTAACTCCCAATTCGCCTTGATCGGTGGTATTCCTTGGAGATTTTCGGTCGAGCTTGACATTTTATTGAACCACTAGTTCCTTTCCTCACGTTTTTTTTTTTTTTTTTTTTTTTTTTTTGAGGAGAACTAGTGTCAATGGCTCGTAAATGTTACCGGTGTATTCGTGCTTCTCCAAGGATGACCATCAGTTCGATCGATTCAGGCTCCATACTCCACCATCACTTCCCATTCTCAGTGTTATAGATGAACACTCGTCTTGAATGTGGTTGGGAAGCTGTGTCGAACCTTTCTCTCCTGACGTTTTTGCACATATCTGCATATATGACACAAAAGAACAGAGTGCATGAAGTCAGAAAGGAGGTAAGGCTCAAAGGTGGGTACCAACCAAAAATGGGCTGGCCACTCAGGATCAACAGAGAGTGGTAAAATGAATAAGAAGTCCTGAGTGTATGGTCCGTTTCCCTGCTATGACATTCCGAATGAGAAGTAATTGATGTCAGATTAGGTCCAATAGCATTAGAGTCAACCAAATGTTTCACCAAAATCTCTGCAAAACGAAAATTCCTGGGGGAAGTCTGACCAAAAGGGTAATCCAGCTTTTTACACATAACAAACCCTGCAAAATTGGTCACTAGATAGAAAGAATTCAAGAGCACAAATGGTTTCATCAGATAAGTTTTATTCCCAACAAGTTTTGACTCAGTAAAACATGACTCAAAGAAAACATCAAAATGACTCAAGGTGAAACACAAAATCAAAGAAAGAAAAAAAAACGTTAGTAAACACAAAGACCCTCCACTGGACTTACTTCACACCGACCCTCCGCATCGCCGAGGACATCGACGAGATGTTCCACAACCTAGGGATCGGTCGAGTCATGTACCAGCAGCACGAGTCATATCGGAAGGCGACTTGCCTTTTCCTTGCCACACTCACAGACGATCCCTGCGACGACGGCAAGTTTACATCTGACGGCAGTGACGGCTACATCACCTTCTGGGCCACTCGACGGAGGCACCACCTTACCTACAGAGAGATCGACCGAGCTCTCTCTCTACCGCCGGGCAACCGCCACGGTCTCGACGTCGACCGCGCCGAGATGACAGCACTCTGGGGGACGATCGCATTTGGGGACTACTTCTCCTCAAGTGCGAAGTCTTTTCACATCAGGAGCCCGCCGATCCGCTACTTCCACAAGGCGATCGCCAACACGCTCTTCTCGCGACAGGCCACCGGGAACGTCACAGAGACGGAGATGGCCATGATCGACGTGGCACTCACAGGCAGTTAAGACTGATCAACAGGACCCAGCTCAGAGGCAGCAGATCACTAGCAAGCTCAAGAGCAAGGTGAAGAAGTTGGCCGATCAGATCCGTGCCATGCAGGACAAGCTGAGTTGTGTTGCCTCAGCTTCAGGAGGTGTACAGAGGACCGCAGTCGGTCCACGCCAGGCGGACCTCTCCGAGGACGACGACGAGCCACACCACGACACCACCGGCGGTCGGCCACTACCTCCTGACCCACAACGTCACTCTTCTTTCGAGCCGCGTCAGCAGCGCAAGAGGCGCCACGGAGAGCGACAGACTGCGAGACCATCAGGCGCACAAGCTGACGCCGACTTGCCATTCAGGCGATGCAGCTCTGTCTCCAGACAGACAGCTCCGACGGATCATCACACTCCGCCGATGAGGGCTCCACCGGACCAGTACGTGCCGTACAGCACGGAGCGAGCTGCGCCTACCACCATCCCTCCATACACGCAAGAGAGCATGCAGGAGGACCTCGACGAGCTCATTCACGGACGTCGCTTATGCTCTTCCCGCCTCCACTCGACCGATCACCACCATTCCATTTTTCCTTTTCTTTTTCTTTTATTGAGTCTGTTTAACTCTTCCTTTGATTTATTTTCACACCGGGTCGGTGTGAAGTAAGTCCGGGGGAGGGTATTTGTCTTTACTAACGTTTTTTTTTTTTTTTCAAAACAAAGAAAACAGAATTAGCAGGAAAAAATTGAAAAGAGAGTATGTACACTTACCAGTGGGTTGCCTCCCACCAAGCGCTTGGTTTAAGTCACTAGCTTGACTTGAATGCCCATTAGGCAGGAGATGGATCACTGAGAGGAACAGATTCCCTCTCTGTGATGTCGGTATCAGCAAGGTATGGCTTGAGGCGTTGACCGTTCACCACGAAGTGTCCACCAGACTTGTCCCATAGCTCAAAAGCTCCATATGGTCTGACTTCCTTGATAACGAAGGGCCCAGACCACCTTGATTTCAGCTTTCCAGGAAACAACTTCAGCCTGGAGTTAAACAGCAGGACTTGATCTCCTTGGGAGAAGTTCCTTTTCAGGATCTTCTTGTCATGGTAAGCTTTAGTCCGCTCCTTGTAGATCTTCGAACTGTCATAGGCCAGGTGCCTAATCTCGTCAAGCTCGACCAACTGCATGTTCCTCCTCTCTGCCGCAGACTTCATGTCATAGTTCATCTGCTTCACTGCCCACGCAGCCTTGTACTCTAACTCCACAGGCAGGTGACAAGCCTTGCCATAGACCAAGTTGAACGGTGTCGTACCAAGAGGAGTCTTGTAGGCAGTTCGATAGGCCCAGAGTGCATCATCCAACTTTGCAGCCCAGTCCTTCCCAGTTGTGCCTGCAGTCTTCTGAAGGATGTTCTTGATCTCTCTGTTAGATAGCTCGACTTGGCCACTCGTCTGGGGATGATAAGGAGTCGCCACCTTGTGCTTCACCCCGTGCCTCTTCAACATATTATCGAATCGAAAGGAACCTCCATCACTGATAACAACTCTCGGCACACCAAATCGAGGGAAGATCACCGACTTGAACATCTTCATCACGACCTTTGCATCATTAGTGGGACTGGCCAAAGCCTCTACCCACTTAGATACATAGTCGACAGCCACCAAAATGTACAGGTTTCCATAGGAAGATGGGAAGGGTCCCATGAAGTCAACTCCCCACACGTCGAAAACCTCTACTTCCAGAATGAAGTTCTGTGGCATCTCGTTTCTCTTACTGATGTTCCCCTGTCTCTGGCATACATCACACTTAGACACGAATCTGTGTGCATCTCGGAACATGGTGGGCCACCAGTAGCCAGCTTGCAGCGCCTTGGATACAGTCTTGTACGTGGCGAAGTGTCCAGCATAAGACGAGCTATGACAGTGGAACAAGATCCCAGGTATCTCCTCATCAGCTACACATCTCCTGTAGACTCCATCGGTGCAGTGCTTGTACAGGTATGGCTCATCCCAGAAATAGCGCCGGATGTCTCTCAGAACTTCTTCTTCTTGTTCCCTACAAACCAGTAGGTTCATGCTCAGCAGCGAGGTAATTCGCTATCTCTCCGAACCATGGGAAACTGGCGGTCAACGGGTTACAGCTCAAGCACGATCTCCGTCATCCATTCGATCGACCTCCTTCTGCATCGATCGAACTCCATCATCTGCGAGCAGGGGCTCGCCGTAATCGATCACCTCAACAGCGTAGACGTGCTCATCAGGTAGGCTGTCGTCTAGAGGGACGTCATCATCGATCTTCATCCTTGACAGGTGATCAGCTACACCATTGTCAATCCCTTTCTTATCCTTGATCTCCAGATCGAACTCCTGAAGCAAAAGAATCCATCTCAAGAGTCTCGGCTTCGCATCCTTCTTCGTCAGCAAGTACTTCAAGGCAGCGTGATCAGTATGGACAATCACCTTCGATCCAACAAGATAGGACCGAAACTTCTCAAATGCAAACACCACCGCCAATAGTTCCTTCTCAGTCGTAGCGTACTTGCACTGAGCTTCATCAAGTGTGCGACTGGCGTAGTAGATCACGTGCAGCTTCTTCTCCTTTCTCTGGCCCAGAACCGCTCCGACAGCATAGTCACTAGCATCTGTCATCACCTCGAACGGAAGGTTCCAGTCAGGAGGTTGGACAATTGGAGCACTCACCAGAGCTCCCTTGATCGTGTGAAAGGCCTCCAAGCATGTACTGTCAAAGTCGAACTTGACCTCCTTACACAACAGCTGCGTCAAAGGTCTGGTGATCTTGGAGAAGTCCTTGATGAATCGCCTGTAGAACCCCGCATGCCCCAGAAAGCTGCGGATTCCCTTGACAGAATTAGGCGGCTGTAGACTCATCATCACCTCGATCTTCGCTCTGTCGACCTCGATTCCCTTCTCTGAAATCCTATGTCCCAGCACGATCCCATCTCTCACCATGAAGTGGCATTTCTCCCAGTTCAGCACAAGATGTCTCTCCTCACACCGCTGCAATACCCTGCACAGATTAGACAAACACACAGCAAAGGAGCTTCCATAGACGGAAAAGTCGTCCATGAAAACTTCCATTATGTCCTCAATAAGGTCAGTGAAAATAGACATCATGCAGCGCTGGAACGTGGCCGGTGCATTGCACAGTCCAAACGGCATTCTGCGATAAGCATAAGTGCCATATGGACATGTGAATGTCGTCTTCTCCTGGTCGTCTGGGTGGATGGGGATCTGAAAGAAACCTGAGTAACCATCTAAAAAGCAGTAGTATGGATGGTTAGCCAATCTCTCAAGCATTTGATCAATAAATGGGAGAGGAAAATGATCTTTGCGAGTTGCAGCATTCAGTTTGCGGTAATCAATGCACATGCGATGACCAGTGACAGTTCTAGTGGGTATCAGCTCATTCCTATCATTCTTAACAACAGTTATACCACCTTTCTTAGGAACTACATGCACAGGACTGACCCACTTACTATCAGATATAGCATAAATTACACCAGCATCTAGAAGTTTCATTATCTCTTTCTTGACAACATCTTTTAGATTCGGGTTTAACCTCCTCTGATGTTCTACAGAAGTCATCGATTCATCTTCTAGATGTATTCTATGCATGCAAAGATCAGGAGAAATTCCAGGGATGTCATCTAGCGAATACCCTATAGCTTTTCTATACTTCCTAAGCTCACAGAGAAGCAAAGCAAGTTCAACATTGTTCAGCTCAGCATTCACTATCACAGGGTATGTAGAGTTAGGTCCCAGAAATGCATACCTGAGCCCCGCAGGGAGTGTTTTCAGCTCGAGCTTAGGTGCACTCGACTCGCTCCAAGGGCTGTTGACGGACTCTCCTGAGGTGCATTCGATCGATCTGGCATCGGCTTCGATCGATCCTCCTTTCCTCCAAGCTCATGAACGCCACCAGTCTCTCCATCTTGCCGCTTGCATCCATCATTTTCCCGAAGCCATCGGCTTCCTCATTCAGGAAATCATACTCGCCTTCAGCTTTAGTCAAAGCTACCTCCAGAGGGTCGTCAAGAAGCATCTCCTCACTCACTTCGTCCACCAAGTTTGAGCCATCTTCAATCACATAAGTTTGCCCATCTAACATTGGCTTCTTGAGGAGTTTGTTCATCTCGAACCTCATGACGATATCTCCCAGATGGAGATCAATGATTCCTCCCTTCACATCAATGATTGCACCAGCTGTGCATAGGAAGTTTCGCCCTAGTATCAGCGGATCCTTAGGCTCTTCGTCGAGCTCGAGGACTACAAAGTCTGCTGGAATGAGTGTGTTCCCTATCTGCACATGTAGATCCTCAAGTATACCGACTGGGAACTTAGTCGATCTGTCAGCGAAAACCAAGGAGACTTTCGTGGGTTTGAACTTTGTGTATCCCATCGCTTGGCCACAGAATACGGCATCAGGTTCACGCTCGAGCCAAGATCGCAAAGAGAGCATGCGAAGGTCATGTGGCCTAATCTGCACTGACAAGACAAATCTTCCTGGATCGCTCCTCTTCTTGATCACCTTGTTCTGCAGCACAGCGCTGCACTCCTCTGACACTAGCATGACGTTCTCATCCTCAGCTACTTTCCCAGATATCAGCTCCTTCATGTACTTCTTCAGAGCAGGAATCATCTGAACAGCATCAGACAGAGGCAGCTTCACAGTCAAGTCCTTCAACATCTCCTTACACTTTGCATCCTCCAAGTCTTTTCTGGACTTCTTCCGTGGAACAGGGTAAGGCACCTTAGGTGTGTAAGCTCTGGCTGGAGCAGTCTCTGCAGCTGCAGGAGTAGGTAGGTCAGCTACGGGTTCCTGAGACGAGGCGTCACCAGCTCGATCGAGTCCGCTGAGCAGCTCGATCGACTTCAGTTTCATCTTCCTGGTTCTCGTCGGCTTTCTCCTTGCCTGCCCTTTTCAGAGGAATCGCAGCAGGTAATAGCTTCCTTCCACTTCTCAGCTCAACTTGTGCAACATACTCGTTCCTGGGGTTTGCTCTCCTTTCCCAGGAAGGGTTCCATGAGGTCTCTTCACTGCTTCAGCGGTTTGAGCTACTTGGACATCCAGCTTCTTCACATGAGTCCACACAGCTTCGTACTTCCCATTCAGATCGTTGTACATGGTGTCTATCTTCAAGTGTGTCTCCGCAGTGGACTTCTGCTGGTTCATCAACATCTGCTGCATCATACCCTTAAGCTCATCGTTCGAGTTGTTCGATGAACCTGAAGGTTGTTGCTGATTGCTGAACTGCGCCTTCTGTTGGTTACCACCTTGAGAACGATTCTGGTTTGGGGCAAGGTCTTCTCCTGGAAGCTGTTAGGATAGCTCTTCTGATAACTCTGCTGGTTCTGGTTCGATCGAGGCGGATAGACCTGATCCTGAGGGTTCTCGACGTTGGTGCTCCTGTAGGACATGTTCGGATGGTTTCTGTAGTTCGAGTTGAAACCACGGTTCGGCACAAAAGGCTTGCCCATTCACATAGTTGACCTCCATCTGATCATCTTCATCCTCTTCTCCTCCAAACTCTTGAGAGATAGGTGCATCATTTTCGTCAACAAAATGAACAGACTTCTGCTGCGCCTTCATCAATAGATTCACCTTAGCCGTGAGCTCCTCAATCTTCTTCGCGTCAGCACTGCTTCCTTTGACAGATACAGTGCTCACTGTTCTGTCGTACTCAGCGTTCTTGTTGCTCGAGCTCGCTGCAAGATTCTCGATCAGCTCGAATGCACCTTCCTTGGACTTCGTCATGAAATCGCCATTGCTGGCTGCGTTCAAAGCGTTCTGTAGTCCCAGTTGACTCCATCATAGAAGATGCTCAGGATCTGCTCGTCAGAGTATCCGTGATGAGGGCACTCTCTTCGGCACTCCTTGTATCTCTCCCATGCTTCGCAGAAAGCTTCTCCATCATACTGCTGGAAAGATGCGATCTTCGTCCTTAGAGCTGCATTCTTGGACTTCGTGTAGAAGTGGTCCAGGAAAGCGCTCTAACTTGGTCCCATGAAGTCAAAGACCCAGGTGGTAATGACTTCAGCCAGCGAGATGCTTTGTTGGCAAGTGAGAACGGGAATAGCTTGCACTTCAGAAAGTCAGCCGGTACTCCATTCGAACCAGTCGTGCTGCATATCTCCTCAAAGTTCTGGATATGGTCCCCGGAATCTCAGCAGGAAGTCCATGGAAGATGTGATCCTTGACTAGAGCGATCATGCCGGGCTTGATCTCGAAGTCTTGCCTCTGCACGTTTGGAGGGACAATCGCAGACCGGTTTTGATAGAAGGTGTGCGGATTGTCCTTGTCTCCAATAGAAGGACGTGGTTGCGGTTCTCTATCTTGTTGAGCCTTCCGCATCTGCTCGATCTGCTGCTGAAGCTGCTGCAACTGAGCAGCCATGTTCGGATTGCCGGCGATTCGGCCTTGTTGTCTGTTTGCTCGTTCTACTCTGCAAGTTCTGCGTTGGACAGGATGAGAAGCTCTTCGTTGCGGTTGCTCCGTCGAGATCTAGTGATCATGCACCTGAAACATACACAAGAAAAACGAGAGAAACAAGTTAGTAAATCTTAGACTAGATTTCAAATCAAGAATCAAAGGTAACGAATTGGTCCCCGTCGCAACGGCGCCAAATTTGATAAACTAGAAATAGGTCCTTTTCTCTACTGCAAATTAACAGTGATGAAGATTGTAATATAAAGGATTCGAAATCCAGAGGACCAGCGTTACACTGTGAAACTAGGAGATTCAAAACAGAGCTAAGACAAAGATGATTGGTTTTAGTAACAGGTAACGAATGTAAACGTTGATGTAATTCAATAAACAGGGACTAGACCAAGGCAATTCGCAGAGATTCACGGTTAACGACCAAACAACTATTCAGGGCACAGATAAAGAACAGGTCTCGAACTCAAACAAAACAATATGTCAATTCACTTTCGCGATAACAACTTTACTAACAACCTAGATGTCTAAACTGTCGTTTGAATCTAGCAATTGAAAGCAAGCAGTAAACACAGGTTCGATAAGTTCACGAATCGCCTTAGCATCAACTTTCGCAGGCTAAGGACGATTCGCTCACCACAGTTCGTTCTAACAACCTATTGCACTTTTGATGAACAGGTAATCTGAGATCAGAGATCGAGTGATCAGATCGATCTAAGCAGAATGCAACAATGGCGAAGACAGTATTAAAGCCCTATCTGTATTCAGTCAAGTTAACACATGAATCCCTTTGAAAAACCTAGATCTAGCAGTGACTACTCAGACATGGCGAAACAGCAAACAATAACTGAATGAATGTCATTGAATCAAAATAGAAAATAGCAAACAAGGGTTCAGAAATCTTCTCCAAACTGTGAAAAACAGAGGTTCGATCTCTTCTCCCTCAGAAACAATGAAAACAGTGTAAACTCTGAAAAACGGCGTAGCCTAAACAATGGCTAAAGATAGGTCTAAATAGCTCCGGGGTCGACTTCGGTTCAATCCGGTTCGCTGGTTCGATCAAGTCGGTTTGCACCAAGTAGATCGAACGGCTGTGATATCATCTGAGTGGGAGATCGAACGGCTGAGCATAACGGGATCGATCGAGCTCGTCGCTTGCATGGGATCGATCGAGCTACCTCCCTTGCATGGGATCGATCGAGCTGTCTCCTTTCGCACGGGATCGATCGGGGTCGATCGAGCTGTTGTGTCGCGATGAGTCGATCGATCTGTGAGGAGTCGATCGAGCTCCTTTGGGCTCCGTTTTGCCTGCTTTCTCCCTTGTTGGTCCATGTGACCAAAGCTCTCCCTGGAACGTCTTTAGACCTGAAAAGACTCGATAAAGACTAGAAAGACTCGATAAAACTCGTGAAAACAAGGTTAGAATGCGTCAAATACGCAAGATATCAATCATCATTTACAGTATGAGAATCTAACTATTGATTCGACATCAGTTTTTCTCTTACCAAACACTCACAAATTTTGACTGTCATCTGATGCGGGATCAGGTTTTACCTATTCCTATCCCTGATTCTGCAAGTGCACAGGTCAGGTGTAGTAACGGGTTATCGAACACAAGGAGCAGATAAGTGCACTACAAGCTATGGAAGTCTAACTTTGCTAGGACAAAAGGATGAATTGGGGTTTTGGTATGCAAAAGAACTAAACTAAAAGAAAGCAATATGAAAGCGGTGTAAGTTCAATGTGGGAAAGACGCTAGGCAATAGGTAATTCGCAGAGATTCATATATGATAAGATTGATGATTGATTTATATCTATTTAGGGATATGGGATGTAAGATCCGTCTAGAACACCAAACACGATTGTAAAACCATTCCACTGTCGAGGCTCCGGTTCCTTTGTTAATCTACCTAGTCGCTAAACTTTTGGTATGTCCCTAGGTGATTAAATCAAGCATTAGATCGAGCAAGTTCGGATACAGTTCACTAGGTTAAGTAAATCAACTGTCGCAGTCTAAGAAACCTAGCTTGTCAAAGAATATGTCCGGCGAATGATACAACACTTTCGAGGCTCAAATCAACCTAAGATCGAATCACTAGATGTACGGTAAAGTGATTAGCATTAATTAAGTGTGCACAACGAGACAAAGACTCTAATGATATCCCTAGTGAATTCATCAAATCATAATCAACACATGAACTCTTTGAAACCCTAAAACCTAACTAGAAATCTACTCAAACATGGTGCAAGTAAACAAGCATAGATCTGAGATAGAAATCATATTAATATAAGGAGAAAAGGGTTCAGAATGGCTTGCATCCCGGCTTAGATGAACAAGTACCATGTGTCCATGATAAAATATCTTGAAGGGCAGCCTTAGGCAAGGCATAGTTGGGATTAGCCTTGGAGTTGTAGCAAACGGATGTGTGATTGTGATAGATCTTTGCCACAATCATTGGTGTTGGACTGTAGGGAGATTGGATGGATGCAAACTGATGAAGATAAGGGCCGGTTTGGTGAATGGGAGACTTCCTCATGTGATATTGGTCGGTGAGTCTTGATTTTTAAGGCTTGGTTCACTCCGGGTTGCGTTCTGGCCGAGATGGGACATTTCGGTCGACCGGAGGGTAGTGCTATGGACTACAGCTCAAACTATAATGAATTCCTCGACCCATATTTAAATTTCATCGACCAACCTCATATTGTTTTGGCCTCTGGTGAAGTTTGAGAGCATTCGAACGAGTGGATTGAGAGATCCTTCACAAAGTGGTCAATATGGCTCCGGGAAGAGGTTTCTTGGCCATCCTTGAGTTTGGCTCGTTCGTTTTGTGATCTTCCTTTGGAAATGTGATAGTGCAGCTCCAGGAAGTCATTTACATCCGGATTTCGCGCCTATGACGTGATTTGGTTTTGTCGGCCATTTGGTTGCACCGCGGACGACCGGATGGGGCTCTTCTGTATATCTCCTGAACCGTGAACATTTCACCGTCCTATATTTTGGATTTGCCGACCAAAATTTGATTTTATGGTCGCCTGTGAAGTTTGGTGGACTTCGAACATATGGTTGAGGAGTTGGCCGAGATTGATTCTCCATGCATGTGCCATGGCCGAGAGAAATAGGCCGGATGGAATTTCTTCAAATCCACTAGGGCCAATTGAGTTTTTCTTCGACCAAAGTGATTTTCTAACCCTTCTTTATCATTCCCAGGTGGTGCGCGCCTTGTTCCTTGGGATTGGGTATGTTCCTCCTTTGAAACCTTCCTTAAACCTCCATAGGTATGATGGTTGTGGTCGGCTATAGCATTTCTTCTTGATATCCTTCCTGTAAAGTAATTTAATCCTTGCAAAATACTTGAAATCACTGATTAGATAGTTCTTAGATTGAGACCCTCAAGTAACCAGCTTGAAGTTCACAATCCAAGAGATTAAGGTAAAAACTATAAACATATTTTTGGGTCTTGGTTAGTGATCCCAAACTTCAAATTATATTTTAGTCTATGTGAATTCATTGCATCATATAAGTTTGACAAGTAGAGATATATTTCATTCAATAACCATGAAGTTTTAAAGCGATTTAGACCATGAAATGTAACTAATGAAGTGCAATGGTTCAAATGCTCATGAATAGAGATTAATAGTGGTCATGAATGAAATATTGGAGAAGAATTTACTTACCTGTAGTGGAGATTTCGCCTTGAACAAGGGTGGGACTTTGGGTGGGACACTTTCATGGTTTTGTCTCCTTTCTTCATTTTTCGAGGTTTCTTCTCAAATTTCATGCTAGATTCTCAAATCTCTGTATCCATAACTTCAAAAACAAAACAAAAACCATTAAACTAAAACAAAAATTAAAAAGGGAAAAGAAAACACCTTATGGGTTGCCTCCCATATAGCGCTTGTTTAAAGTCTTTTAGCTTGACTCTTTCTCTTTCTAATTGACCAATTGATCAAATAGAAGAGTTGAGGCTCCTTTAGCTTCTCTACATTCTGGACCTGACGGTTTGAAACTCCTCCTATGGAATCTTGAAGGTCTTGAATGTAGTTGCAAGAAACAATACCACCAGTAAAGAGTTTCCTCTTCTTGTGCAGCCCATCCTTGAAGGGTTCTTTGTTTTCCTTATTCTGGAAATCAAAGCTGAACTTAGAGAAGCATCTTGAAGTTCTTATAGGCTGTGGTGTGGCATCAATCACGTCCTCCTTGTACTCCCTTGGTGTCAAAATCTTGCTTAAGACACTTGAAACCTTAATGCAGTTTGCCTTTGCCGGTATGGCAATTTCCTTAGATATGATGAGAGGGGCTGCTGATATGACGTCTATCAACTGCTCCTGGTCATTATAAGGCTCTGATAGTGGTTCCTCTCTAGCGCACACATCTGCAGAATGAGAGCTCTTGATAGGAACCGCCGGATAGGACATGGCTTTACTGATTTTGGAGAGAGAGATTCTTTGCTTCTGAAGATCCAAGATTGCTCCATTGGCTTCAAGGAATGATGAACCAAAACTCAATGGCTTGTCAGGGTCGTGTTTCATCTCTAATATATGGAAATCAGCCTTAAAGACGTGATCTCCAATGGATAGTGTAAGATTCGAGATGAAACCATGGAAGAGAGTATAAGGGTCATCTTTAAACCGCATTGGTATCTTGGAGGGATCCCTGACTTCAATCCCAATCTTCTTGGCTATTCCTTTGTTCATGATGTTGATGTGAGATCTTGTATCACATATGGAATCTTTGAACAAAACTCCATTAATGATGCAAGGTACATCAAGCTTCTCCGGGTTAGAGATCTTCTCTAGTGGCTTCGGCTTGTAACCTCTTGTTGAGTCCAAGGAGTAATGCTCTTGCTCTGGTCTTGTAGCCAAGTTAACAGCAGTCTGGGGTGGTTTATGGGTTGGCACGAACTCAGCTTCCCTTCTAGAGATGGATTCACAAAAAGCTTTTGTTTCCTCCATCTCTTGTCTTTTCAAATCTTCATAGGTTTGATCAACATGGGTGTAAATCTTCTTGATTTGACAAGCAAGAGACTCGTTCTTGTCAATGAAACTGTTGAACAAGCTTTCCATCCTCTCATCCAATTCATTAGTGAACTCTTTTTGATCATCCACAATCTGCTGAAGCATTGCTTGAATCACACTATTTTGCTGAACCGGATGAGGTGCGCTTGGAGGAAAGTTGTAAGGCTGCTTCATTGGGTACATGCCTTCTTGATTGTACTGCTGCATAGGTCGGAATTGACTTCCTTGATGGTGAAATCGTGGTGATTGCTGCTGGAAGTCAGGAGGATAGATGAAGTCATCTAGATAGTTAACTTCTTGTGATTGCTCCCATGCAAAATCTCCAATGGTTTCTTGGTAGTAAGGGGCACGCCTTAGTAGGACATGATCTTGGGTCTGGCCAAAGATCATAGCTTTCATCTTATAATCAAGTTTGCACCTGAAACACACAAAGATAAAGGCTTAAAGCGAAATTGAAACAAAAACTAAAACAAAGGAAGAATGAAAAACAACTAAAACTAAAATCAAATGCAAAAACTACTAAAACTAAATTCCTAGACTAAGCTATTCTTGGGAACTCGTAGGCAGCTGTATTGCTCCCCGGCAACGGCGCCAAAAACTTGATGCGGGATCAGGTTTTACCTATTCCTATCCCTGATTCTGCAAGTGCACAGGTCAGGTGTAGTAACGGGTTATCGAACACAAGGATCAGATAAGTGCACTACAAGCTATGCAAGTCTAACTTAGCTAGGACAAAAGGATGAATTGGGGTTTTGGTATGCAAAAGAACTAAACTAAAAGAAAGCAATATGAAAGCGGTGTAAGTTCAATGTGGGAAAGACGCTAGGCAATAGGTAATTCGCAGAGATTCATATATGATAAGATTGATGATTGATTTATATCTATTTAGGGATATGGGATGTAAGATCCGTCTAGAACACCAAACACGATTGTAAAACCATTCCACTGTCGAGGCTCCGGTTCCTTTGTTAATCTACCTAGTCGCTAAACTTTTGGTATGTCCCTAGGTGATTAAATCAAGCATTAGATCGAGCAAGTTCGGATACAGTTCACTAGGTTAAGTAAATCAACTGTCGCAGTCTAAGAAACCTAGCTTGTCAAAGAATATGTCCGGCGAATGATACAACACTTTCGAGGCTCAAATCAACCTAAGATCGAATCACTAGATGTACGGTAAAGTGATTAGCATTAATTAAGTGTGCAAAACGAGACAAAGACTCTAATGATATCCCTAGTTAATTCATCAAATCATAATCAACACATGAACTCTTTGAAACCCTAAAACCTAACTAGAAATCTACTCAAACATGGTGCAAGTAAACAAGCATAGATCTGAGATAGAAATCATATTAATATAAGGAGAAAAGGGTTCAGAAAGCTTCTCTATGTCGAGATACAAAGAAGGGATCTTCTCCCTAAGGAAAACAATGAGAAAGAAGTAAAACAATGGAAGATCCCTCTAAGGGGAGCTCCCTAGTGCGCCTCTCTCTTGTAGCTCTTCTCTTGTGACTCTCTATGCGGCTCTCCTTCTAATGAGGCTAAAAAAGAGTATTTATAGTGCCCTAGGTCTTCACAAGTCGGTTTAGGTTAATTGGGCTGAGAAAAGTCAAAACTGCATAAGTGGGCTTCTTGTTCGCGGAGATCGGGTCGAGCGCGGTCCTTTGCTTCCCGGGTCGCACGGTCTGGTCGGCCGTGATGTGATGATCTCGGTCGATCGTGGTCCATTGCCTCCCGGCTCGGACGGTGCGGTCGTGCGGTCGGATCCGTCCTGGAGAAGGCCGAGCGAAGCCAATTCCCTTCCTGTCCGGCCAAGTGCGTTCGGCCGGCTGTTAACCAGTCTTCAGTACAAACGTGATATCTCCTAAACGGCTTATCCAAATTGCATAACTTCCAACGGCATTGGAACAATAACTCCTCTGCTATCTTGGTATCAAGTTTCATTGAAATCCATTGAGTTTAAGGGTCCAAGCGCGGCTGCCCGTTTGATGTACTGATGCAGTCCGATTAAGCTCCTCGTATATGTCTCAGGGAAATAGAGATATCTCCCAATCTACTCGGTCAAACTGAGTGATTCCAGTTGCGTTGCAAAGCTAACTCACGTATGCATCGCCTCGAACTGGATTTGATGAATTCCATTGAGTAGAATGTTTTAAGGCCCTTCTTAAGTTGATGCTACGTCTTGGAGTGGTCTTGAAGTCCAAATCCTGTGTTTTGCTCCAAAATGCATCTTTTGACCTGTTTAGACTCTAAGTACTATAAATCCATAAAAACTACCTTTTTAGATCAGAAAGCCATTAAAAACCTTATGAAAAGCATAGTAAAACCATATAAAAAGCATGTAAAATAGAGGTATATCATCATCCGAACCAACATATTGTGGGTTCGGAAAACCACACTCAAAATTTATGTGTATTTTGTAGTGAGAAATTGCATATGGAATCAGAGGTTAGATTCTGATGTAATTCGAATGATTCGTAGACAAGTATTTGACGAAATCGGAAGTGATTTCCGGCTAGAAAGAAGAGCTTTCCAGGATTATCTCAAAGATAAAGGATAAGATCGTATAGAAAAGAGGATAGAATGTATTCTCAGTGTAAAGAGTACTTATCGAGAGGTCTAGAACATTCAATCTCTTAGAGATGTAGAAAGGAACATCTGCCTTGTGATCAAGAATCGTCCTCTTTTTATAGCTCCGAAGTAGATCGCAACCTCCTCCGCGTATCTCGTCCACGTGCAACTACCGATCCCGCTATTTCCGGATCTGAACAGTCGAAGCGAGATTCTCGTTTCGTTCAAACTCAGCGGACTTGACTCCGTCGAGCTAGAGCTCGACTTCGTCTTCACAAGTAGCTCGGACAGTAAACAGCTGGATTTGGACAAGGATACTTGGTGGGCTCGAGGTCACTTTACTGGGCCTGAGTGGACTTATCTTGATCTTAGGACTTAGGTGATGGGCCTTATGGGCCGGATTTCTGGAGGGAAATCCAGGTCCAACAATAGCCCCCCAGCTCATTAAGTGAGTATAATCGAGCTTAATGAGCGGTAGGTTGTTTTAATTGTCCCGCAGTCCCATCGAACTAAATCATGACTTTAAATAGTCATTAGAAATCGACGGTTGCAAACGGGAAGGCGAGAGATCTTTGAAGATCTTGCCGTTGAATGATAGTTTCACCTTGAAAGACAAGGTAATAACTTATTCTTTAGATCGACAATCAAGATCGAAAATAGATCGAAGAGCTATTATGATCTTAAGAGTCGAGCTTTTCGAGAGTAGTGAAAACCTTAGGAGAAGATTTGCGATTATCAACTCTTTCAGATTGTTTCTCGAGAAGGCTTTTGGTTTAACTAACTCAAACATTGCTCGAGCTCTTTTGAGTTAATCGATTGTTTTTCGAGTTCGACCAGTTGTTGATTAAATTCTTTAATCGAACTTGGTCACTTTAAGTCGGATTGTTTTTCCGGACTCGAACTCGAAAAAGGATACGACCTAAATGAATTTTAGTCGGTTTGTTTGACTGAATTTTCGCATAAGATTTTCGGCTGACCGTGAAATCTAGCAGAAAAGACTTTGCCAACTCTTCTGGAAAGTTGCTTCAAGTTAAACTGATTTCTTTTTGAAATTTCGAGTCAAACTTGGCATGATTTCGACTAAGTATTTGTTTTATTTAGGTCGAGCTAAATAAAATCTAGTCTTTGGTTCGAATGTTATTTCAACCAAACGTTCGAGCTTATCGTTGAGCTAAGCTGAACAAAGACTTAGTCAATATCTTTGAAGATATATTAAGGTCAGTTAGAATCTATTGAGAATCTAGCTCGATCTTGAAGATGTTCTCGAGTTTTAGCTCGAGAATTGGCTGAGTGCTTGACTGCCATTCAAATCAGACTAAGTGAGACTTAGTTGATTTCTTAGGATCATATAAGATCAAGCAAGAATCTATTTAGAATCGAGTTTGACAAGATGATATATGTCCGAGCGAACTTCGAATCGAGCTCAATGCTGCGATAGAGAACGTTACTGTTTTGCCGCGTTCTATCTGTTCCAGATTTTGGCTCGACTTTGAATGTTCCACCTCTTAAATAAAGAAGATTCTCAAAAGCTAGTGTTTCTTGAACGATCTGCAAAGTCGGTCTGCCGCTCGTTGTGAGCAAGCAATCCAATCTGAGCTAATGGAGTTGTGGAGATTGTCCATGTTGCGGTCGAATCTACTCTTCGTGATGAAGTAGTAGGTCAGGTTCTTCATGCTGCTATTTGGGGATAATACCAAGATGACTCATTTGAGACGAACTATCTCGTTGAGATCGAATAGCGAACAATGAGGATGGAGCTCGAAATGAGCAAGAGATGATAATCGGACTCCGAATTTGTCGAGCTCCTTGAAAAAGCGAGTTAACTCGACGGCGAGTCCGTCATCCCTTTTAGTATGGATTGTTCAAAGGATGTGCCAGTTTTGGATAATCCTTGAAAGTTCATGTTGCGCCAATGCGGGCCTGCTGCAAATCAATCTCCAGTTTTGGATATGACGCTCGAGAGGGAGCTGTATGCGGCAGCGATGGCGGCGGATGAGAAGGTATGGTTTTACCTTTTCTAAGTTTTTGCCGATGATTTGATATCTTCGGACTTAATATTTGCGATTTCTCTTTATCAAGCTTGAAGGTGAACATGAAGCTCTATGCTCGTTGTGAACAGAGGTTACATGAGCGTTCTGGCAGGATGAGCTTGATAAGATGAAACAGTTGGTAGATGAGCTCGATACTGAGCTCAAATATGCGAGAGATAAAGTAGCTCATCAAATCGACTTACTTAAATTTTTGCTAAGGATGAGCTCTTTTCTCGTTTAAGTTTCTGAACAAGTTAGCTCGGCAAGGATTTCTATGCTTTGCTTTTGGATTTGGTGCCTGAAAGGCTTTTATCCCTTTTTATGTTCGAACTCATTTGCTCAGATGAGCTTGATAGTTGATAACTCTTCTAGACGTTTGATGTCTTAGAGTTTATCTTTGTTTTCCAGATCAAATGACTGTTAGCTCGATGATTTGATTATTAGTCGTTTTGGTTTGATGGAGATTTGACCTAGCGTGTTAGCTAACTGGTCGGGTTTGACGAAGCTCAGTTGATTTCTTCTGAGAATCGTATAAAGTTAAGCTAGTTTCTTTTCGAGTTCCAGCTCAAACTTTTAACGTGTTGTTATGCTTCATCTTGGAAGGTTGCGTCGGCTTGAGCTAACCTTTGTCAGTGTTTGTTGAAAACAAATGACTTTAGATGACCGTCTGAATTGAGTAGGTGATTCTACACAATCAAGCTTTATCTTTAAAGATTGCTTTGAATCGAGCTGATTTCTTTTCAGACTTACAGTCGGATTCGACCGGTTTTTTGCCAGTTGTGTGATTTTTAAATTGATCCACATGGTCAGCACTTGAACTTCGTTTTCAAGGGCTGCTAGGAATCGAGCTAATCTCTTTTTGGTTTTTAAGTCGGGTTCGACTTGTTTTTGCCAATTGTGTGATTTAGTAGATTGTTCTACATGATCAGCGCTTGGACTTAATTTTCAAGGGCTGCTCAAAGTTGAGCTGATCACCTTTCAGATCTTCAGTCGGATTCGACTGGCTTGTGCCAATTGTGTGATTCCGTAGATTGATCTACATGATCAGCACTTGGTCTTAATCTTTGAGGACTGCTCGGAATCGAGCTGATTACTTTTCAGATCTTCAGTGGGGTTCGACTGGCTTTTTGCTAGGTATTCGATGTGCTTAGGAGTAATTCGAATGTTTAGCTGGTTTAGGTTGTTGGGCCCAAAGTTTTTTTTTTGTCCTAGACCGATGATAGGTTCTAGGTGATCTCTAGGATTAGATCGTTCTCTCTTCCTAGCTGCTGAAGTCGATCTTGACCTCCTCCGCGTATCTCGTCCATGTTCAAACTACCATTCTGGCTGTTTCCAAGGCTCATCGGTATAAGCAACATTATCACATCACACGCACAGTCCAGCTATTTCATGGTCTTATCGGTCTGCAATATCGTCACCCGACTCAAATAGACCAGCTATTTCATGGTCACGTTGGTCTAAGCGATATTACCACCTGACTTGTACGGCTCGGATATTACCGGAGCTCGTCGATCTGAGTAGTATTATCGCCTAACACTTACAGCCCGGTCTTGAAGACTTTATTCCGTCGAGGTATTACTCGACCTCGTCTTTACAAGTAGCCCGGATGTAGTATATAATTAGATAAATATATTTGATGGGGTCAAGGTCAGTCTTACTGAGCCTGGATTGACTTTTCTTAGTCTTAGGATCTTGATGGTTGATGGTGGCTGCGCTCGTAGTTCGAGCTGCCTAAGTACCCTGAATAGGGATCAAGCCTAACGTAGTTCAGGTTCTAGACCGAGAATAGGTTCTAGATGATCTTTAGGATTAGAGGCATGCTCTTTTCATAGCCTCTGAGGTCGTTCTCGTCCTCCTCCCCAACTGTTTCCAGGGCTCATCGGTATAAGCAACATTATCGTCAGACACGTGAGACCAGATATTTCATGGTCTCGTTGGTCCGAGCGATATCATCACCCGACTCGTGAGATCCAGGTAATTCCGGAACTCATCGGTCTGAGCGATATTACCACCTAACTTGTACGGCCCGGACATTACAGGATTTCGTCGGTCTGAGAAATGACGACGAAAAAAGCTAAAGGGGTGTGAAGATGACGATAAATCTCAGGTTATCTGAGTGATCCGAAGGTAAGAGATTACGTCGAACTTCTGCCGGAAGTGATTTCCGGCTAGAAAGATCAGAGCTTTCCAGGATTATCTCAAAGATCAAGGATAAGATTGTAGAGAAAAGAGGATAGAATGTATTCTCAGCGTGATATATCCATATCTTTCATGTTTTTACCAAGGTTTTCACTATGTTTTCAACACAAATAACATGGCTTCTAAGCCCAAGAGGTAGTTTTCTTGTGTATTATGGTTTTGAGCATCATTCAGGTCAAAATAGCAAAAAAGAGTTCTAAATGGAGCAAAAGGAGCCAAAACACCAAGTTCCCAAGTCTAGAGCACCAAATCTATATTTCTCGCTAAAGACCAAACCGGAGCATCCGAAGTACGGCCGCATATTCATGCCTTCCCGACGTCCAAAAGTCATGATGCTTATATGGAAAGATAGATACTTGAGTCATGCATCACGGCGAAGTGGAAAGAGGTCATTTGGATCATTCATTGGACCGGAACTTATTTTCTCGGCAAGCGCCCAAGTAGAGCCCGTGGAGACTTTGACGTATCTAAAGGCCCGAGCCACCGCGCCAAAGGCCTTAGCTCGTCTTAACATTGATCTAACTCGATCAAGGAGGTTCCATTGGCCCGAACTCGGCCCATTCAAGAACTTGGAGAGCAAGCTCAAGCGGCTGAAGAGAAATGGAAACTTTCCTCTTCTTGGCGCGCCTCAACTTTGCCGACCTAGACCCGCTCTCTACCTATATATACTTGCTTTTAGCCTCTTGTAATAAGAATCACCATCCGAGACAAAAGACACATTCAATAAAGTTTCGGAGCCACTTAGGTGGTCTCCTTGTTCTTCTTTCTTTTCTTCTTTTGCATTTGTATATAGCTTGCATGTTTCAATTTATATAGTCTAGAAGTAGAGACTTCTCCCTACGATTGAGGTGCGGTTTGACTCATATCTCTCCGCCTCTCTTTCTCAATAGGACTCATGAGATCTCATCTACTATCTATGACTCATTGTTGAATTATGGATCCTTTCATTGAGGACATGATATAATTGCCATCGAAAATCGATTGTTAAAAGGGGAAACCCTATGGTTCTCCATCTTTATTCATACTTAATGCCTGTTGCTAGAGTAGCTAACTAGTGACTTGATTATAGGTTGATATACTCTCCAAAAGCTTGTTATATCTCCGGATATAGTATTTGATGGGCAAATCGTTTTAGGCTACGAAAGTAGACCTAAAGAGCGAAAGCTCTTCTTTGTGGTTAAATGCCAAAAAATCAAGTCAGCTCATACGTTTTTATGTTGTACTGGCTTCTTGAATCTTCTCGATTGCCTATCTTTATTGTTTTTTTTATTTGGTATTTGTATGGAATGGGAATGCGGATTTCTTCTTGTTTTCTTTATTATTGATAGGAATTCTCTTGTTAAGACCCTATTTAACTAATCAATTGAAACCTCAGATTCATACGAGAACCACGATAATTCAATGAAACCTTCAAAGCCAAAAGTTCACTGAGTGAGAACCGTTGGATCATCACTTATTCAATCAAAAAACTAACTAAAATAACACTAAAAAAATCAAATACAAAGAAGCATTTGTCCTTTGATCCAAATAAGAGTTTAAAAGCAGAAAAGATTTTGATTTATTAAAGTTTCTAAGATAGAACGGAAAGAAGTCCGGCTACGAGGTCTGAGTATTAAGTATGAATCATAGTTCGAATACTTTGTGATCTATTTGATCCATTTCGTGCTTCAGATACTCGAATGAATATCCGACGAAGTAAAACCATCTTGATAAAGATGACAGACCCCATTCTCTGTACTATCCATAGGGTCAATTCTAACAAGTCACACACTCATATTCCGGAAATATACAATGCAGAAAAAATTTCGCGGTCGAACTACCAAAGGAGAATAGGCTAAAATTTTTAGACCTACATACTTTCCTTTTTTGTATCGAACTAAAAGCTAGGACTTCAAGATTCTTCTCAGTCTAATTCACTGAAATTCCATCCAGTAGAACAGAAGAATTATAAATCTCCAAAATAATGGATAGGAATACCGCAAATAGAGCCATTGCAACACCCATCAAAGGGGTGGTTCCCCATCCAGGAGCTACTTTACCATATTCGGAATTCAATGGTTTCAATAACTTCCCCACAGTAGTGCTTCTTGGACCCGATCTAGAACTATCTTCAACAGTTTGTGTAGCCATAAATCTTATTTTGTATTCATTACGATCTGTTGACTTTGTATACCATTCCGTTGTAAATAAACGATCTTAGCATAGATCCATTGTGGTCTTTCAATTTTATAATAATGGAAACAGCAACCCTAGTCGCCATCTTTATATCTGGGTTACTTGTAAGTTTTACCGGGTATGCTCTATATACTGCCTTTGGGCAACCCTCTCAACAACTAAGAGATCCATTCGAGGAACACGGGGACTAGTTGACGTAATCAGCCTCCAAATATTTGGAGGCTGATTA